CTGCAGAGAATTTCCAGAACACTACTGGAGTTACTGGTGCAGGGTACCTGATTCTCTACTATAATGTTTCGCCAGGCTGTGCGGGTAGAGACTGGCCAATAATAGGATTCTCTCACAGCTCTCAGGGTTTAATCCTGTGCAGCCTTGTAGGGGCAGGCAATCTAGTTTGATTGTAAACTGAAGTTCTTCTACATAGATTAGGATGTGCCTGCTACACAGTGTGTATAGAATGTCTCCATAAAGCAGAAGGACCCTAAATGGGAGCAGGGTGTGTATTTTTTAATCTTGCTCAGCACAAACTACAGAAGTATATAGGACTTTCTCATCTCTCAAGAACAATGATCATAAAATTATTATGACTCTGTCCTCTTAGAAAAAATGATGGAGTTCAGGGGGCCTTTTCTTATGTATTATATATTTGGCTTTATTATCTGTCTTCCTGTCTATATTGTACAACCTGTGAAGATAGAACCATGTTTAACATAATTATTGCTGTGTACTTGGTCGAGTAGAATATCTGGCATACAGAGGACACATGTTGAATATTTACTGAGTAAATGAATGAAAGTGTTGCTTTGCTAAGGGAGGTTTTCATAGTTCGGCATTTATGTCTAGTTAATGTAAGTTCTAATTCTGTATCATTATAGGTGATGTGTCTAGAAAGCAATTCAAAAGTTATTTTAGCTCTAAAATTAAGGCACTTTAAGTTTGGAACAATATTGATGCAAATGTCCAGAGGGCCTATGTCTGTTTGAATGCAATTGGGTGATACTTAATTTTAAAAATACTTATTTTGAATATGGCACAAGATAATTGTTATTCAACTATTACGTATTTTAAAAACTAGTGTACATATTTTTTCAAAAGGTATTTTTTCCCTAAAACACCTAATTTTCAAAATTTGACTCCTTAGATTTGATTTTATGTTTAGGGTTTTAATGTTTAGGGTTCTAGAACATTTTTCTATAAAATTTAACTTGTAGGGGCTCCCCTGGTGGCGCAGTGGTTGAGGCCTGGGCTGCAAAGCTGCCTGCAACCTCTGCAGTGCCGGTTCGATCCCCTGCCTCCTGTGAGGGTCCCACATGGCACGCAGACCTCTCCTGCCACCTGCTGCTCCACTCCCCTCAGCAGTGTATCTCGTCCGTCTGCCTGTTCTGTTCCCCGCTCTGGCTCTGGTGAATTCTCTCACCCTCCCACGCTTCTGACTGTACCCAGTGCTTGTATAAATAAATAAATTTTAAAAAATCTTTAAAAAAATTAATTTGTAGTTGAATTGGCTAGAAACTTGGGTTTCGCCTGCATCTATTTAGCTAAACAGAACTAAAGATCAATACTGGCCCCATGTTTAAAATATGGAAATAACAAATTATTGTAACCTTTAATTTTAATAAATATTGAATTTTAAAAACTGGATCAGGAGTTAGTAGGTAGAATGTTGATTGCTCATAAAGCTAAAATTCATCTTTTATAAGTTTTATTAATAGTAATGAAACAAAATTGTTAGGCAAACCTGGAGTTTGAAACACAAAAGATCATCCATAAATTCACTTTCAATTCATAATATACGGCAATTTTCCTGTTTTTCCTATAAAAATTATTGTCTACAGGGCCTCCCCAGTGGCGCAGCGGTTGAGCGCTGGGTGGCGAAGCTGCCCGCAGCCTCTGCAGCGCTGGTTCGCTCCCCGGCTGCTCCCCGGCCACCGGAGGAGGGTCCCACATGGCGCGACAGACCTCTCCTGCTGCCCGCTGCTCCCCTCAGCAGTGTACTTCGGTCCTTCTGCCTGCTCTGCTCCCCGCTCTGGCTCTGGTGGATTCTCTCACCCTCCCGCGCTTCTGACTGTGCCCAGTGCTTGCATAAATAAATAAATAAATCTTTTTTTTTTTTGGTCTACATAGGAATAAAAATGTGTTAATGTCACCCCTTTGGAATTATAACAGTTAAAGAAGCATCAGAAATGTAGAGCTACAACAAGTGCTCTGTAAAAGTCCATGCCCTGGCCCTCTAAGAGAAAATTAAGCTAATATCACAAATTAAATGGTAGAAGACAAAGCCCCTGAAAGAATTCTTTCCTCATTCTCTGAAAAAAGTTCATGACTAGGTTTCTGGCTAAATGTGGTAGATTGATGTAGCTCGACCACACACACTTGATTCTCTCCCTTCTGAGTCACCACTAAAGTTATATTAAAGGAACACAGGGATTTTAGGAAGTGGATATATCCCTGGAGTGAGGGGTGAGGCTGAGGAAGCTGAGCTCACTGATGAGTGATCAGCGTATTTATGGAAGGTGACAGTGGAGGAGGGCGAGGAGAGAAGAGGCGAATGTCTCAAAGATGTGGCCAGTTTGCCCTGCACACCTTCCCGGGGAGGTTTAGGACCTGAACACACCAGTTCTGTGCACGACTGGGGTGAGCGCCGGGCTTCCAAATAAGCTGTGGGTAAATGAACAGAGAGGTTGGGCCCCTGGGTCTTCTCTTCAAACCCTGATACAGACAGCCGTGCTTGTGGCAGGCGACTGGCCATGTTTCTTCTGAGAAGATTCAGCGGGGAGGCTCTGGGGCCGGTGCATCCTGACACGGAAGCCAGATTGTAAGCTCCATGGTCTAAATCTCAAAACTTCCACTGCAGAAATCTTTGGCCTCCCTGACCCTGTCCAAGGAGAATACTGGGTAATTCCTTTGAAGAACCTTGGCTGACCACAGAAAAAAGAGGCTCGAGCCTTTTGCTTGATGATTCTACTAAAGCCCCAAACCTCTAAGCTACACGTGCATGTACAGAGCTGCCACTAAGACTAAAAGTTTTTATTGAAGTAAATAGGAAGGTACATATTCATATCAACAGACATGAACACGAGAAATTATGAATTAACAAAGCCATGCTTAGAAATTGAAGAATTTTCACCAACTAAACGTCACAAGAACTGGAACCTAGCAGGCCATGCCAGCAGAGGCCGCCGGTGTCCTGCCTGCCACTGTGGGTTCCTTTTGTCTTTCTTGAACTTAGACAAATGAAAGTACATGAAAATACCCTGAGTCTAATTTCTTTTGCTCAACATTGCCGAACAACATTTAGGTTATTGGGCAATTATAGTTTATTTCATACGGTGGCACAACAGTTTATCCATTCTGCTCTTGAGGGGCGATTTCTAATCATTGTTAAGTAGTTTTCAGTTTGAGGCGCTTATGAATGACCGCTACTAACATTTTGTGTACATTAGTGAAATGTGTACATATTTCTCTTGGTTTTACAACTTGAAGTAATGCTGACCCATCAGATTTTTTCTTTTAAGATTTATGTATTTATACAAGCACTGGGCACAGTCAGAAGCGCAGGAGGGTGAGAGAATTCACCAGAGCCAGAGCGGGGGAGCAGAGCAGGCAGATTGACGAAGTACACTGCTGAGGGGAGCAGCGGGCGGCAGGAGAGGTCTGCGCGCCATGCGGGACCCTCCTCTGGTGGCCGGGGAGCAGCCGGGGATCGAACCGGCGCCGCAGAGGCTGTGGGCAGCTTCGCAACCCAACGCTCAACCACTGCGCCACCGGGGAGGCCCTGACTCATCAGATTTTTTAGCTCCGCCTGATATAAAAATGTCAGTCAGTGATTACTAGGTATTTAGGGAAATCCTCCAATATTAAGAACAGAGATGAGCCCAAAGAATCAAAATGAAAAGTTTAGTAGAAGAACTTGAGGAAATTTCCAGAAAGCAGAACAAAAAGACAAAAGAGTTGGAAAATAGGAATGAAAGTTAAAAATTGTAGAAGGGGGAAAACATAAAAATGAATTATGAGAGAACTTCCTTACAATGGGAAAACATAAATTTCCACATGGAAGGGCTTGTCAATGCAATAGATGATGCCAAGGAATGTCTTATGAAATTGTTGAACACATGAATAAAGTGAATATTAAGAACTAATTCATGTTCAATGGATCAAGAACCAGTGACTTTGAAGGTTGCAGCAACAATATTGCAAACTGAAAATCATGTGTCTTCATTCCTGGGGGAAAATGATCAACAACTTAGAACTCTTAGTTAACTGAGTTCACACAGTGTAACATGTAGTGAAGTAAGAAGTGAGGATGAATCATTTTCAGACTACAGGGATTCAAAATGTCTTTTGTGAGTGCTTTGTCAGGAAGCCACTGCAGGATGTGCTCTAGGAAGACACAGGATGGAGGTGGTGGGCCTTGCGGTCACCCCACCCCACCCCACCCCACGGCGCAGGATGAGCCTGGACAGCACCATGATTACTGCTAAGTTCCGACCTGTGAGCTGCTAGTCCAGTTGGGGCAGGGAGGTAGAGGGTTCTGGCAAGGGTGTTTCTAGGAATATTATTCTTCAGACAAAAAGGCGTATTGGCATTTGAGTATTTGGAAAATGGTAACTATTTTTGAGGGGTTGTCAGTAAATGGGAGAATGTAAAATATAACTTACCGTGGTGATGTTTCATCGTGATCATGCTGTAACTGATAATTGATTTATCAAAAAATTAATGTGTTTTGGGGTGGAGAACATGTGTTTTGGGGTGGAGGCCAGGAGGTGGGGATTAGTGGTGTGAGAGAGAGTAATCCACATGTATTCGGAGTCAGTATGATCTCTAAATATGCTAAGAAATAGCACAAAAAGAAAAAAATATCAAGATATGCATGTTGTTTAGACACATAGAAATAAATACCAAGAGAAACAGCTAAAAAAAGATGAAAGTTACTTGGTTTTAAGTAACGAAATTGTGAAGAGAGGAAAGGTGGGTCCATGTACTGCTGTTTTTCTTTCACTTACTCATCATTTGGCACTGAATATTTTTAAAGTGGTGAAAGTGTACGCATGAATTGCTTGATAAAACTGAAAAATCTAAATAAATAATAACAAGTTCCTTTTAGGAGCTTTAGAACTAAATTTTCCTCAATAGAAGGATGTAAGATACAAAGAAAAATAAAAGGATCACCTTTTCTATATAAAAGGGCTTATTTTTCATGATTCTCTTTTTGTTTTGGTTCACCCTAGGGCTTCAAAAACAAACCAAAAAAGATGGGTCACATAAAGCCAGACTTGATTGACGTTGACTTAATTAGAGGTGAGTGCTAAAGTGGGTTTGTTACTTATGGGTATTAATTGTATTATTTCATAGTGGTAGCACACATGAGTCTTAGATAATCTCCCCTATATGACGGTCTACTTTAACTTCTGAACATAATGTTCTTCCCTCATCATTTAGGCTATAAGCGTGTTTTTTCCCTAGCTTACCACTGTAAATTACATGGTTTCCTTAAGAGTGAAAAAGGAATGAACTTGGAGACTTAGTGGTATGTAATTAGGAAAAATACAACATTCAAGTGAGCCTGACTTACTTTGAGTTGCTGTCCTGGTGTCTGAGGAAAGAATAGTTAATACATTTGATGAACATACAGGAGGATTCATTTTAACTGCACAGGTTAAGCGCTGCTATTTGCTCTCACCTGTGTTTAATATAGTGTTCCAAGGGGTATCAGTTCAGTATACATATTTGATGTTTTGTTTTATTGTATATTTAAAGGCTCAACATTTGCCAAAGCCAAGCCTGAAATTCCATGGACATCTCTGACTCGGAAGGGACTTGTTCGAGTGGTATTTTTTCCACTGTTCAGCAATTGGTGGATTCAGGTTACCTCTTTAAGAATCTTTGTTTGGCTGCTACTGCTTTACCTCATGCAAGGTAATTGGAGGAGTTGGAATAAGTTATGATGGTTTCTTTTTTCTACTTTTGCTGTTATATGGACTTACCATTCTTATGTTGAACCTTTGATTTGGTGGTTTAAAGCATAAAGAAATGAAGAGACACACTATTTGGAGATCATCTTAGAGTCATTTGCTCAGTGAATGCAAACAGTTGTGTAACCCTTCTGTTGATTTCCTTTTCCCCTTCTCACTCATCAGACCGAGAATTCTTAGTCTTTCCTCCTGTCTGACCTTGACTCTTGGATTACCCCAAGGTTAGAGCCCAATTCTCATCTCATCTCTAGGGATGCTCATCGAGCCCTATTGTCCTAGATATAATTGATATACTTGTGATTTTCAAAGTTACGTCTTTAGGCCAGACTTCACTGCTGAAATTCAGACTGCTGAATCTAAATGCCTCCTTTACATTTCCATATGGAGATTTAATAGGATTCTTGAACTTAATCATATCCACAATGAAACTCTCAGGCTTTTAAAATTTTTTCTTAGTAAACTTTTCTGGGTACAAATTTGATCTTGATCTCTTTCTCTATTTCATTAAATTACCATTTAATCAACCATCCAGTTTTCAAGTGAAAAATTAGGTTGTCTTATTCTGCCATCAACTCTCACTTCCAATCTGTCACCAAATCTGAGTTTAAACTTCAAAATGTGCCTTGACTGCTTCTGTCATCTCTGCGGTCACCGTCATAGTCCCCACATCTCTGTCTGCACATCTACTCTGGAATAACACCTACTTGTGCAAGGATCGTGTCATTTTCCTGCTTAAAAATCTCTAGTGACTTCTCAGTGCCCTTTGAATAAAAATGCAGACTCCTCCCCATGGCCAAAAATGCCCTTGCTGATCTCTTACCTGTTACACCCTCCTCCTAGCTCGCTCTTGGCATCGTGACCATTTTCCATTCTTCGCACCAAACTTTTCTTTCTGTTTGAAACAAATCTTAAGGGTTTGCACATGACTCTGTTCTCATCTCTTGTGGAGAGGTCATCACTGTCTGTACATTCTAAATAGCCCTCCACCACTTCCCAGTCACTGTCGCGGGCATGCATTTTAATTTTGGTCTTACCAAGCGCTGCCAGATGTTGCTCTCTCGCTTTTCACTATGTTCAGGGATCTTCTTTACCACTAAACCCCGTTTTCCATAGGGAATACTTTCTGAAAGTGAGCGGTATACTTAGGCTTCCAGCTGTGCAAAGGGACATGAGTTAGAGCAAAGGGTAGGTGAAGGTTGGGTTAGGGGAAAGGATTTAGGGTGATTCTGATTTTCTTTTGTCTGTGTCAGTTTTTTTTACTGTCTCGTGTCATTTTTATTACAAGGAAGAAAAATCTTCCCATTATTTATTTATGCATACAAGAACTGGGGTACAGACCAGAGATGCGGGGGGGTGAGAGGATTCACCAGACACAGAGTGGGGAACAGAACACGCAGACCGAAGAAATACACTGCTGAAGGGAGCAGCGGGGAGACAGGAGAGGTCTGCTGCACCATGTGGTTTGTTCCCTGGCTGGCCAGGGATCGAACTCGTGCTGCAGAGGCTGCAGATTGCTTCATAGTGTGGTGCTTAACCCCTTGCGCCACCAAGGAGGCCCCCAAAATCTTCCCATTTTAAAGGGATCAGTAAGTAAAGATACTAAAAATTTCTAAAATTAGGTGTGTACACTACACACATCCCAACATTTATGATGTGAGCCAAAAAGTACAGAAATGCAGTATATGGAATTTAGAGCGGTGGGTTTTTTTTTCCCCTTTATTTTCCCTTTATCAAGAGGGCTTGACTCTCACTGCCAGGCAGACAGAGACTGCACACTGGTGAAACAGACTAGGGGTTAGCTCCAAAGTTCTGCCTATTTAATGCCATCCCCTGCACAGAGGATAAGAAGGGAACATCCTTGCTAGTTCCCACCATATGGAAGCTGCTACATTCCGTTTTATCAGCACCAATATATGGAATACATCTGGATTAAATGTTAGCACAAAAAATGAAGCTAGTACATGAGATTCCGCCTAAAGAGGGCACTTAAAGGAGAATAAAGTGTATCAAGAAGTAAAAATGAACAAAAGATTCTAGTGCATTGTAAGCATAGGTTTGTATGTATTTTTAATCAGCTGAAAACATTGGTTTAATGTAAACAAAACTGCTCCGTCTCCACCTTAGCTGTGTTCTTGCTTCCACGTTGTCGGGCTCCCTGATGAGCTCCCCTTGTTTATCAGTTCTTTTCCAACTAACACTGATGTTTCCAGCAGGTTTCTTAGACCTGGTCTCATATTGGGGCGGGGCTGAACGGAAGAGGGAGGGAGACACACGAGGGAGGGAGAGACACACGAGGGAGGGGGAGACACACGAGGGAGGGGGAGACACACGAGGGAGGGGGAGACACACGAGGGAGGGGGAGACACACGAGGGAGGGGGAGACACACGAGGAGTGAACATTACTGAATGACTCCACTAACGGGAAGCAGTGGGCAAGGGGCGAGGCCCACCGCACCTTACGTGGGTTGGCTTCCTGGGCCGGGTATTGAACTCAGGCCGTAGCAGCAGCGTAGCACTGAGCCTTAACCCGCTAGGCCACTGGGGAGGCCCTTCTCACTATCTGGCTTGTGAGGCTACTAGTACTTCTCTGGAGGAGCGTCTGCTTTGGCAATGGTGCGGTGGTGGAAACGCCTCATAAACTCAGCGTCTGCAGGTGTAGCCCATGTCCTGAGAGCGCAGTGAGGGGTAAACAATGCGGTCTGGTGTCTGCTGGTTGGGAGGCTGCACTCAAGTGGGCCTCAAGTTTAGTCCTGTGGCCGCTGCCAGCAGGTGCTGATACGCACCACGGCTCCCGTCTGGGGGTGCAGACTCGCGCGCACAGCCAGGAACGGCCACACAGTCTTCCTTCTGTGGCAGGGCCTGGAGACAAGTGTGGACACGATTTAAAGGTACAATGTGATCTTTCTCTTTTTTCCCAAAAACACTTTTTGGTTGGTTTGGTCTGGCACCGTGGACGGCGGGAGGGGCCTCTGGGGCGCGGGCTGGACCGCACGGCCCACACGAAGGCCCCTGAGGACCACGGCAAGGCGAACCCGAGGGGTGGCGGGGGCCAGGGAGCCGCACAGCCAGTTTTTTTATACACTCATCAATGGACACTTGGAGTCGTCCATGTTAAATATTTTAATTTTTGTTGCTATAACTATAGTATAAGGCTTGGCTTTTATAACTTTTAACTGGTTATTGCTGTTACATTTGAAAGCTGCTAGTTTATATTTAAAATTGTTATCAGTCACTATATTAAACTCATTAATTCCAATAGCTTTTCAGTGATTCAGCCTTTCTAATTATACAACCATTGTGGTAAAAGATGAAAATTTGGTCTCCTTTTTTGTACACTTCATTTACTTTTATTGAATTAGTCATCATTTTCAGAGCGTGTTAAATAATAGTGTTCTGGTTTTCTTGATTCAGAATATCTTCATTAATATGCTGTGTGTTGATTATACTTATATATTCTTTAGTGTGTAAAGAGAATATTTTTACATTCCCAGTACTTTAGAAAAGATTGGCATTTTAACATCAACTAAGTCAGGAACAAATGTTGATTTTAACGGAATGCTTTCTCACTGTTGGAGCTGAGCCCAGCTTAAAGGCACAGCCCTTTATGAGACTGCCCTACCTTCAAGCACCAGCCGCATTTGGGGAGTCCCTAGGGCTACCCTCACTTCTGAGCAGTTGACTACAGGTTCAATAATTCATGAGAGCGACTCACAGAATTTAGGAAAATGTTGTACTTATTTGGCAGGAGAATCGAGATTTGAAGAGATGCATGGGGCAAAGTCTGGGGGGGTTACAAACAGGAGGCTTAGTCATCTTCAGGGATATAGCTCCCTCCCAGCCATGATGGGCAGCGGTGTGTGTAGAGTGTTGTCAGGAAAGTTTACCTAACCTTCGTGTTCAGAGTTTTTATTGAAAGTTCATTATGTTGGCATGATTGATCGCACCATTGACCAAGTGGTTGGACTCAGTCTTCAGTCCCCTCCCCTCCCCAGAGGTCCTGCTTATGCAGCGAGGCTTACATCCGCAACCCTCTAATCACGTGGTTGGTCTTTCTGGTGTGACTGCCCCCATTCTTAGTCATCTCATCAGCTACCGCCCATGGGCCTACCATGACGAGCATAGATGTTTCCATCAATGGGGAAATTCCAGGGCTTTAGGTTACTCCCCAGCAACCAAGTATAAAGGCCTTTTTCACAATTGAGATAATTTGCATGTATGTGATGCAAACCACATAGTAAATTATTAGATTAAATCAGTTCTAGTCAACAAGTACCTAGGTGCCTGTGTCTGTGCCAAGTGCGCTTCCAGACACTGAGGTAAATTCCTACTATCCTTCTTGCATAAACCCTACGTGTTGTGGTTGAATTATGCTTTGGCTATATTGTCCAATTTACTTTGATAATATTTCAGTCATTCATTCAACAAATATTGTGCACCCAGCACTGGTCTAGCTATAGCAGTGAACAAAATAGATAAAAGCCCCTGCCTCCACGGTGCTTATTACTCTTTAGTGCTAGATTGATTTCCACCTTCACAGGTCATCGGGGTTTGTGGTTTATTGTTTTGGTCATGGTTGGGTTTGGGTATCATAATAATAGGGCATAAAATAAATCGGGTAGCTTTTTCTCCACATAAGAACCATTTATATAGCATAACAATTTATGTTAAAGTGTGAAAGAACTCATTTATAAAATTGCACCTGGAAGTTTTTGGAGATAATTTTTGATATTTTTCTCTGTCTTCATTGTTTGTTTCTTTGTACATTTCACACACACACACACACACAGTGGCAACATGGTTTTGCAGTTAAGAGGTAAGACTTTGGAGGTGCCTGCCTGGATCCACATCCCAACTTTGTTAATTACTACCTGTACAACTGTGGGCCTTGGCAATACTATTCCCCTGAGCAGAGCAACACTTCAAAATGTATTAAACAGCCTCTAGTTGTTTTGTTGTGGAAAACCTTTTGGAAATAATTTAGATTATCATCTTCTAAAAAGGCAATCCTGTGGGGCCTCCCCTGGTGGTGCAGCCATTGTGCGTGGGGCTGCGAAGCTGCCCGCAGCCTCTGCAGCGCCGGTCCAATCCCTGGCCGCTGGGTGAGGGTCCCACTTGGTGCACAGACCTCTCCTGCCGCGCCTGCTGCTCCCCTCAACAGTGTACTTCGTCGGTCTGTCTGCTCTGCTTTCTGCTCTGGCTCTGGCGGGTTCTCTAGCCCTCCCGCGCTTCAGACTGTGCCCAGTGCTTGTATAAATAAATAGATAAATCTTTAAAAAAAAGGAAAAAAAAGGCAATCCTGTGAATACATTATTTTTCACTTTCTCTGTGATCCAGAGCCTCAGGTTTTCACTCAGCTAATGTGTAGGGAGATTGTATTCCAGGAAATTTTCCCAGTGATAGATTTTGTAGAAATGTTTTATATAACTGGTTGAGTTTTAAAGATGAGCCGTAATGTTTCACATTCTGAAACCTCTTCTTTTCAGTCATAGCGCTCGTGTTGTACTCTATGATGCCTATTGTGAATGTAAGTGAAGTGCTGGGACCCTTGTGCCTTATGTTACTTATGGGAACTGTCCACTGTCAGATTGTATCCACTCAGATGACACGACCATCAGCAAACAACGGGAATCGAAGGAGGAGGTAAGATGAGAAATGGTCCTTGTATTGATTATTTTCCGGGAGAGGCATTGTAGAGAGCGATAAAATCCCTGATTGAAGTAATCGAAGTAATCAAAAGTCTTCCACTTTTGTGTATTTTTAAAAAAGATTTATTTATTTATGCATACAAGAGCTGGGGTACAGGCCAGAGGTGTGTGGGGTGAGAGGATTCACCAGAGACAGAGTTGGGGACAGAACAGGCAAATCGACTGAAACACACAGCAGGCGAGTCAGGAGAGGTCTGCTGCGCCATGTGGGTTGCTCCCTGGCCGGGGATCTAACTCGTGCTACAGTGGCTGCAGATTGCTACATAGGTTGTGCCTTAACCTTTGCGCCACCAGGGAGGCCCCTCTGTGTATGTTTGTAACTATTCTTTTGAGTTGAAGAAAAAATAAATGCTTTTCGGTTTTCTACCTGCTGCTAAGAAACCTTGTCATGAACTTTTAATCCCAGGTGTGTTGTTGTCATTCAGTACAGTTGTTTAAAAGGGAAATTTCTGTACTATATTACTCTTTATTAAAGTTTATCTTAAACAATGATTCTGAAAGAACATTCTTCAAAATTCAGTCTTAGTTAAAGTTTAGTGAAACCACTATAAGTAAGGATCGTAGTGCATTGGTCTAGTGCTACTAAAAATTTTACCTTTTTTCAATAGTGATTAATAAGGACAGATTTCTAAGTGTTCTAAACTTTCAGTAAAGATTGATTTGACTTATATACATTAAATTCATGTCATGTTTTTATTGGTTGTATTCTAGGTGTGGGTTTTAAAACTGCTAAAGATTTCTTAGGTATATTTGGCATTTGAAAGTGGTGTTATTTTTCCTCAACAATTCTATACATTTTTGCTCCCCTAAGCAGTAAGATTTTTTTCATCTAGTGCCATAAATGTCAGCATATTTATTCTCCTTTTTGAATGTTATTTTCAACTCCCCCCCCCTTTTTTTTAAAAAAATAAAAAGGGTCCTTGAAGTCTCAACATTGATTTAAGGTTTTCTAAGGTATTCAAAAACTATGCTATGTCAGGTTTGTACTCATAGGATATTTCTTTCAATTCTATGGGACATCAATAAAAAGTGATCAGTTGCTGCTATTTAATGTTTCCCAAATTGTTTGAGGAATCCTCTTACAGTGGCTCCTGGCTCCCTGCAGGCACGTGACCCCCAGCTGAAGGGTATCAGCCTGGACTGTGCCACAGCAGCTGGGCTTAGATGGCTGACCCCTGCACAGTCGGGTTTGGGTTTTAGAAAAAAAGAGAAAAAAGTACTCGGTAGTTTTGAAGATGCACAGTCAGGTTTAAACCTGGCCGGTGCCATTCAGCTAGACGGAGCTCGCCTGCCCAGCTCAGGTGCGAGACAGCACAGGGCAGGTTGGACGCCCCAGTGGGTTTTGAATCCTGAGCTGACTTTGAAAACGTACCAGGTCCGAGCTCCCACTGACTTCACGCCTGCACCAGCACCCATTAAATCTTGGAACCAGCTGGTTTGGAAAACAGACCAGTCAGCTTTGAAAGGCAGGTACCTTGTGAAGTGGAGGCGAGACTCAGCTTGGGAGCATCAGCTTGGCTATAGGAGGAGATGTCTGTGGAAGATCCTTGCTTCAGCTGCATTCATGGAGCTTGCCACTGGCTTATGCATGGCGCGTGTAAAGAGTTGTCATGTAAAGGGTGCCATGGTCCTCTGGCAACACCTCTGAGAGCTGTCCGGTCCGACGTCTGGCGCTGCCCAGGGGGCTTAGATTGCTGCCATGCTTTTGCCTCAGCAGCGCCACTGTGACTACCCAGTTCCACAGGTGAGCTGGATCCTGGTCCACCGCTTGCAGGGGCCTGGTCTGCAGCTCCAGGCTCTCCTGGGAGGGACACCACCATCCTGTGTGAGCAGCTTTTGGTTTGGACTATTGGATACTGTGGACACACTCTGGGGTCGGACAGATGGCCATTTGTGGCCTTAGAAACATTTACCATTTTCCCAGGCACCTTTTTCTAAATAAGCCCTGTTGTTGCTATTCCCTGCGGTTGAACTGTGTCTTACAGGTGTGAGCACCCATACATACTGTATCTATCCCCTCAAAGTTCTGCTCACTTTCATGATTAAATGTGCTAAACAGGTTGGCTTTCTGACATCCGTATTCTTAGAGATTGTTCCTTCTTCTAGTGGCGTTGAATGTACCTGAGAAGACTCTTGGTCATACGTGTGAAAATTTTCCTCCTAGTAATGTTTTGAATCAGTATTTCCCTAATGCTGGGCCAAAATAACGTAAGACTTTGGTTTAGTCTGACCTGTTTAGGTCAGAAATGTTCTTCTATAACTTTTCCTCATTTTATGACGTTCACCATACTTAACTTCAGGGAGCAACCTGTGGCTATGCTTTTCTGTAGTGCTATTTCAGGCAGAAATAGAAAAGGCCTTAAATGATCTGATGATGTTTACCCTTTTTTTTGGTAGAAAATTACGAAAAACTGTGAATGGTGATGGGAATCGAGAAAATGGAAATAACTCCTCTGATAAAGTCAGAGGAGTAGAAACTTTGGAATCTGCACCCTTTATTGGTGGTTTTTGGGGGACTCTCTTTGGCAACAGGTGGGAAGTCTTTCATGGAAATTTTTACTTGATTTCATATTTATATTAGTGTTTACATAGTATGTGATCTAACTACCTCATAGAGTATGAAGTGGAAGCTGATGGTCATTGTGGTGCGATTTGTAAGTGTTCTAGAAGGATTTGCTTATTCTCCATGTCTCTACTGTCTGTCATGTTACCTGTAATTCTAATAATTTACCATAAAAGCTGTATTCTGTTTTATTTTTAATGATAAAATTCATAAGATTACAGGAATGTAAGTATTCCGAAAGGGCCCTATCAGCCAACATTCGAAGAAAGGGTTTTCAGAATATCAGGTATTTTCCAGTGTGAGAGCTGATATCGATTAGAAATGGGATATAGGACAGAAGGCTGGTGTTGACGGGCTGTGGTACAGAAAGGGAAATGAAACCTGGAAAAACTCTCCCTCCACAATTTTGCAGATCATATAAGCACTGTTTGACTCAAAGAAATAACTGTCAGCTGTTAATGATTGTAACTCAAAAATACAGGCTTTAAAAAAATTCACAGTTCCTTTTTTGAAGATGAAGTAGGTTCAGATGTTTCTAAAGAAATGTTTTCTGTAGTTGAAGTGTTTGAGGTCTTTGTGCTAAATATTTTGCTGGGCACAAGATTTCTCTGTTTACCATCTAAGCAGAAAGGTGAGAGTAGCAGGTTGATCTGTTGCCGTAGTGTGAAAACATGACACGGTCCCCTGCTGACCGAGGAGCCTCAGCTCAGTAGAAGGGGTGATTATTCTGGGGCAAAGGGAGAGCAGCTGAGCTCATGAGCCTGCTTCCTTTCAAAACTGAAAAGAACAGGCTTTTTTCAAGTAATTGACACAAGTCTTTGGAGACTAGGGGTAAATATATGCTACTGTGTTTAAAACCAGTAAGCTAGAGACTGTAAAAATGTGATTGGTGAATTTTTTTGATTTCTAGAAAAAATGTTGTGCTCCTTAGAAGACAATGATTTCATGAGACATTTGTTTTCAGAAAACTTGGTAGTAATCTTTTTTCCCTTTTAAAAATAGGATTAAAAGAGTAAAATTGATATGTAACAGAGGGACTGAAACTGACAATGATGCGAGTTGTCTTCATCCTATCATTAAGAAGAGACAGTGTCAACCAGAGATTAGAATGTGGCAAACTAGAGAGAAAGCAAAATTTTCAGATGGAGATAAACGCCATAGGGTAAGATTTTGATGAGAATATAACAAAATTCCTTTCCTGTGTAAAATTTTCTTATTCTTAAACCCTATTAGAATCACAAAATAGTTATTACTGCGTTTGTGTAATTGTCTTGGCAAATAAGTAAGCATAAGACCCCAGTACATGAAAAGGAGAATATCGCATGAAAATTTTGCCTTACTCTGATTTCTCAGACTAGAACTTGGTATTGCATCTACTGCTGGCCCCGGCCTCAGCAGTGGGCAGGTTGATTTAATAAACAGATTAGTGCAGAGGCTGCTGTGTTCTAATCTAGAGAGGCAGTAAGGGGGTGTGGAGGGCTGGGAAACCAGATTCTAGGTTAGCTTCTGCTGTGTCTACAGCTAACTGCACTCTACTTGGTAGCCTAGACATGTTTTTTCATTTGTGAGACTGTGATGTCCAGTAATTTAAAATAGCTAATATTTTTCGAGTCATTACTTAACTAGGTACTCATTTAATTTTCTTAACAATTCTGTGAAATAGGTGCTTTTATTACTGTTGCTTTTCGATGAAGAAACAGAGCCCCAGAAAGGTGTCAGTCTGCGCAAGGTTTACATAGCGGGGAGAGGACAGCTGTGATTGAGACAGAGAGTGACCCGAGGCTGTGTTTGTAAACGCTGGCTAGTCGCACCTCGCCATGTAGGCTGTGTAATTTCATGTTCAGTGTTTTCTTTACTGAGAGCAAGTAATTGATAAAGGCTTGTTCAGGTTTGGCTTTGTTTGCTTTTACTGCTTCTCAGTTTTTATACTCTGTTTTCACGTGTGAGCTGACGAGACTATTTCGGGCTGTCCCAGGTGAAGGACTCACTGTTCTCTTTGTAGGAGGCTTTCAGGCATGTGGGTCCTGGGGTTTCGGATGATCTGTCAAGTGAAGAAGATGGTGAAGCCCGAAAGCAGATGATCCTGTTGCGCAGGAGTGTGGAGGGGGCCTCCAGTGACAACGGTTGTGAAGTGAAGAACAGAAAGTCAATACTTACAAGGCACCTAAATTCTCAGGTAATTTTTAGTTTAGTTTATAAAAGCAGGGACATTCAGTTGTACATTGCTGAATAGCCACGAGGGGCTTCACATCTTGTTCGTTGGCAGGTAAAGAAAACCTCTCCCAGGTGGTCTCACATCGTGCGGGATTCGGACAGTCTCGCCGAGTCAGAGTTTGAATCCGCAGCCTTCAGCCAGGTAATGTAGCCCGAGAGATCCCTGTTCCGGGCACATCCTTGTCTCAGGTAACTTTATTCATTTCTTTTGTATTGGTTGCCCTGAAGTAGTGTTTGTATTTGCCCGCCCCTCTCCAAGGGATGGGCGTGTTCATTAATGTTCACTTGAAACGTGGAGTTTATTCTTAAGCATCCTTCCTGCTTCAGTGGGACTGGTGCTGGTGTGGGGACTGGTTTTTGGGAAATGACTCCTGAGGGATGAACGCAGTATCATGGGCACACTGGGAGGTGAGCAAAGTAGATGATGGCATGGTTTTTGAGTGTGAATGTCAGCAGGGTCTTGGAAAATGTTCCTGTTTGTTTGTCCTGTGAGACAGCTGCAGTGTCCATCCTTCCTCTGCCTGGTTCTCTTTTCCAGGTGTGTCTAGACAGAACTAGCTCTGTAGCGAAGCTCATGGTACTTAGAGTAGGGCACACTTCGGATGTGGCAAAGGCTCAGCCCTACCTGTACCCAGGGGAGGTCTTCTACCCCAGTGCCCGAGTTGGACAATCCTATGATTTGACAGCAACAATTCCAATGGAGTCCTTTCAAAGTCCTACTTGTTAGAGCCATCAGTGTAACATTTGAATGAGATGTGTTATTGTTTTGTCATTGACTTATGAAAGCAGTCCAGCCAGAGCCATAGATAACTTGTTTTCATTTTATTTCAGATATAAATTGCTTTCAGAAATGAATGAAAAATTTTTGTCTTTTGTTTTCTGATTAGGGCTCTAGATCTGGTGTGAATGGCGGCTCGCGAAGCCTCAACATGTCAAGGAGAGATTCAGAAAGCACCCGCCACGACTCGGAGACCGAGGACATGTTATGGGACGACCTTCTGCACGGCCCAGAGTGCCGCTCGTCCGTCACCAGTGACAGTGAGGGGGCCCACGTAAACACCCTTCCCCCGGGGGCCAAGCGCGACCCCAAAGAGGACGTCTTCCAGCAGGTCTGTAAAGGCAGTGATACTATAGTTAGTATTCACTGTGCACTTCCCTTGTGCCAGGCACTATTTTACCTCATTTCACTTCACAGTAATCCTGTAAGGTTGATGCTATTAATATTATTATACCTGATTTAGAGATGAGGAAACTGAGCATGGTTGTAAGCAAAGAACTGAGGGAGAAGTAATCTAGAGTTGCCCTAACCTAAATTTTCCTTACATTGATCGTTCCTAGTCACTGTTTGCATAGTAGGTCAAGCACATGTTGTGTTTCCACGGATACCACAGTGTTGGATGGGAGTTACTAGGCGTTGCTCACTGCTGTAACAATGTGTAAGCCCAGTGATGCTTTTAATTTTCAGTTTTATATTAATCATAAAATCAGGTAGCCTAGTGTTGGAGGTCCCTTAGAAGACATTTCAGCCTTCCAGCCAACATAGGAGTTCATTCTAGCTCTGTGGAAATTTTTACCATCTATCATGTGGTTATAATTGTTCCTGTTTCTTAGGAATATTGTGATATATGGAGATGATGAGATGCCATGATGCCTAGCAGAGTAAGCGTCCAGTAAGCGTCCGCAGTATTATGTATGTCCCCAAATGATGAGTCAGCCTCTGCTCAAATACATCTGGAGCTGAGTGATTGTTATTTCATGAGTCAGCTTGTTCCACTGCTGGACAGAACGAGTGATCAGGAAATGGTTCTCCCACCGCCTTTCAGATATTTCATGCCAATGATTGTCATTCCTCTCATCCTTTTTCCTTTAGGTCCAGTATTTCCACGGTAATGTACATATAATGGACAGTGGATTTGCATTTGCATTTTCTTGATTCTAAGATATCATTGACTTAGGTTATACATTTTATGAAAAAAAATCCTGCTTCATTAAATGTATAGTTTAAAAAAAAACTAGAAAGAATACATACTTTCTGATGGAAATTTGCAACCTATTCAGTTTTGCTATCAAAATTTGAATCTAAAATATTCTGTGCATTTGGTCAAAAGACTCATCTGAATTACTTTAGCCTTCAGTAGTTTTGCTTAGCCTGGTGATGACCTTGACCTCCGTTGCACATTGGGACATACAGGGTAATTCTGAGGCACATACCAGATTAGGTAAAAGATAAACGCACTGTGTCAAGTGGAGTTCATTTCCCAGTCCCCCCTGCTACCCCGTTCTTTCCTCCACGTTTCTGAATGCCCCCACTCTCCATCAGAGAGGACACCCCAGACCGATGCCTGACCCCTCCCTCTACAGTGTTTCTGATCGGGAGTCACACTTTGGTGATGCTGCTGTACAGTCTCAGCCCCTATCCTGCGCCCTCCTGCTCGGCGCGGGCCACCTCATCCGGGTCACGGCCCAGCTGCTCCAGGCTGGCTTCCCATCATTGCGGTTCCCACACTGCAGCTAGAGTGGAGCTTCTAAAGTAGGAATTTCATGCCCTACCCTTAAAACCCTTTAATTACTTTAGTCCCCTTCTGGGTTATTTGCTTTCGTTTGCTCTGCTACAGCCTCATCTCTGCCCATTCCCTCCCAGGCCCTCCCATGGCATGAGTTAAACTCACTGAACTTGCAGTTTCTACTGTGCCTTTCCTCGTGCGCTTCCCGCCTTCTGTATCCTGGTGTCTTTGCCTGGAATGTACTTTCCTCCAGTATCCATGCCTTTTAATTTACCTGGTGTTGGCCTGAGGGACTTCTTTTAGGAGGACTTTTCTATATATTCCTAAATCACTCCCCCGCTGCTTACCGTGTCGAGTAGTAATTTCGTCTTCCTCAGCCTGTGATCTCCTGGATGTCACATCTGTCTTTTCTCGTATATAAATTTATTTTGCTAAATCAACGAATAAATCAGTGTGCTCATAAGTATTATGTTAAGCATTTTGGTAGAAAGAGAAGAAATACACTGTTCTTTAGAAATTGTATTTCAGTTTGGGGAAAAGATGATTATATGGATATGGGTAGAGGACACGATAAAAATAGCATATGGTTAGATGCCAATTTGTCTGTTAGAGGCTGTAAGAGTTAATTTCGAAGGAGGGCCATCTTGGTGATTGTGACTTGAAGAGTAAGACAAACACCAGAGGTTAGGCTGGAGGAAAGACTTAACTCCTCCTGAGTCATTCGGGTGCCACTCAAGGCCTGTTAGCGTCTCTCCTGCCTAACTTACTACAGCGCGTCGAGCTGTGTTGCTTTGTAAATAGTCTGCCCCCCGCCCCCTTAATATTCCATGAATACACCAAGTTTATACTCATTTCCAAATATTTAGAGAGGGAAACACAGTCTTGAAGACCATGGACTTGTACTGTTTCTCATTACAGAGGAACATTTAGGCTCTCTCCAGGCAAGAGAATGGCTTAGTAAAGAAAAAGAGAGACCTAGAAAGAAGTCAGCATGTGAGAGGTAGTAATTCGAGTGATGAGTTCTGTGCGGGTGAGACCAGAGTGATTCTGAATGTTGGCCAGTGTAGCCGCGGCAGGGGCGGGGACGGGGGCTGGGCAACGGGGGGAAAATCTAATGGAGAAAAGGAGTGGATGGAAATGGTTTTCCTATTTTTCTTCTTAGAACCATTTATTCTGGCTTCAGAATTCAAGTCCTGCCTCTGATCGAGTTAGTGCAATCATCTGGGAAGGAACTGAGTGTAAAAAGATGGATATGTCTGTGCTGGAAATAAGTGGCATCATCATGAGCAGGGTAAGATTTAATAATTTCAGATTTAAAATAAAACTTTTAGTGATCAGCAGCCATTTTATAGAACCTATTTCATGTCAAAACAGACTATTTTTGAAGCACATTATTTTTTCATAGTCTTGGTGGTAATTTAATGTTACAAAGGTCTATGAACACGGTCAATTGTTCAGGAATACTCTACAAATACTCCTTATCCTCTTAAAGCCTAATAGGATATACGTTATAAATCTGTATTTTAATGTGTACATCTTTTAAAATGTGTGTTCAATTAAATAGTTTTTGGTAAACACTGAACTCAACCTCATTTAGCTACACATTAATGAATATAAAATTTAAACATTTTAAATTCCAGGTTAATACATATCAGCAAGGAGTAGGTTATCAGATGCTGGGAAATGTGGTCACCATTGGATTAGCCTTTTTTCCTTTCTTACATCGTCTTTTCCGTGAGAAGAACCTCGACCAACTAAAGTCCATTTCAGCTGAAGAGATCTTGACTCTCTTTTGTGGGGCACCACCTGTTACACCTATTCTTATTTTGTCTATAATTAATTTTTTTGAACGCTTGTGTCTTACTTGGATGTTTTTTTTCATGATGTGTGTGGCTGAGAGGACCTATAAACAGGTTGGTAGAAAATTAAGTAAAACTTACCTTCGTTTATGTATGTATTCCAGAGAGTTGTTTTTCTTGATTTTTCTCTCCAGAAGTTAAGGTGGGCAGTGTAGGATTGACCGGGGGACGTGGTGTGTGGGGTCTTATCACTTGTGACATTGAGTCCTCACAACTGACGTGCTGTCGTCTGCAGTTTTGCTGAGCCTGCACGTAGGACTATAGCTCCTCACCTCTGGTGCCTTTGACGTTTTGATCTAGAGCATGTTGGGAATTCTTAAAGTGATGATGTTTCTGAGTAAAGTGGCCAAGTGAGAAAGAAACATTGAAATTTGACAAGAGTCAGGGATTAAGGACTTAGTATACTGATACGTCCAGGAAATGTCATTTGGGAATAAGCAGAATTTTGTATAAACATTTGAGCTTGTGAACTCAAAGTCTACAAAAAAAATTCCTTGCAAATGTTATGAGTGAACTGTGATGTGAAGAAATATTACTATGTAATGTGCTTTGGGAACAACAGGGTAATGAGCTGTTAATGAATTTTTTTCACTGCCTCTCAGTGATCAGCGATTAGAATCTCATCATTTTTACCATCTATATGCTGGGAATATTGTTTACAATTATATAAATACACAGGCATTTTCCACTTTGTGATTTTTTTCCCCCGCCCCTAACTTCTTCCAGAGATTTTTGTTTGCAAAACTCTTCAGCCATATTACTTCTGCCAGGAAAGCTAGGAAATATGAAATACCTCATTTCAGACTTAAAAAGGTAGAAAACATTAAGATATGGCTATCACTGCGATCCTATCTAAAGGTAAGTTGTATCTGATTAGCAATATAATATACACAAGAGTGTGCAGAGAATGTGCTGACTGAAATTTCTGTTAGCAGATACTCCATAGGGAATGTATTGTAGTTCTGGGTATTGGACGGGTTGTATTGGTGGCTGACTGGCTTGCCGGGCACCAAATTGGAAGTGTCTATGTGCAAAGCTGGTAGGGGCAAGAAAATTTCAATTCTTAGGGCAGAGTGATTGAATATTGTACCTTTTTCTGACTTGTGGAGCTATTTCAGGTGGAAACATGCCCACCTGTCCCCTCCTAAACTTGGAACAGCATGAATTTCCATGTAATTAAGGTTGAAGCTATTTGAAATATGTTAAATGCTATGCCAGAAGTTTCTCACAAATGTTTATTTTCACATTGATTTAGTAATCAGTGTTAATGATGCGAGGACCCTGCTGTCTTTGACATGGATCTGAATCATGTTTCTCACTCCACAGAGACGGGGCCCACAGCGTTCTGTTGATGTGGTTGTATCTTCAGTTTTCTTACTGACACTTTCAATTGCTTTCATTTGTTGTGCCCAGGTAATGAAAAACGGAAATTCTATTATAGGGTCCACATTCTTTTTTAGACCAATTCATTGTGTCCAGGTGTATATATTTTTAGTATGCCTATATTTCTTTTGAGTACTTGTTAATTTTTCTAACATTTTGAATTGAGAATGAAAGAATTTTGAAATCCTTTAAGACTCTAAGATAACTCTAGTTTGATTTTAGTTGGTAATTTTTAACTGATTAAATTTATTTTCTAACTCTTGTTCCTTCTGCCACTCTAAGGCAGACCTTTTCTTTCCCATTCACTTATTATACTATGAACTCATATGCTCATTTTTATCCAGGGGTCTATAATCTATTGTATGTTTTGATGCCTAAATTGTCATAGAGTAGGCCAGCAGGAGGCCTGTCTTTTGTCTCTTTGACACTCTGCTTTCTTCACTACAAGAGGTTACAAGCTTATTAGGTACTTTCCCGTTGATTGAATTTTGACTTAATCTGTGGTCAGAGGACATACTCTTGAATGTTTTTGTTCTCTGAAATGCGTAGAGACTATTATTCATCATATCGTCGGTTATATTAAATTTCTCTCCGTCCAGATGTTTGGCTTATACTAACTATAGTTATCATTAGCCCAAGTTTTGTTTTGTTTTTTACATTTTATATTTTTATTTTAAATAATAAATTTTATTTTTATATTCCCCCATACAATTGCAAACCCCCCATTCTGACCCCGATCCCTCCCCTTCCACCCCCCAAAAAGTGTCTCTGGTTCATAGTTTTTTGTTGATTTTGATTTTCACTTTCTTATAGTTATTCATTTTCCTGGTCCCTTATTTAAGTTTTCTAGATTCCTGCTATGAGTGAGACCATCCGGTTCATTAGCCCAAGTTTATTGTATTGCTAAAATCTATATTCTTTGCTGTGATTTTGACAGCAGTGTGTTCAAGTCTACTACGATTGTGGATTTATCTTTTTTCTCATTTGTCAAATTTTGCTTCATGTAAGATTAAGAATTGTTATCCATGTTTTTGGTGAGCTCTTAGTTGTCATGTCTCTAGAATAGTGTCAGGCTTTTCTGTCATGACCCTATGAGATGTCTATTTAAGATTTACCATATTAGATGACAAGTTTTTGTCTACCCTCTCCATTTTGTCTTCATAGTTTAGTTGTGCAACTTGTACTCATACTTTTGGGTTGCTTGTTTCTTAATCTAAGCTCACAATATAAGCGTTTGGTCCATTTAAACTTAAATGGAAGCACTATACTACTCCTTGGTTCCTATTTGATTTACTTGATAATTTTCCTTTTATTCCTAATTTTTTACATATTCTTTTACTACTAGTGACCCCAGAGATTAGACTATAATAAGTAAGGATGTATGTTGTAATTATTCACTTACCACTATCATTTACTCATTCACTTTTAATAGTATCCTTTAATTTTACATATATTTTGAACCCACAGATATAATTACTTTTGTAGTCAGTTACTCATTGGTAAATTTGTATTTACCCTTTTTATTGCTTTTCAATTTTTTCTGCTTGAAGAATCCGCTGCCACTGAATCCTGCTTTCATCTTGAAGGATAGTTTCATGGCACATAGAATTCCAGGTTGCCAGTTACTTTCTGCATGTTCTGTTGTCTTCTGATTTCCCTATTTTGAGAAGTCAGTTGTTAGTCTCATTGCTGCTCTTTTTAAAGTACGGTAATCTCCCTTATCCATAGTTTTGGAAGCAAAACTATGGTTGTAGTTAATTGTGGTCAACCAGTCTGAAAATACATAACAATATTTTGAGCGGGAGACCACAGTAACTTCACTTTTATTACAGCATACATACTGTTATAACTGTTCTATTTTTAGTAGTTGTTAATCTCTTACTGTGGCTAGCTTATAAATTAGTCATTGGTATGTATCTAAAGGGAAAACACAAGCTATATAAGGGCTTTGTATGATCCATGATTTCAGCTATTTGTGGAGGGCACTGTAATGTTCTTTTTCCCTTTTTAAAGAGTTTTTGGTTTACAGTAGTTTCATTGTGGTTTGTGCACCCTGCTAAAGAGGGGGGCTTCGTTGTTACTTTCATACCCCTAGTTATGACTAATTGGCATGGCTGAACACATGATCTAGTCTAAAACCCTGAGCTATCAGTGGCGGACTTTGGAGGAAAAAAGGTCAGCAGTGGTCAGTGGGAGGCAGAGGAATCTGCCAAGGGGAGAGACCACATGATTGGTGATTTCCTGTTTTTGAAAAGGCCTATATTTGGTTTCTGTGAGTGTTCTCTGTATATATTTTTTTAAATTCCATTTTATCCTGGACTTGTGTAAATTTCTTACCAGAAAATATAACACAAAATGGGCATTCAGTACCTGGCAGCTACTGTTGCTATTCAGATCCTAAAGTGGAGTGAGGAGCTGATCCTCAGGATGTGCTGGACTTACCAGTGGGTGGACCACATATTTTAGGGCGCTCTACAAATGTCTTGTGTATTGAGTAGTGGTCACCATATCATTGTGAGTGGAGACTCTGGTTAAAGAGGCAATGAGATGCATTTTTTTTTTAATTAGGAAAAAATAATCTAGGACACTTAGAGAAACATGTGACTAGTTAAGTAGATATTACTTCATAAGTAATCAAAACTTATGCTTTGAGCATTACAATATTGATTCTTATAAATATTTTTAAATTGCTAATGCGTAAAGGATGAAGACTTTTTACCCCCTGCCTTGGATCTTTTGTATAGGTTCTCCAAGGACATAAAACTTTCTTGAATGATGCTTATAATTGGGAATTTTTGATCTGGGAAACAGCTTTGCTACTTTTCTTACTGCGCTTGGCCTCATTGGGGTCTGAAACCAATAAGAAATACAGCAACGTTTCAATATTACTTACGGAACAGGTAGGTATTGATTGGTCCTCGTCATTTTGCTGTCTGTAATTGTTTCACAAATGTGGATCTCCTTCCCATAAGCTCTCAGGATCGTAAGCATTAATAGACTGAAAATAGAATCGAGGTATTTTTGCTGGTGGTAATGGAGCATGCTTTTAATTTTATATTTTACATTCAAGTATTAGCTCTTTAGAGCCCGTGTCATTTAACTATGTGTAGTTAAGCATCTTGAATTTCTTCTGTATCAGCTGTAAAACACATTGTGTCCAGAAAATACTTACTCTAGGTGACTAGACACTAAGATTGGGAAATGTTTGAGTCATTTAAAATTGTACTTTTTACCTTAGAATTATAATGGAGAATGCTTCTTAAGGATGAAAATACGGAATTAATAAGTTGGACGCAGCCGTCTTCTTCCATTCCATGAATGTTTAATGAGGGAGTTAGGTTATTTTACTCATCCTGGTATCCCCCAAAGTAGTTTTTGAACTCAAGGAATTTACATATTACCACCCTGTAATTGTTTCATCATTTTTAATCTTTGCCACATGTCACTAATTAGGGATGCTAGGGCATGTGGCATGTGTGGCTGTAGAAAGAGTTGCTGGAATTTAAAAAAATCCCAGACTTAATGTGGTAATCTTTTTTAATTAAATTTACCTTAATTTGTATTCCTTCCCTTAGATTAACTTATATCTTAAAATGGAAAAAAAGCCAAATAAAAAAGAACAACTTGCTCTAGTAAACAATGTATTGAAGTTGTCCACCAAGTTATTGAAAGTAAGTAATATTCTGTGATACACTTTTTATACCATTAAAGTCAGTGCTTTACTTGTTGGGCTGTCTAGATTCAAACACCAACTTGATGGTTTGCAGTTAAGACGAAAACTTTTTCTCATAGTTATTGTTACTCAGATTCTGTTGATTGCTAATGTCTGTCACATTTTAAAATTTTTTATAAACACAAATAACAATATATTGCTCTAAACCCACCTTAAAGATTCTAGCTATCGACCATTAAGGAAAAGCAATCATCCTTTCACAGGACTTAAACAGTCCAGAAATTATTAATAGTCATTGGGAAATTATGTTTCATCTCAATTCTTTCGTGTTTCTGTAGGAGCTGGACACACCATTTAGACTTTATGGACTGACAATGAACCCCCTGATCTACAACATCACACGAGTTGTCATCCTTTCCGCGGTCTCGGGTGTTATAAGTGATCTTCTAGGATTTAATATAAGAGTAAGTGTGACCCCCACTCTGTAGCATCTGCCTTAGTGTTAAAATTGCTAAAGCTGATGATCTTTGCATTTCATACTTTGTGTGTGGCTGGCATGGAAAGAAATCTCAAGGTAAAAAAGTAGACCTTTTCATTGGTAGTCCACAGGCTACGCAGCTCAGGTTTTCTCATTTCACATAGTACAAGAGACTGTGCTCTTGCATGGAACAAAAAAAAAAAAACACTGGAACAAAAACTCCTCTGAGTTTAGTAGCCTGGTGGGGGTAGGGTCTTCCTCTGGTCTGGGGAGACACGCAGAGCAGCCCCGACAGGAACCAAAACCACACCAATTGTGGTGTCGTTTTTGACCCAGGTTTTTAATGTTTCTTTTCTCTATTTTGTTCTGTGGCTTCTGTTGCCACAGTGGATACTTTTTCTTGGTAAAGGAGGCTTGGTTCCGCATCATGTAAGTCTACCCAAAACCCCCCGCCTACTGTCTTAAAACTTACTTACCTTTGTGGTTTTGATGTTTTAGCTGTGGAAAATTAAATCATAAGCTGTGCCTGGCCCCTCGCTGACATCAGTACGTCCCTTAAGGAAAGAGACGACTGCGGAAACCCACCTGCTCGTCCACACAGCGCTGCCCGCGGGGCTCTGCTACGGCTAATGAATGGTGTTTTCGGAGGAACAAATCTTCCAGCCAGGGATGCATGCTAAAAACATGTATTTTTTTATGGCTTTCAAACAATATGAATAGTGTGGAGATTACAGACTGTGTTATGGTAACACAGGGCAACTTTTTAAGTTAGGGCATTTCAGCACTGTGACAGTTACATTTACTCGAAGTAGTCTTTTGGGTAACTATGGTAGGTGCCCAAAGCATGATGCAAATAGCCTTTATTAGAAATGTGCAAATACAGTACTTTTCTATTACAGTCTATGGAACTGGAGATTTCATTTCTCTCACAAAGAGGGAGCAAATTTAAACTATTTTAAGTTGAACTTAAATAAAAGGACTCCTGGAAAATTTCAGTCTCTAGTTTTTTTTTTTTTGGTGGTGGTGAAGGATACATTGACCCTTTAGGCCGTGCCTTCTGTTAACTAAAAGTTTCTTCATAGTTTAATTCTAATAACTGTATAGTTGTTGGTAAAAGAATATGCATGGGAAATCGAAGTGTAAGCATACTCACACATGTGTAAGCAACATGGCTACTTCTGTGTAAGCCACCAGAGCTGTGTGTCCTGTAAGGACTGAGCGAAGCATTAAGCTGCACAACAGATAAAACAATTCATGTATCCAGCCCTTACTAGAACTTTGGGGTCCTCAGCATCTGTACTCAGCCACGCTGTGCCTTTGATCACTTAGAGCTGCCAGCATCCCTTTACACACACATGTCTATACAAATGCTAATGAGCACTCGAGCAGTCTACTTGAAATTCTTAGTTACTTGCTTTTGAAGAATCTCTTGAGGAATTTGAAAGCTTGAACACTTAACTGATTTTGTAAATTTTTAAATGCAAATTAGTTATTCCATGTAAAGCATGTACTCATGTAAAGTCAGCGTATCCATTATACATATCCTCATATGCAAGAAGATGTTTGAGGTTTAAAAATGAAGAGATCAGACCTTTCTGACTCGCCAGATCGTTGCTCTGCCACTTACTAGCTTCTAAATCTTGGGCAAATGAACTTTTATCTCTTAAATGGTGATAACTACTTGATAAGGTTAAGGCTAAGTGAGATTAACAACTCAGTAAAGTGCCCACACAATAGAGTTAGAAATTAGTGGAGTTGCAAAATACATTTGTCATTAGTATTTAAAATCCTTTAAAAAAATCTCACTGATAGATTCCTCAATGTGAAGACAGAAATATAAGCAAGGTCGCTGAAGTAGATCACGGAAAATATGCAGCCAGTCTAAAAGCAGCAAGACTTACAGTTTGAAAGGGACAGGCCATGATAATGACTTACCTTTAAAAGAAACTTTGCAAAAGCACTCCAGTGTCTCCTTCGATGGCTCAGAGAAATCATGTTCGCTTTTCCTGTAAGAATAGCAACACTCTGAAGTCCAAGATTAAATTCAGTGCCTATTTCGGATGGAAGCAAACTGATGCTTATATCCCTTTTTTTTTTTTTGGTGGGACCCTCGCCGGCAGCCGGGGATCGAACCGGTGCTGCAGAGGCTGCGGGCAGCCTCGCAGCCCAGCGCTCAACCGCTGCGCCACCAGGGGAGGCCCTGCTTTTATCTTTTTCTCCAAGTTTTTAATTACAATTTTTACACAATGAATTCTCCATAAGTGCAGTAATGCAGGGTCATTTTCTCTTGTGGGTTGTTGTAATGGTGAGAATGTATAATTGTTTAAATTACATTTAAGGTGGGTGAAATTTTGTTAGTTGCTCATGTCAGAAACTTGAGAATCATTCTCAACTCGCTCCTCTCCCTCATACCTCACATCTAATCACCAAGCCTTAGACTAATTCTACTTGTCTGGTCACCCACTCTTTGCCCTCCTCACTTCCACCACCCCAGTCTAGTCAACATCCTTTGTTTTCTGATTATCTATTTCTCTGCTATTGTGTATGCATGACCCCCCCCCCCAGCCCAATCTATTCTCAAAAAGCTGATGTGTCTCTTCTGATATACAAGCCTCTTCTTTTAGAATCATTAATGGTTTGCTATTTTTTTTTTAAGATTTATTTATTTATTTATACATACAAGCACTGGGTACAGTCAGAAGCGCGGGAGGGTGAGCGAATTCACCAGAGCCAGAGCGGGGGGCAGAGCAGGCAGAAGGACTGAAGCACACTGCTGAGGGGAGCAGCGGGCGGCAGGAGAGGTCTGCGCGCCATGTGGGACCCTCGTCCAGTGGCTGGGGAGCAGCCGGGGATCGAACCGGCGCTGCAGAGGCTGCGGGCAGCTTCGCAACCCAGCGCTCAACCGCTGCGCCACCGGGGAGGCCCGGTTTGCTATTTTTTTTGAAGATGACATCCAGGATGCTTTTAGCAAGGTTACAGACCCACTCTTCAATCTTTATCTTCAAAAGATATTTTTGCAGCATATAAAAATACTGGTTTTACTCGTTGCTGTTCTGCCCCTCTGGCCTGCATTGCTTCTGACATTAACCTTTGTTCCTCTGTTAGGCATGTAATGTCTTATTTTTTTATTTAACTTACTGTATTTAAGGTTAACTTTATGGCAGAATTTGTGGTTTTAACTGTAATGAACACTAGTGTTCTTAATTTTTTTTGTGTCTGTGCTTTGTGGTTATTTCTAGAATGAATTTTCTGTACCTCAATCTCATCGACCTCCTTTTGGGACCCCAATTACATATATGTTAGGCTGCTTGAAACTTTCTGCAGCTTTACTGATGTTCTGTACATTTTCTTGCTCTTTGTCTTTCATTTTGGATCGTTTCTATTTCTGTGCCTTCAAATTCACTCACCTGTCATTCTAAACTAATTTGCTGTTAACCCTCTGCAGTGTATTTTCACTTATGGAAGTCTCATTACCAAAAAAAAAAAAAAGTTTCTTATTAACATGCAATTTCTTTTTGTTTCCTTAATATTAGAAATAGCAGATAAGGACAAAAGACATTTAATAGTTATCTTTGTCTTTTTTAAAAACTGATTTTTATCACTTTGGGTCAGATTTTTCTACTTCCTTGCATACCTGGTAATTTTTTATTGGATGTGAATTTTACATTATTCGGTTTTTGTATGTTTGTACTCTGAAGTGTTTTTGAGCTTTGTTTTGGAATGCAGTTACTTGGGAATTATTTGATCACTTCCAAGATTTGCTTTTAAGCTTATCAGGTGGGTCACTGCAGCCTTCCTAAGGGACTTTCTCCCCCACTGCTGAAGCACTGTCCTCCCGAGTCCTCTTACCTGATCCCTGTTCATTATGAGGTTTTTCTAGATGGGCTACGGAAACACGAACTTTTTTCAGTTCAGTTCAAGAATTTTTCTGCCTTTTTTGGGTATTTTGACCAATTCCTGGGTATTTGTGCTGCTAGTGCTCACCTGAAGATCCGGAAGGTATTCTCTGCACAGCTCTGCAGCTCGCTCTCTGCAGCTGTCTTCTCTCTTGTACGCTGCCCTGAAAATCCTCCTTGTCCTGGCCTCCCCAGGTTCTTCACTCCATCTCCTTCATTCAGCCGGGCTGCTGGGCTCAGTTCGTGTTCCCCCTTGCTGCACTGTAGTGTGGAAACCGCCTTTAGGCAGTAGCCGGGGGCCACACGGGACTCACCCCCTTCCATCCACTATCCCCCACGTATGCTTGTCCAACATCCAAAACCCATTTTTAAAAAATTTAAGGTGGTTTTAAATGTTCTCCCTTAGTAAGTGAAACAGTTTACCTGGTTGCCCAACCAGAAACAGAGCCTTATTGTTGGTTCCTCTTTCCATTCATAACTGACTAACACCGAGCCTGTCAATTCTGCATTTTCAGTGCTACCAAGTTAACCTCTCATTTTCACTTGGATTCCTACGCGGACCCACTGTTTCCTCTTCATTCTTGCCTCCTGCAGTCAGTTCTCCACAGCCGCATGAATGAGCTTGACACCTTGGAACTAACATAATTGCTGTTTTCCTGGCCTTCTCTGTGATGCCTCCAAGATCTCTCTCATCAGGCCCGGCTTCCTTTCCAGCTTCACTTCCTCAGTACCTCACCACCACACTGGCCTCCCTCTGTTCCTCCATTACCTGGAATGTCTCCATAGCTTCTCCCCCGGATGACGTGGCCATGTCAGTTTCTTGGAGGGCAGTTCTCTGGTAACTCTCAGGTCGAAAATACAGGAACTCAGACTATCCTTCCCCATCGTATCCCTGTTACGTTACCTGGCCCTGGTTCATATCCTTCACGGGACTTAACACAACCTGATTATCTCTTCAGTTTTTGCCTACTTGTCTTTCCCATTAAAATACAGGTGCCTTAAGGCAAGGACACGTCGTCGTGGTTCACTCCTAATCCCCAGAATCAAAATAGCACCTCACCCCTTAACAGGTACTCAATATAAACGTGGCGAATGAATAAATGGACTTCAAATAATTTACCACAGATGCAGTTTCCCTGCTAGGATGGAAGAGTTGTAACTTCATGCTGCGTCTGCCCTTGGTACTTTATTCCTGTAATTTCTAGCAATTTGGACTTCTGATCTCAAAAGGAGTGAGTTACACCTTAGTAATATTTACCTGTGATGGAGAAATTAAACCAGGAGTTAAAAACCAGGTCAGGTCATTCAGTCATTGAATTCAAATAGCAAAAATTATAGACATAAGAAAAATACCTGTTAGCTTGATTTATAATTGGTTGTGGTACCGGAAAAAAATTTAAGAGCCAACATTGCTGTGGAATTAGAATTTCCAAACTTTCTGGATAAATACACTATGGCCCATGAAAATATAAACCCTTTAATCACATACTTACCTAGCTGGGATATGGGTTTCTTGGCTTTCAGAAACATGTAGAAAAATTCTACATTAACCATCTAAATACCAGGATGTCTCATGAAATATGTGCTTATGATTCTGTTTGCACTTTTGGTTCATTGTAAAGTGGACTTGTCTGCTGTAAAAATTAATTTCAAGCTAATGAAATTCATTTTTGAAATAGCCTCATTCCCAAATACAGTGTGAGATCTGAGATTATCAAAAAGCAAATTCATTAATCTCATCACTATACTTATGGAGGGTTCTGTCATTTTAAGTAACCCTTTGCTTTTTGCAGTCATTGGTGTTCATCTTGAATAATGGAATAATTTGGAAGCTCACAAATGTGCAGTATCTATACTGTCCTGCAGCAGCTCCTGAGCCCTTAAGCGGTCACAAGGTGCCACTCAAGGTAACAAATGACCGCTGTTTATAAAAGACAAAATAACCTCTTGATCTGTATATTTGCTAATAATTCTGCTTGACCTTAATGCAAACATTAGGAAATAAACAAATGTAGGATTATTTGCAAAAATCTAGTTTAGGATAAATTAAAGCAACTATATTTTCCTATTTCATTGCAATATGTGCGTGAGACTCATCAGAGTTCTGTAATAGGACTATTTAAGGCTCTGCTTGCATATCAACACTGAAAATTGATCCAAGTCGGTGGATATCTTAATTCAGCTAACTAAAGCAAACATTACACCTTTCATGTAATAGCTGCGGCATGCTCTAAACAAGTAACACTGAACATCTTTAATAGTTCTAGGCACTGGCACGTGCAACGCTGATATAGTGATGCCCAGATGTCATCCTCATACTAGGTCGTCACATTTTGTGACTGAAGCCCATGTTTACTAGTTTCCTTAGTTCAAGGGGCCACGCAGGACTAGACTGCAGTTTGAACAAATCTTTGTGGAGTCATTAGTCAAACTGTCACAGTTTAATTTGAATACTTCAGGCTTTCTCAAAACCCCGTGGATAAAATTAATTTGTTTACCTATTTAAAAGCATCTGGCTTTTTATTTCTACGGGAGATTATCTTACTATTGAAAAAGGAGATAACCAAGATAGTCTCATGTGGAAGTAAAAAGCTTAAATGCTTTTCTGTATCCGAGACTTCTGAAATCAGATTTGGCTCTTTTCAAAAGCTCCTTGGTCTAAAAATCTTGATGTAGGTAGAAGATATCAGCATCTCTACTCACTGTAGCGAGACAACGCAATCCAAGAACTCCCGTGGCTCTGACCAGTTGAAGGCACATCCAGCAAAATAACGGAACCGTCCTGCTGCCTTTGCAGTGAGAGCGTCTCCTGGGGGCTTGACAACTCTGGGTCAGGCTTATTTTCAGTGTGAGTTTAAGAATGGCAGGTAGGGATTTAAATTTCCCCTCAAGAATACGAAATTAACCATAGTTTTGAAATAAGTTTTAGGCATCACCCACACCAAGCATTAAATCAAGCCACAACACTTCATTCTAACGGATAGTATAGCCTACAATAAACAGTAACCAAAATACTTAGGCCACAATGTGAAATATCAGAATCTGATGAAATACAATTCCATGAACCGGTAGTCACTGGTCCTATACTACTGTGTCCACCGAAGGTGTCTAGTAATGGATTTTCTGATAAGAGCAATCCTTTTCTCTCCCTAACAAATTAAGAATGGTTTTTATGGGGTAGCAAATTATTTATGGAAAGCTATTTTCTTTACAATGAAAGACATAAAATAGATATGAACCTATTTAACTCAACTCCGTGTTAAACTTTACATACAGAGGAAGGGAGCGCTGCCCACAGCAAGTCACCGTTATCAGGGTCTTCCTGATCGGAGGACTCTGAACCACGACAGGAATTAACTCCACGACCAGAGAGCGATAAGAAATCGACAAAGAAATACAGACCGGAAACTGTTGGTTTTTTTTTTTTTAATATCTATATAAAAAATAACGAGCGATTTACAGATCTCTTTCTCTAATCAGAACCTCAAGTGTATATATAAAGGTACTGTACAATATATAAACATTTACAACCGGTACATCCATGTTTTGCGTAGCATTCCAAGGCCACATTGCTAAGTCTGTATATAATCAGTAAAGTGACAGGTTACTTAGGAAGGAAAAAGCCACATCAGACTGACAACATATGACATCCAAGTTATGTCACAGTTAACAAAATAGGATTTTTATCACTAATTGTGGACTATAGGGAAAATAAATCATTTCTGTGGTACTAAATTCTTAGTGTTTATCAAGCCTCCTAGTTTTGCTCTATTCAAGTGGTTACAATAGGTGGGTGTATATATAGTTCTGAATGAAAAGGGGGTTTCAAAACTCTCACTCTGGGAAGCATGTCTTATCTACAGGGGCTGATTCAGTTGTTACATTAGAGAGTTTCACAGTCAACTCTGAGAGGGAAGGACCTGGACACAATGTGTTTCACAATAACGAGATGAATCCAGGGTGACAGAACAGGTGTTTTCAAACACTCCATCAAATGGTTTTATTCTGAGAATGTCCCTTTTTTTTGTTTGTTTGTTTTTAATAGATGCCACTGAATACTGTTTCAGGGGACTGACAAACCTGAACCTGTGGAGTTTAAACTCCTTAGAACTGTCTGCACCTTCCTACAAAAGCCTTTAATTAGACTTTAAAAGAGAACTCTGGAAATTTGTACAAGCTAAGCAGATGTTTAGCTTTGCTTTCTTAATTCCAAACAAGTTAATGTGGCTAGAAATTAAAATAAGATTCTAGCGAGTACTGTCCACCACCACGTTTGTCCTTCCTGTGTCCCCCGGGGAGCTGGTCTTACCCAGGCTCTGCTTCTACACCCCACTCTTGTTGTGCAGCTGCTACCGGACAAGCGGGGGCTTTTTCTGGCAATGGACTGTGAAACTGGTTTCATGATTAAGTCCCTTGCAAATCTATATAACAGCTTGACTCTTCAAATATGTATTATATCAACAACTAATGACTTAGTAGGTACGATTAAGCTATCCAGATATAGAATTTTAGTAGTTTTTCTTCAAACAGCAATAAGCAGTATTTCCACATGCTTCTTTGTGGTTTCATAATGAAATAACTAAAATAAGAGGGTGATCTGAGATGCTAAAGCTACATCCGGGTTGGATAACACAGTAGGAAGTGAACTCTTAATTATTTAAAGTATTTGCTCATTTTGGACATTTAACTAAGTGAGACCTCCAACAGTTATTTGAAACGCCTCATCCGGCCAAATTAGAATACAAAACCATAGAGTGTCACTATCTGACTGCATTTTTTATAGTGATGTTTTGGAGTTTGCGTTTTCAACGGGACATCCTCAGTAGCTGTTAGAAGAGGCAACCGCCGTCTTTCGTGATGAGTGAACAATCTCTTCTGCAAGGACTCGAATATCTCTTTCTGTGAACATGCAACATGCTATTGAGAATATCAGCTTCCAAGCCAAACCTAATTTTTTCATTACTGTGAAAATATCTGAGTGACAAAGATAGACATGATACAGGAGATAACTTGGCACGAATACAAAGTGAGGTGGGACCACATTGCTACTGATCAACGGGTGTCGTTTGTCCCAACGCCCGGAGACGCCGGGCAGCCTGAGCAGGCCCCTGCGTCTTCCTGGGCCTGAGGGAGGGGGGCGGCCTCCTGGTACTCTTGAAGGTCCTTCATGCAGCCTCGGCAACTTGATGCTCGGAGTACAATGTACACATGTGTGTTTTAGAATTTCTGGGGGGAAAAAAAAAATGATTTCATTGAAAAACGCTGCTTTTTACTACGAAATGATTTCAACTGGCTTTTCCGCTCACGGTCACTGCCGTTTGCCGGCCGCACCAGCAGCGCCCGCAGCTTTATTTGCACTCGGCACCTTCCAGGGCCCCGGAGTGATGGGCGCTTTCTTCACCGGGGGGCCGCCGTCCGCGCTCCCGCCGCCACCCTCCTTGGGTCTGTGGGCCCCCCCTGCTTCCTTCCCCTCGGGATCGTCTACTTTGCTGACAACCATCCTCTCTGCAGGTTCCTGCTTCAGCTTCCTCTCAGGTATTCTGACGTGCTCTCCTGCTTGAGCCTTACTAGCAGCTGCTTCTCCTGAGTTTGCTTTCTTGCCTCTCGCGTTCCCAGCGGCTCCTCTACTCCCAGCGCCGGGGGCGCTCTGGCCTGGAAGCCACTGCTCCTCGGCTCTTCTGCTTTTCTTCTCTGGAGACCGTGTTCTGTTCTTTCCAGGCTGACTCTGCTTCGCCTCTTTCCTGGGGACACCGGCGTCCTCTTTCCCCTCTGAGATCTGCTCAGCATCGTCCCCCGCGCGGGCCCCTGGCCTGCCCCTCTCAGGCTCTAAGGATTTGGCTTCGGCCTTTGCTTGGTCTTTGCTTCCTTCAGTTTTCTGCTGCTTCTTCGGGCTCGAAGACCGTCCTGGGCCTTTTCTGTAAGGATCTTGCCCAGCAGCCGGCTTGGGGCCGGTGCCACCATTTTTATTCTCCCCTTTCCTGGGACTGAGAGATCGATCTCTGGGTCTTCTTTTCGGGTCAGTTTTTAGAGTCTTTTCTGAATGTTCTTCTGAATATTGACCAGCCGGCTTGTGGGCACCGGCAGAACCGTCTCTTGGTACAACGCTGTTCTCTGCTTTAAAGGGATTTTTCCTGTTACTCTGCCCATGGCTACTGGGAGGCTCTTTTTTATTCACATTTTTCTGGGAAAGAGACTGATGCTTTATATCAGACGGGTTTTCATTTAAAGTGCTTTTCTTTCCAGGCACAATGTCCTTTACTTCTGCCTTTTCACATATCTGAACTCTCATCACAGAGTCTTCAGTTCCCGGCACATGAGACTCTTCAAATATGGAAGCAGAATGTGGCGATGGGGGGAGTGGTGGCTGCTCATCATAAATCACATTTGGAGATGAAGGATTGTAATCCCAATCACCTAAGAGAGAGTGGTGCGAGGGAATATTATTAAATATTAGAATTATAAATGGGAAAAGTTTTCAACTTTGACAGCCATTTATCTGAATGGTACTTGCTGCTTAAAACAGCCCAACTGAGTATTTTATGAAGTTCACAAATACTTAGATCGCTCTCTTTAAAGGCCGGAGAGATTACAGACAGCTGTACTAGTACATGAAGCGTAGACTGTTTATATACATAAAAGAGCAGTATTCATTTTTCCAATTACTTATGTACAACTACTGAGTACTGAGAATATAGGACGTGTAAATGCTTTATCAGCAGTAAAGCCCAAATAAAAAATAACAAAACTGGACCAACTTATCTGGTCTGAGAGGCTTACTAATTTAGCCGTTGTCAATGGATACAGCGTAAGGATATGCCAAGTCACTCCTACAGGAGACCAGACTACAGAAGCCAGAAAGAGGTTCATGGGCATCTGAAAGTCATTTTCTTGCATTAAGCTGTCAAATATAACATCAAAAGGAAACTGAAAGTGCAGAAGACAGGAGTAGACGTATTTAATAGCAACCTTTTTAATTAAAAAGAAAAAAAAGAAGGAAGTGGTTTACAAGACATGCACATTTACCAAGTCTTTTTAAGGAAAGACCAAGAAAAGCCCTGAAAGCCTTAATGTTGCTCAGGTTTCACGTAGGAGCACAGACCGGAAGGAGCCAGACCTGAAGAAGGAAGAGAAAAAGCCTAGGACTATGTAAAAAAAAAATCAGCGCAGTTAGCAAAGACGTCACACATGATTTTCAAGCAGATGGTGGAAGATAACAGAGAATCACAGGCTGGAAGGGGGCTGGAGGGGGCCTCACGCTCGTCCCTCCAGGCCTACGGGGGAGGAAACGGGCGCTATGAAGGGGTGCAGGACTTGCTGTCTAGACCAGTGCGCTGACTGAAAAAGGGTGATGTTCAAATGCCCTGACACTTCCCAAACACGCAGTGAGATCAAGGGCGTTGAACGCCAGCACCGGAGGACAGACAAGCTCCCGGGCCCAACTCCTCCCGTCCAGGTCGGGCCATAGCACTTTGTTTTTAACAAGTGACAGGACAAGTCTCCAGTTCTTACCCTATTCATAAAGAGAAACTTACTACAAGGAAATAAACAACATCTGAAGAGGTTGCCAGTGTTCTCCGTGACATTTAATTCTTTGCCTCTCTTGTCCTTATTTTTGTACAGGCACATTTCTCTGCAAAAGCAGCTATATGTTTCTGTTGAAATTGGCTTCGTATGGATCTCATTCCAACAGAAGTCCTGCCTGGAGCCACTTATTCTGTAATGATTATGTTCTGTCACTAGCGTGAACATGGTCCTGATGTTTACCTTTGCGTTAGCTAGAAACACATCTACCTCTCCAAGCAGCTATTCCCCTTCCTCCTGCCTAACACACGTCCCACTTTTTAGCTACAAGTGAGCTACTTACCATGGTCAGGGATCAAGCCAGTTCCTGGCCTTAGAAGAAGAAGAACTTTATTTCCGCCAGCCTGAATGAGCTCGATGGCCCGGGTGTGCGTGATGCCTTGGGTAGGTTCCCCGTTGATTTCCACAATCTGGTCACCGACCTAGACAGGGACATCACAGGCACAACGTGAAACTCAGCTTCTCCTGAGCCATGCAACCTTGCTAAGTGACTTGCATTCATCTGTAAAGTATTTCCCTTGTGCACCCCTCTCTCATGTTAGGGTCGGTGCGGAGTGGGCAGACAGGAGCAACTGGAAGAGAAATTGTCCAGTTTTATTTACTGTATGAAAACCCAGCATGGGAAGGCTTTATGTGACTCGTAAACAGGATCTGGACATCCTGAAATCAAGACTCAGACGCCAAGTTCTCCATCAATGATCAAGTGGCAGAAAAGGTGAAGTCTCTTGAACCCAAATGATACCATGGATCAACCTGTGAAGGGAGCTCTCTATTTTGACGTGAATCTTGGATTTATTTTCTAAAACCTGGGCAGAAGGGCCCTCACCTTTAAAGCCTCTCCTGACCCCCAAAGAGAGCTTCCTACTCCTTCCCTTGTGTTTCCACTATACCCCGTACAGAATGAGGCATTTGAAAATGAAATAGATTAAAACTCTGAGGAAAATTCAGCCTGGAGAGTAACTAATTGTTATTTACAATTAACAATGGGCTCATGCTTCACGATTTTGCTGTGAAATGATTTTCCTAGAAAACAAACATACAACTAGGGATTAGAATAAGATGTCCCAGTAACCACTGCTATTTACTAGAAATGCTATCAGGAGTCACTTTCTATGAAAAAGGAAAAAAAAATAGGGATAGGTCAAGTCTAACTTTTGCAAAGGAATGAATAAGTATTTTAAATCTACTTCAGGGTGACCAGCAGCTAAACGGCATTGACTTCGAATCAGCAAAACCTCAACAATGGAAAATTACTGAAATTCAAAAAAACAATTTAAATATTTATAAGCATACATGGAAACAATCTAGAACTAACACAACAGCAGAGGAAGCAATAGATATTTAACAAAGGTTGGTGGGGCAGCTCTGTGCCAGACGCCGCCCACACCCAGGGGAGCTGGCTTTGGAGTCACATGTGGGGCTCTCTTGGCTCCCCTCTTCCTGGCAGAGTGGCCTCATTTTCTTCCCTGTTCAGTGAGGATAACTTTAGTACCGACCTCCTGGGTTTGTTGGGGGATTTAACGATATAAAACATGATTAACACACCAAGCACAAATACATGTTAATTTCAAGTTATCTATTTTCTGACTTTTTTAAAAAAAAAAAAAAAGATTTGAAGTACATCAGTATGAAGATTTAACTGCACACCACACCCCATTCTACACAATGTAATATATTCCAAAACTATGAAATAGAAAATAGAATGTGCCTTGTTGCTACCAAAGAAAAAGAAGTTTGAGGGTCTCACTATGGAAGAAATGGAGAATTTTACAGAAAAAGTATAGGTAAGTTTAACAGAGTTGGGGGAAAATGTCAAAAACACAACCAACATCATGAGACAATAACATAAGAGGGTGGAGAAAAATATTAAACATAATAAATAAACCAACACATGTAAGTGAAACAAAAGTCAATCTCCAGACTTCCAGTAAGTGAAAAATCAATTTTCACAAAGAAATAGGGAGAGCTGATAAATAGCAGCAGACACGTAACCCCGCTGATTATTAGAGATGTGAAAGTAGACAGCACTCGGAGCATGCTCTGGGTGTCACATCTTAAAACGTGACTGAGGTCCTAATTAATTTCCATCCCATTCTTGGGTTTAAAGTTACCGCCCGTCCTTAGTGACATAAACCAAAAGAGGACACCATCTGATTTCACTCCCCTGTGGTATGTACAGAAAACAAACAGATGAACTAAATAAAGCAAAAAACCTTTGGGCTGTAAGACCAATTTACTCGTCACCAGAATGAAGGGGGAAAGCAGAGGGGGTAAGTTAGGGGACAGGGACAAAGTTATGGTGAAGGGCAGATGTGCACTGCGTGCAGGACATACACATACTGGGTCGCAATGATGGACTCCTGGAATTCATGCTATAATGAAATGTTACTTCAATGAAAAATGAAAGTATTGTCCAAACCTGCATATTTCTTCTTTTAGGGCAGCAAATAAACTGCAATACAACTTGTAACTGAAAGACTTGCCACCAGGTGTCACTTTTGATCAACACTAAGTTGGGGTTGAGGGGGAAAGAGCCAAGGCTTTGGGGTCACGGCAGGTAGGCCCTTAGGCGGGAGAAGAGTTCTCTGTTGGGTGACACAAAGCTAAAGACAAAAAACAGCAACTTGGGAGGGAAATGCAAACATTCTTTAAAATTCTTGTTATTTTAAACATTTTAAATGCGATAAGAATAAAATAGGGAATATATCTTCTGATAAAACAGCCACAAGTTCAGGTTTGCATTATTAAAAAAATTATGGGGGAAAGAGGAAAGGAGAGAAATAAAATGGAGGGAAAGAGAGAACAGGAGAACCAAAAGGAGACAGAGTTTTAGTCCTTAAAAAAAAAAAAAATCTTTTTAGGTAGTCTTGCAGGTTTTTTTTTTTATCTTTTTAAAGATTTATTTATTTATGCATACAAGAACTGGGGTACAGGCCAGATGTGTGGGGGGGCGGTGGTGAGAGGATTCACCAGAGACAGAGTGGGGAGCAGAACAGGCAGATTGACTGAAGTACACTGCGGAGGGGAGCAGCGGGCGAGTCAGGAGAGGTCTGCTGCACCATGTGGGTAGCTCCCTGGCCGGCCGGGGATGGAACTCCTGCTGCAGAGGCTGCGCACAGCTTCATAGATTGTGTCTTAACCCCTTGCGCCACCAGGAAGGCCCTTAGTCTTGCAGTTTTTAAAACAACCTCCACTAAAAATGTATTTAAATCACAAAATAATATTTCTAACACAGTTTATATCACCTTGAAACTTGTTAAGAACCTATATGCCTCCTAAGAGAATCAAATTCAGATGGATGCAAGCAGAGGCCAGATGTGACCAGCAGACTGGAGTGCGGGTGGGTGATACACCAGCTGTCACAGGTGGAGTGAGCTCAGCAAGTGTCTAAATCTTCCTGAGCCTCAGTTTTATACTATAAGTGGGGATAATGCCACCTACCTCAGAGTTTTTCTCAGACCAAAAGTAACGCAAGTGAAAATACAAGATGCCTGGAAGACAGCAGACTCTTACTATTTTCAAAATCTGATTCTGTCCTATGCTAAATATTTAAACATTGTTCCCTATGGTGAACCTCTCCATTCAGTGGCTTTCTCCTTCCCGTCATCCAAAACATCTTTTCTCCCCTCTCTAAATCATAACTTGATTTAAGCTTGTGACTCACTGAATTGACAGATCCTCTCAATGACGTTCCATCTATATTATAGGTTAATATTTTCTTCTTTTAGTGGATTACACTATTATATCACTTGTTAATTGCTTCATTACTCCGAGTCCTGTCACCTAGTAATAAGTTCTTGAACCTAATTTTAAGCATTAAAAAACCTCCACTTTCATTATGCAGACATTTTATCCATCCACTCCACTCCTCCAGCAAGCATCTAGGAGCACCTACTGTGAACATTCAAGGCAGGTGCTAAAGGTGCTACAATAATGGATGCAGGACACAAAGGACAGATGTCAGCCTAGCAGAAAAAGCAAGGGCAGACAGGCAAGAGGGGAGGTAGACAGAGAAGCTCAGCTGGCTCCAAGGTGGCAGCGCAGCTGGAGATAAACTCCACAGCTGGGCAGAGGCCTTCACAGTAAGTTTGCGAATATGCACGTGATGTAGAAAATTCAAAACTGCAATCCCAGGGAAGCCCTTTCTGATCAGCAGAATACACCCTGCAGAAACTCACCACGGTCATTTGCTCTTCTGTTACGTTTACTCACTTAACAAGTAAACAAAACAAAAATCAGCTCTTTCTGATGTCTGCTGGTTGTAGAGGAGCAAACAGAGTACTCCCAAACGGCTGGGGGAAGTCTGCCTGTCTAGAATTTAAAATTTCAGCTTACAACCACACCAAACAGTAAATTACTTAACTAGAGATCAGGAACTGTTTTTCATGGAAGACTTCTTTACGAAACGCCCAGAGAAGGAGGGCCCCATAAACAATCTGGCTTCCAAGACGTTCCAAGGGGCGGAATTTCCGAGCGGAGACCGCTCTGACGGAGCCTCGCGGACGTGAACCCCGGCCCCAACAGCAGCGTCCATGCGCGCGCGCGCCGTTCTTTTGGATCCCTGGCTACCTCTGGAGGCAGCCAAGAGTAAAAAAAAAGAACCCTGGGCCTGCTGTTTCTTGGAAGAAGTCAAAGGTTGTTTGGTCCAAAACGTTTAGCAAGATCAAAGCACATTTAGTTCATTGATCCATTTCCCCTCAAACGCCCACCACCGTCTCCGCCTGACGGCAGCCAAGATGGCGGCGGCAGCTGCGCGCGGGGCGCCATGGGAAGGGGTAGGAAGAGGGGCGGAAGCTTTGCCTCTCAGGGCTTAGTGACAGCAAATCTTACTGCACAGACTCGGGAGGTTTCTGTTTTCCCTTTCACCAACTATTTTCCAGAACTTTCCCATCTGGAGCCCGAAGCCCAGGGGTAGACGAAAGCCACTCACGTGGATGCGGCCGTCCTTGATGGCGGGCCCCTCCTCCGCCAGCCGCAGGATGAAGAGCCCCATGTTGTACTCCTTGCCCCCTCGCAGGCTGAAGCCGAAGCCGCGGGGGCCTCGCTCCAGCTCCACCGGGTAACAGCCAAGGCTCTGGAGAGAGAGAGAGAAGTGTAAGGACAACACGCGCTCGCGGGCTGCGGTATTTACAGCTCGGAGAAAAGCCACTGCCCTGGCCCGAGAGAGGATTTGCACCCCCAGGTGCGCCTGTGTCCCCAGGGGGGCTGAGCTTTCTCTGCCGGGCTACCGAGCTTGTGGGAATGCGGCCTGAGGTAACCTGGAGGTCACACATGTTCTCTGTTCGAGAAGCCGCGTGCCACAGAGCAGCCAGACAGCTGGTGTTTGGAAAGCCCGTCCTTTAAGTGGACGTTGCCTCATTTTTATGACAACAACAACAAAACCCAAGCTCAGACCGCGAGCAGCTGAAGCAAGGCCGCTCCAAGCGCTTACCCAGGGCCTTACATGGCTCCGGCTGTGGGGGGACCTTCCTGTCAGTCACCCTCTATATTCGCTCATGGAAGCTAAACAGTGTGCCAAACACCGTAGGTTCTCAAGAATTATTAAATCTGGAAATGAATTTATGTGACGTGACTGGAAACGGAGACCCCAGTGTCCGCGGTCGCTGGCCGGGCCGAAGCCGGGAGCGGGTACCTGGCTGTGCCGGGCGCCCACGACGGAGATGACCGCGGTGTCGGGCTGGGCCAGGTGCCGGTGGTCGGACCACGAGTGTCGGTAGGTGGTGTCTTTTCCCACCTCACCTTCCAGGGCACTTCTAGAAGGGAGGAACCCAGTTACTCTTGGAGATGAGAAAACAACAAGTGGTCTAAGAAGCTAGGCAGATTCATTTCTTTTAAAAGCCAAGCCCCGCCATCCCTTCTGACAACCTGCTTAGAGAGACCACAGCCAGAGCCAGAGAGACTCCAGGCAAAACCCTGGTCTTTGGCTCCAGCACAGCCCAGAGCCTGTCAACATCCCCGCACCCCTCCCGTTTTTGGTTCTGAGGGTGTCCCTGGTGTTTGCATCAAGGGAAACTGCACTCAAGTAACTGAACAATAGGGCCGAGAAGCCGACCTTGTCACAGTGAAAAACGGCTTTCCTGCAGCGCTAGTGCCTCTGAAGATGCTGAATTTCTGGAAATTTAGTTTGTTTCATGGTTAACATTTTCAACCAAAGTGGCAATACATACACATAGAGACAGGTCTGCTCAAGTGGCCCCTTACACAGCCATCCTGATGGACCTTCTCTACTGAAACTATGAGGACAACCAGAGGTGCAGACCTGTCATGTCTCACCAGTCCCCCTGGTCAGGACAAAGATGCTGGGCCCAGGGTTGGAGCTGGGTGAAGGGATGAAGGTACTGAGGAAGTAGAGGGGACACGGCAGGTGTGTGAGGGTGGAATAGGCAAGATTTCTCATTTTGCCGGTTTCTACATACAGTGTGGGGACTAGTAGGGAGATGAGAGAAAAAAACCAAAATCTGAAAAAAGCCCTACCTGTCCCCAGACACGTGGTTGGCCTGTGACTGCCCCAGGGGCCGGTGCTGCAGGGCAGGGCTTTGCCGGGCTGAATTTGTTCCTGATGGTGGTCCATGGTGTTCTGCCCAGATGAGAAAAAAACAAAAACAGAGATAAGACATGAAGGCAAGTAGGTCTACAAAAGTGAGACAAAAACATGGTTGCCGCTTTCCTGGCCTCACATGTGCACTGCTGGCAGCTGCCTAGAACTGCAGCATCAGCTTCTGATTAATATTTATGCTGGAAGAGAATGGGAATCCTATTCTTACCATACACACTGCCTCTTTCCCTTGTGTTTTGGTCATCTACACAACATGAAAATCACAAGTGAACATACGTAATAACTAGAGAGTGGAGGCTACTCTGTGGGTCTTGGAGTGCACACCCACAACTGGTGAGCCATCCTGGATGTCCAGGAACACAGAGGCCGGTGCACAGATGACACAGAGGTTGGCAAACCTGCATCTTTAATACGGCAGCAGTTATTCTACCTGACACCAAATATCAGAGACAAACTTACAAAATCATCCCAAGCACTGACAAATGTTTATGAAGATGGTACTCCTTCTGCTTTCTAAGAACACAAATATAAATTAAAAAGTAATGCTTGCTTCTGTGTTATTCCCGGCAGCTCCAGGTCTCCTATGATCCTTGAAGGCAGATGTGGTAATAACCCCAGTCACTGGGTAATGAGAGTTAAAGAGATAGCGATGGCTAGGAGATGCATGTTTTTAAAGCTGAAACTTTCTTAATGTCTTATTTTGTCCAAATAACAGAGTACGGGACATTTAAAAGATCAATGAAAGGGAGCACAGCTTGGTCACTTTGTCCATAAACTGTGGAGCAAGACCGATGGTCCTTAAGCCTGACCCTGTCATAACTGTGTGATCTTGAGAAAATTACTTAAACTCTCTGTGCTTCTAATCATCTCCTTTATAAGGGAATTAAAACCACCTCATGTGGCTATGGGGGGGTATTAAATGAGCTTATAAATATGATTATTTAGGGCCATTTTTAGGTTACAACATACAGAAATTGAATCTCAGAATATAATGGAGACAGAAAAGACTGGTGTTAAACGAAGGATATGAATGTTTCTGAAGAAATTTCTGGAGCAAGTTGAAATTTCAGGTTTCACTATATGCGTCACTATTTTATGGATTGGACTGAGTTGTTTCTCTTAAAGTTCTTGGGATGAAAAGCATAGGTAAATAATTTACTTTTATTGAAGAACTTCTTCCAGCTGGAAGCTAGGGAGCACTGAACACACAGGCAGGGGCGTAACAAGCGGCAGAAGAAACAGCAAAAGGCCGAGCTGTGGGGGCTGAGGTATCCCAAGTGCCAGATGCTACTGCCCGCCCTGTGAGTCCACCTGGACCTCACTTTGTGGACTAGCTATAGCGATGAAGGACTGGTCACTGCGGAACTTATCCATTGGGGTGTCTTTCCTCTTTAAAGTCAAGTACTCCAGGAGGGGAGAGTGGGTGATGAACCTCTAACATTTAGGATGACCTGGAAATTTGTTGCTCTTTTATATAATTTTTAAATTTTATTTTTGTGATTAACAGACGAGCCAGCTATTTATACTATCCTCCTAAATGGTCTCCTGGCCACCAATCTTGTCTTTATTCCGCTTCCAGTCCTAACACATATTTATTAATATGCACTGCCTTGCTTAAAAACCCAAGGTGACTACTGCTCATTAGATACTACCCATACTTATTACCTGAGCACTGCTGCCTTCCCTCCTTTTCACCTCCTGCTCACCATGTCACCTCCTCTGTGAAATTTTACCTGATTTCTTAAGCATGTCATTTTAATAGCATTTTCCACATTGCGAAAGAACTGGTTGAAGACCTGTCTCTCGTGCTAGACCACGAGCTCGTTGTCTACAGGAATCACACCTCTAATATTCTAATATTCCTACTAGAAATTTCCAGAACTCCCTCCACCTCTGCTTACTTGGTATGCCGTTTTCATGTTCCTCGCTTCTACACTTGAGCTCCTGTTACAGAATTGAATTCTCTTCTGTCACTGTAAATTCATAACTACTACTAAGGGAATGGAAACTGATGGGGGAATTATATCTATCACAAGATGACAGGGAGACACTTGCATCTTTGCATGACTTCAATTTAGAAAGATTGTGGCTTCATTGCATGGCTAGAAGCAAGGAGTGTAACTTCAGTGCAGGCCAGTATAAATTAACTGATCAATTCCAAGTTTCCTGTCTTCTCAATAGATGAGATGTCACTGCTAGATAAAAGATACCACAAGTTGGTGTCTACTTTTCCAGTTACTCCGTTTTTTCCTTTTGCTTTAATGTTCATAAAACTCCCTAACACTGGCATTCTTTTCATTTTTAGCCCATCAACCCATGCTGCATGGCTTCTCCAATTTATTTCTGTGTTAAATCTGTTCCATTTCTGAAAGTTGAATATTTGTCCCATGATATTAAACAGACTTATGTTCTAATTTTACCTGAAAGTTCTTCAAGTAATAAAGCTATGTGGTAAGTATCTCTCTTCCATTCAATGAGAATTAAGCTTTTGCTGGAGTTTCTATCTGTAGCTATGTAAGACAAAGTATATTGTTGGAGGCTAAATACAAAATCCCACAGCTAAACTGTAGCAGCAAACATTATCATGTGCTGGGAATTATCTCTACTAAGAATCAATAAGAACCTTGAGAGAACTTTCTGAAACTCTATTAAAGGATATTAAAGATGATCTGAAAAATTGAGGAGACATACCAAACTCTTAGATGGGATGACTTAATATTTATAGGTATAAACTTACCCAAAGTTAATATATATGTTCAATATATCCCAAAAAAACATGTCCTTTGTTTATTGTTGTTGTTTGGAGGAGCTTAATAATTTGCTGTAAAACTTTATATGGAAAGTTTCATGAATGTCAAATAGATTTGGGGTGGCTTTAACAGGGGAGAGGAGAAAGACTTGCCTTAGACAGATATGATACACCACAAAGTTACAGATGAAATTAATGTATATCCCAAGAACAAATAACCCAATAAAACAGAATAGAGAGACCGGTGACTCAAGCTTAAGGGCAGAAGTTAATATACAGAATAGATGGTTCCATAAATCAAAGAGGAAAAGATGTGCTATTTTAATAGCTGGTGCTGGAAAAACTGGTTCTCTATGAGATTAAGAAATAAGCCTAATCCCTCCCAAGCTATGCACGAAGGTAGGTTCCAGGTAAAGATCTAAATGCAAAATTATTAGTCAAATTGAAGATAATGTAAGAGAAAGATATCTATGAAGTGTAGTGGGGAAGGAAGACTTATTTTTAAGATTTATTTATTCATGCATACAAGAACTGGGGTGTAGGTCAGAAGTGTGGGGGGGGTGAGAGGATTCACCAGAGACAGAGTGGGGAGCAGAACAGGTGGAGCTACTGAAATACACTGCTGAAGGGAGCAGTGGACGAGACAGGAGAGGTCTGCTGTGCCATGTGGGTCAGCCACCTGACCAGGGACTGAACTCATGCTGCAGTGGCTGGCGATAGCTTGATAGCTGAGACTTTAACCCTTTGCCACCAAAGAGGCCCAGGATGACTTAAATAAAACATCAAGCATATATATTAGAGGGTAAAAACTGACCAATCTGATTATATCTGAACTAAGAATCTTTGTAGAATGAAGGACACCATGGTCAAAGTTACCATGCAGATGACAGAAGATATTTGCAATTTCTAAAACTAAACTGGACTAAAACCTCTTAATTCACAAATAATCTCTGAGTATCAACAAGAAAAAGAAGCTGCACAAGAAAAATGAGTAAAGGACATGGACAGGTACTTCACAAGAAAAAAACCCCACAACACAAGCAACTGAAGAGAAGCTCAAATTCACGGATTATCAGAAATCCAATTAAATGGCAGGATAACATTTTCCTTACTTAGCCAATCTGAAAGCTGGATAATGTCAAGCGCTGGCAGGATGCAAAGGCAGAGGAAGCTGTACTGTTCTGCCAGTGAGGCTGGAGACGACGCAGTTACGGGGGCAATCTGACAGAAGACAACTCAGTTGAATTAAGCGAACGTGTACCACTGGATCACATAATGGTACTCCAAGAAATTCTCATGCTGTTTTCTTAGGAACAGACATGAGGCTGTATCAAGGTAGTCTGGGGTAATATGAAGTTGAACATAAGGTGGTTCTCCAAAGGGATGCAGACAGCTAATGTGTGATAAATATGCATTACGGAAAACTGTTAAGTAGCTAAAAACAATTAATTATGCTCACCCAGCAACATGGATAAATCTTTAAAGCACGTGATGCTATGATGTCAAGAGCACAAGTAACCATAGAAAGTACAGATGAATTGGATCTTGTCAACATTAATTTTTTGTGCATCAAAGGACAGCACCAAGCAAGAGAAAAGACAACCTATTGAATGGGAGGAAATATTTGCAACGATTCACTCACACAGGGATCCAGTATTAGAATATATGAAGAAGGCTTATAATTCAACAATGAAAAAGACAAACAGACCAATAAAAATGAGCAAAGGTTCTGAATAAACATTTCTCCAAAGAAGATATACAAATGGGCTACAGCGCCTGAAAAAACCATCAACACCATGAGTCATCGGGGAAATACAAATCAAAACCTCAATGAGATGCCACTGGAATGGTCAAAATAAGATAAAACAAACAGAAAATAAGTGTTGGTGAGGTTGTGGAGAAATGGAAGGCTCATACATTATTACAGGAAACAGTTTGCCAGTTCCTCAAAAAATTAAAGACAATTAACATAAACTCAGTAATTCCACCCCAGGCATATACCCAATAAAAATGGAAACATACAACAATACAAAAACCTGTAGACCAATGTTCACAATAGCATATAGTAACACAACAATCACAATAGTTAAAAAAAAAAAAAAACCAAAACAGCCCAAATGTCTATCAATTGATGAACAGATAAACAAAATAAATGTACACATAATGGAATATTATTCACTAGTCATAAAAGGACAAACTATAATATGGATGAACCTTGAATACATTCTAATACAGGTATGAAAGGCCATACATTATATAATTCCATTTATATGAAATGTCCCACAAATCCAAAGACTCAGAAAGTAGATGAATGGCTTCTTGTAGGGGAGATAGAATGTTCTGGAATCTATGGTGATGGCAGCACAACTTTGTGAGTATACTAGAAACCAATGAACAACACACTTAAAAAAATGAATTTTACAGTATATGAATTAAGCCTCAATTAAGAAGGAAAAATAACAGACATGACACCCCAATGCCACGTAAGATCCTAAACTGGATCCTGGAACAATAAAATGACATTTTAAAAAAAAGCATTTGATTCTGAGCAAAAACAAAAAAATAAACCAGCACAAAATCTACAACACAACACCATCCATATAACTCAAAGATAAATGTCAACACACAGAGATTGTCTTTTAAAGACCACAAAAATAAGCTGAGGCCCATAAAACACACTGGAATGGTTGCCAGAGGGAGCAGGGAGAAAAATGAAAGTGTGGAAATGGAGACAAAGAGGAATAAACAGATAAATGGAAGACAAAACAGAGATTATGGCACAACTCCAGAACCACACCAACAGAGACCTTGGGAGCTTTGGTGACTTGTTCATTTTTAAAAATAAAATTAGTAAGTCCTGACACAAAACTAGAAATCAATTTTGAAATGTAATTTCAGGCTTTCTTTACAATAAACGGGAAAACCAGGCATATTCACATTACGCCCTCACAGGAGATGAGAGCGTGGGAAGGTGGGGGGCAGGAGGCGGGGACAGGGGAGTGGGCTCAAAAGCCTTGTTCTATTGGTTTATGTTGCCTCTGGCAGGCACTGGCATAGAACTGAAAATCTCCTGACCTTGACTTTGTTCATTCATTTAACCATTTGCTCAATCATCCATTTACTTATTCCTTCACTGAAAAAATATTTTACACTATTGGTGGGAATGCAGACTGGTCCAGCCCCCATGTAAAGCAATGTGGTGGTTCCTCAAAAGGCTAAAAATGGATCTGCCATACAATCCAGCAACTCCACTCCTAGGTTTCTACCCAAAGAACACACAATTTAAAAGGAAACCTGTAATCCGATGTTTACTGCTGCACTATTTACAACAGCCAAGGTTCAGAAACAACCTAAATGCTCCCAAACACGAGTGGACCAAAAAGATGTGGTATATACACAATGGACTACTACTCAGCGATGAAAAAAGATAAATTTGTGCCATTTGTGGCAACATGGATGGAGCTGGAAGAGATTATCCTGAGTGAAATAAACCAAAGGAGATGGGGCCTTCCTGGTGGCGCAAGTGGTTAAGCACCGCACTATGAAGCAATCCGCAGCCTCTGCAGCATGAATTTGATCCCCGGCTGGCCAGGGAGCAACCCACATGGCGCAGCAGACCTCTCCTACCTCGCCCACTGCTCCCCTCAGCAGTGTATTTCAGTCAGTCTGCCTGTTCTTCCCCCACTCTGTCTCTGGTGAATCCTCTCTCCCTCTGCACCTCTGGCCTATACCCCAGCTCTTGTCTGCATAAATAAATAAATCTTAAAAAAAAAAAAAAAAGAAAGAAACCAAAGAAGAAAGAGAAATACCAGATGGTGTTACATGTATGTGGAATGTCGAGAAACCAAACTAAGGGTCAAACTTGAACCCTTGAAAACTGACCACACATCTAAGGCATCCAACAGGGGCAGAGGGAGTGTTAAGTGGGGAGGAGAGCACACAGGACAGGCGTGGAGGACTATGGGTACTTTGGTGGTGGGAGAGCTACGGTGACCACACCGGGGGAGAATATTATCAAGGAGGTAAGACAATGGAACTTCACTAATAAAAAACACAAGGAAAAAAGTGAATTAAAAGATGAGATAGCCAAAAAAAATCTGTCTTACTGAGTGCCCGCTAAGCATCAGTGCCACTTGACACTATTTTCCTTGTCTTCAGAGCAGACCATTTTAATAGGGAGACAGTTACATAAGATGAATGTTCATATCAAGCAGCTACCACAGGCTTTGCATAGATTATTTTACTTAACCTTTAGAACTATCTCCCTGAAAAGAAGAAAAGAAAGTACTAGATGAGCCCAGAATAATTTGCTGCGTCAGAAAAGTAAGTTATTCTGGGCTCATCTGGTACGGTCTTTGCGCCTGTGACAGACTGACCTCAAGGAAGCAGCCATCTGTCACAAGGACAGAGGAAGTCAGAGGTGCTCCCCCCAGCCAGATATGAGAGTTAAACATCAAAATAAATACTGAAAATGATAGATAACCTTGGAGTAAAAGAGGAACCCCTAGGGACATAAAAAGATGAAAGGCATTATTGATTATCTATTAATTTAGAGGTCAGTAAACTATCAAGGTCATTAAGGTAACTATTTCCGGCTTCCTGGGCCAGACCTTCTTTGTCACAACTACTCAAGCCTGCCTGTAAGTGGGAAGGAAGGGAGGGCCTATACCAAAAAGGACGGATGTGACTGTCCCAATGTCACGACTGGCAGGCAGCATTGGGTCTGTGCGCATAACCTGTGCATTGAGTATTTAAATCAAACCATGTTCTTTGTAAAGGAGAGAATAATTTGCTGTCAATTATAACAGTCTTATATAATAATCTTATTCTAATCTTACATGATAATCTTGTTCTAAATATGTGCTCAATAGCTTCCTCTCATCACCAATAGCAAACACTAAGTATGTCCAGTCCGCCCATGAATCTGCATCACGCATCAAGGTGTGGGTGCATTTAGCGTGGTGGTGGACCTAACAGCTGCTATATTCGATCTTAGCCAAAAGGCCGAGAAGTGATCCTAACAGCTATTAATGTCACACTGCCGTAAGAGATCCACATGAACTATACCTGGATCATCCAGACCTACTAACTTCCAGGTAAAATCTTCATGGATGACTTTGAGGGATGCAACCTTTGAGTAGAAGAAGAAACCCCAGGTGTGGGGGGGAACAGCAGGAGAACTAGAAGTGGGGCCTGAAGATGTGACTCAGTGGCTCCAAATCTCATGATAAAACTAACAGTCAGTTGCTGCCTACGGATGAGCAAAGAAGAGGCTATGAACACTGCTGAAATGACAACAAAGGATTAGAATATTACAGAAACTTAGTTGATAGAGCAGCAGCAGGGTTTGATAGGATTAGCTCTAGCTGAGAAAGAAGTTGTACTACGGGTAAAATGCTATCATGGCATTGCACGGTGCAGAGAAATCTGTCCTGAAAGAGTCCACCGATGTGGCAAACTTCACTGTTGTTTTATGTCAAGAAATGCCCCAGCACCTTCGATGGTCAGCAGTCACAAATAGCGAGACAAGACCCTCCACTAGCAAAAAGATGTCTCACTGGAGGCTCAGATGATGGCTCGCTAGTAATACAGTATTACTAAAACGTGCATTGTGTTACAGAACATAATGTCATCACAGACTTAGCTAACAGCGCAATGTGAACTTTTATGAACTGGGACAGAACGGGTGTGACTCGCTTTACAACTGGCCAGGTGCCCAAGGTGTGGCTGTATGATGTATGCAAGCGCTGCAGCAGGAACAGAAAGGAAGAATCCAGAAATAAGACCTGAAAACTGAGTAAGTTAGAGGATTAGGGAAGGGATGAGCTAGGAATACACACGATAGCGTCCATGAAAATTTAACATCAAATTTTAACATTGGTTCTTCTTGTTAGTTTCACAAAATCCGGAAAAATGAGGTGAGTATCATGTAATGATGCCTTGTAATTCATAAACAGAGAACATAAACTGGTTCCTAATTAGAAATTCTTAATAATCAAAAGGCAGCTTACAGCAAGGCAGGGCACTAACCCCGTTTTATGCCCTATTTGCTGGCTCTCCAACCCACTCCCTTTGCCCCCATTCATACAGCAGCTGCCCAGAACTAAGCCCTGAACCCCAGGAGAGGCCCCCCATGGACTGGGCCTGACATGAAAGGCTTGATTTCAACAGCGACTTGCTTTGAACTCGGTAGAGGAGCTTCTCTCCCTGAAGCAGAGACGTAGGACATTATTTTAAGAAAATAAGATGTGACAAGTATGACCAGTCTCTCACTTCCGGGTGCTTGCTACGCCAGCACATAAATCAATGGCCCCCACTCAGCAGATGGATTCTTCTTCTCAAGTTACTGACAACTTTATAATAAACTGTCATTTAAATTCATCCAATGGAAAAGGCAAAGAATGAGATTCCAGGGTCTATTAATGGTCCTATCTCTGCAATGATCCCGACAGTGAGGGAGGAAGCTACCCCCACCTCTCTGTGCTGGCAGCTCAGGCAGGTGGGTGTCCCTGGTCCCTTACCTTCTTCAGCCACGACCGTGAGCGTGACGGTGACCCCAGCATCCTTGATCAGCTGAACAATGCTGTCGTGCGACAGTTCGACGATGGACTGCCCATTCACTGCGGAGATGTGATCACCAACTTTCAGTTTCCCACAGCGATCGGCTGGACTTCCTTCTATGACGCGGCCGATTTTATGAGGAATAACTGGGGGGAAAAAAATCCCCAGATTTTTTCAGTTCTTTAACATATACGTGATACCTATTATTATCACTGTCGTCATCGCTACTTAAAAATTCAATATATCAAAGAACACCCTTTTAAAATATAGCAAAAGAGGCGCCACACCCAATCACCCCATCCAACTGTCATGATTCAGCTGGATACAGAGACACTCTGTACACAGCGGTAGTCACAGCACACAGTCCTCTGCTGTTGTCCACCGAACGCAAAGCTTTTTCAGTCTTGATACTGTCACCCACGGCATCCTGCTTGTGGAAACTCACTGATACTTAAGATAATTATTTCACTGATCTGATGTTTCTTGATTGTGGGTGGCTGTTCAGGCTGCATCAAGTCTGTGGTTATTTTAGAAATGGCTTCAATGAGACCATCCTTCCGGGATGCTTACTGCCGTAACGAACCATGAGAATCAACGAGTTCAGACTCGAATGGAGGACTCAGAAGATACTGGTCAGAAAGCCACATGCAGTGAAATGAGTGGCCATTAAAATGAATCATACTTGGCTCCATAGCAAAATTAAAATCTTTTTATTTATGCCTTTACATCTTTTTAAGGGAAGCTGGGTAGAATCAGAACATTCAATGTTTAATGTTAAGAGTACTTGACTCATGGATAAAGTCCTACCATGAATGTACAGGCCGAGCCTAAAGGCATTTGCAAGGCTCCTCCATGAGGTTCTATGCCACCTCTAGCTCTTACGCTAAATGCTTTCCTAGGCTCGCTATCCAGACACGTGGCTGAGCTGAAGGCTTAAAAGGAGTTTTCCGACATTCAGGATCTCTTGTCAAAATATCTTCCATCATTTAATAAGGGGCATTCATAACAGGAAACACAGTCTTTCTGTGTTTTCTGGGAATTTTCTTGCCTAGCTCAATAAACTTGTCAGGTCCTCGGGTTCCCACTGACCACTGATTGCTGCAAATATGGATAATTTCTATCTTAAAACGGCACTGTGATTATGCTTACTTTTGCTAGTCAAACGTGGTCCTTACTAGTCTTCTGAGTCATACCTAGGTGTGTGTTAGGGACAATTCAATTGCCCGTCATTTGGGTGGGAGTTATTCCTAGCCGTGATTTATGTCCCTGTGTAGCTCGGCTCTTCCAGGATCATACAGTGAGGGATTTCACCTTAAAATAGAGGAGGTCAGTGTTGGAAGCAAGTGCCTCTTAGCTGTGAATGATACCAAGCACTTATTATACCAACTTCATTACAAGCAGAGTAATTAGAAAGAGCAGGATGGGCCGCAGCCTGCGCCAGGCGGCCTGAGCTGATTCACCAGGCGGTGCATCAGAGACATGTGGTGAGTCATATGGTGGCCCTGCGGTGACCTTCTCAATCAATACCTCGGTTATTCTCCTGCTTTGGAGAGATTTACTTGTACATAGAGTTCATTCTAGATCTCCTGAGAAGAAAATCATTCAGCAACTTGGCACACTGAAAGGGGTTTATTCAGACCAGGGACGGCATCAAAAAGAAATAATCTCTGAAGTCTCAGCAGCTCCTTTCTCACCGTGTGAACACACTGGTCAAAAGGACCCAGCAAACCTCAGACCAGGCTTTCTGAAAGGTCAGTTGTCCAGGTGCAGGAAGGAAAAAGTCGTCAGGTTGTTACAGTCTTGGCCTTTATAACGGTACCGTCAGAGCAGTTAAAAATAGCAAACAACCAGGAGAAAGATCGTTTCTGAACCTGCTCTGAACAGACTGGGAAGTTTTGAAGGTGACGCCATCAGCTGTGAGGAGAGACTGTCTCGTGGTGGCTGGCTTATAAAGCCTATAGCCATGCGCTTAAGGAGTTTATCTGTCTTCATTTATCTTTGGCCTAAATCTGTCTCACAGCTGTAGAGATCACTTATGTCTCTTAAAACATTTCTTTTCAGGAAAAGGACAGGTAATAGAAAATGTCCCTTTCTTGAAGAAATCCTTTGCAACCAGAACTGAAAAGTAAGAAAACACTAAAAACTCTACAGTTCTCGCAAAGTCTAGCCAAGTTCTTTGCATCTTACACGGTCGTCTTTTCTGAGTACTCTCTTCACTCAGCATAAACTGGGCGCATCCAGGAAGGATACTGGACCTGGAGCCCTGATATTTGAAAAAAGGCACTGGTGGAGAATCTTAGAACTGGTATTAGAGAGCTACTGGGAACCCTTCAGGTCCACAAAGAATGATCCACTGGGACAGGCAGGTTTCCTGTATCTTTGCCTGTACTTCTCCCTCCTGAACCAACCCTTGTCTGTCACGCATTTGAGTAACAGCTCACTCTGTGAGTAAAAACTCATCCAAGCTACTCAGGGCCCTTCTAACGATAAGAGATAAGTGAAGTTCCAAGAAGAATGCTTGCAGGGTTCAGCATTTGGTGATTGTTAACTGGCATTTTAGTGAAATTACCAATTCTGGCTTTGTATCATGACAAAATCTCAAGTACTTTATACAAAATTCACTGACCTAATTTGCCATTCATGCTGACAATTAATGAGCTGCAAACACTCATTTCCCGCCCCGTATTCGCTGTTGCTGCAATCTTACATTTTAATTGGGCTTTCTTTCCTACACATTACTCAAGTATTGATAAACTTCTAAAAGTTTCTTCTTAAAAAACCCAAGAGGTGGGCTTCCCCTGGTGGCGCTGCGGTTGAGCGCTGGGTTGCGAGGCTGCCTGCAGCCTCTGCAGCACCAGTTCAATCCCTGGCCACCGGTGAGGGTCCCACCAAAAAAAAAAACAAAACAAAAAAACCACAAGAGAGAGTGACAATTCATGAATAGCAGTGATGCTAATGGTAGAAGCTATGGTAGAAGCCACAACAAGCAAAAACAACGTGTATTGACGGTACCACCAAGCCCAGGGCTTCTCACGATTTTAGTCCTCATGCTCAACTAAGACATCAAGTGTTATCATCCTCACTTTACAGAGCAAACTAGAGCTCTTGGAGAGTAATCTGCCCAAGATCAGGCAGTCATTAAAAGATAGAGGCAAGAGCTTTAATCCAAGTTGGTCTGATTACAAAGCCCAACACTTACTGACACTATCCTACACAAAGATCTAATATTAACAGTAGGCAACACCATCAAAATAGAAAGAAATGATTTAAACAAATATGTTTAAAATATTTTAAAAATTTCAATATAAATGGATGTATACACAAAACCACATTTGGTATGTTAAAATGCAATAGAACATAACATTTAAATATAAAAAACAGAAAAATGATTAAACATTTCAGTCTTACAACTTATTTTACTGAACTACTCAAAATGGCCTAGTTTTGTGGTGAACACTTGACTCTTCCCTAATTTCTGTAGTGCCAGAAAAAGAATATCTTCAGTGTCAAAAGTGGTCATGATTCATGATAAGCCTTTCACTATATTTGCTAATCTGAATGCCTGGGATTACTGTACGGTTTCAGAGTGAGAATATGAATATCTAAAATGGTTGATTGTTTCTGGAAATACTGATTTCCACTGATTACATCTTAAAATTCACCTCAGGCTGCTTTCTTGCATTTTCCTGACACAGGCCACACAATCATCCTCACAGCATCAGTGACAGTTCCAGTTCCAAGTGTTACCATAGCAACTGCTTTTGGAAAATGGAAACTAGTATCAGTGAGCAGTGACCTGGTACTATTAGTAATAACTCATCCACGCTACAGAATCTGTTTCCTTTATACACTTACTAAAATTAATTTTAGTAAGATTTCTGCAAATTGGTTTGGCTCACCACATTTTTCTGAAAGTGTTTTTCTTTTGTTACGATGGCTTTAGTGACCATCGAGTCCACAAGGATCCTACTCCCAAGACAGAATCAAACCCACTGACAAAGGCAGGACCACATTTTCATGTGGGCAAAGATTTTTATCATCTGACTTAGAAAAATAAAGTTAACAAACAAGCATGACGCATAAACACCAACTTCTTCTTCCTCCTCTCACACTCCTTTAGACTTCATATTTATATTTAATGATGATTATTTCTCAGAAATGTAAAGACAAGACATATTTACTTTGCTGAATCATAACAGCCCTGAACATATTAGAGGTAACGCCCTTTGTGGAAGGAAATAATATATATATACACACACATCCTTCTTGGGTGGAAATAGTCTGTTAAACTTCGTTCAGGATATTGATTCATTTTTAAAGGTTTTGATAAAAAGTTCACCTTTTAATGAAGCATATCTAAAAAGAGCACCTCTTATTCAAGATGGCTGCTTTATAGCTAGAATATGGCAATTATTATTCAATAGTATAAAAGGACTATTTAAGACAAATTTGGATCAAGATTTTTCTATTAATCTATTTTGCTTCTTCTCAACTGCTAACATGAACCTATTTCTGTGTACACAATCTCCCCTAATTAAAAAAACCCACCTATGCCCTTGTATTACAAAAAATTCAGCACTTTTCCTTGCACAAATTCTATTTTATAGCCACAGTATAATTTTGATGAAAGCTGGACTACTAAAAACTTATTTTAGGGGGCCTCCCTGGTGGCACAGGGGTTAGACGGCAATATCAAGCTATCCTCAGCCACTGCAGCATGAGATTGATTCCTGGCCTGCCAGGGAGCTGACCCACATGGTGCAGCAGACCTCTCCTGCCTCGCCCGTTGCTCCCCTCAGCAGTGTATTTCAGTAGATCTGCCTCTTCTGCTCCCCACTCTCTCTGGCGAATCCTTTCACACACCCCACCCAGCAACTCTGGCTTACAACCCAGTTCTTGTATGCAAAAATAAATAAATCTTTAAAAAAAAAAACCTTATTTTATGGAATCTGGGATCATAAACCTGCAGCTTATGAGGCTGAATTCAGATTATCTAACTTTGAAAATTAAGAAAATATTCCTCATTCTTTTTTTTTTTTTTTAATTTTTTTTTTTATAGAGGCATGTTTTTATTTATTTATTTATTTGTTTGTTTGTTTTGTTTGTTTATACATGCACTGGGCATAGTCAGAAGCGCGGGAGGGTGAGAGAATTCACCAGAGCCAGAGCGGGGAGCAGAGCAGGCAGAAGGACCGAAGTACACTGCTGAGGGGAGCAGCAGGCGGCAGGAGAGGTCTGCACGCCATGTGGGACCCTCCTCCGGTGGCCGGGGAGCAGCCGGGGATCGAACCGGTGCGCAGAGGCCGCGGGCAGCTTCGCAACCCAGCGCTCAACCGCTGCGCCACTGGGGAGGCCCAATATATTCCTCATTCTTAAAAGATAAGTCTCGAAGGCAATTTATATACAACTCCTAATTGACTTCACAAACCCCAGTGGGAGACCGAAAGATGAAAGTGCAGGGTGGGACAGGAGAAGACAGAAAGCGGCCCTCACCTCCTGGAGGTGGCTTGCTTTTGGAGGTGAGGATGACAAAGCCAAACCCCTCATTTTCTTTTCGTTGCAAGACAACATCATATGGCTCCTGGGGTGCAGGCCTGGCGAGGCCCTCCGCGCGGCTCAGACGGGGAGACCCATTCTGCGTGGACATGAAGGCTGGAGCACTGTCATCCTCAGGTTGTTTCTCTATAATAAACATGATCAATTTGGATATTTCTGGAACAACATAGTTTTTGAAAACTCAAGTGTTTTTGTGCAAGCCCCATACCACAACACACATCACTGAGGACACAGTTAAGGTCTCTTTTGGCTCAAAAATCTCCACGATTCTGAGAATATGTTCTAGACCCTCAAAAATGCCACCAGCATCCAATCATGAAAACTAAAGGACTTTTTTGGGGGAGGATAATACATGGTTAGAATGAATTATCTAAAATATCACCAATAATATCAAATTATAAAACTTCCTCATGATGCTTTCTAATAGAGTGAACCCTAGTTGTGTACCATCATGTATCTTACTCTATGCAGTTATGTTCTAACTTCACTATTAACCAAATGGAGGCAACAGCGCATTAAAATCAAGTGCCTGGTATTTGCAGAGAGGCAGCTCTACCGCAATAAAAAAACACAGGGCCTCATTTTTAAGAGTCATGTAAATATTCATCAAGTCAACAGACCCTTATTGACAATCACGCTGTACCAGGAAGGCCTTCTAAGCGCCAGGAGAGCAGAAGGTAACTAAGAGGATAAAAGTGCCTACCTGCATAAGGTTTACACTCTGGTGCTACAGGGTTGACTTTCTTAAATTTTAAAGAGGCAAGACTCATTTCTGAAAATCCCTACTTAGTGGTCACAAAGCTCTTCATGAGAAAAACAAGATATTTATTTCCTAGCATAATAGTTTAGACCTTGAGCTCTGTAACTAAACTGCCTACTTTAATCTCAGTCCTACTATACTCACCAGCTATGTGTCTCTCAACCTTTCTGTGGGTAATCATAAAAATAGATAATGACAGCATTTACACCACAATGTTGAGAAAATGAAAAGAATTCATTCTGTAGCTGGACACAGAAAATACTCTAAGTGTTAAATTATATTATACCCAAGTGTTAATTATATTATATCCAACATTATAATGTTTCTTAAGTAGAAACATTGTGGAATCTTTGAATCTTTGGGATTTCATCAAGATCCCAAATCTTTTGTTCTACTATTAGGATATGACTAAATAACATTGTGTGTGTTATTACAACAGACTTAGTCTGATATTCCCATTAATAATATCATGGTGGCAAAATGTTAAGACAATCTAAATACAAAGGCCCCAAATTTCTTTTTTTGACAGTAATATTACCATTTTTCCATCCTTTTGACCTTACATGACCTTTCGTAATAAGCTCGTGGATCACACCAAATGATTTACCTTCTAGACTATCAAACAAAATAATCCGCAAAACCACACAGAAAGTGGACCAAGTCTGTCTGTTTTTAGTTATGGGAGCATGAACAGGTTCACATACCCCCATAAAAGATCTTTCTTCTGACGGTCAGTAGCACGTGGCCGTTTCGAGCAGCTGTTGTCATCAGGTCCAAGACCTGCTTGTGTGACTTCCCTTTCACAGGGATCCCATCGATGCACATCAGCTCATCGGCTGCACGGAGCCGACCGTCCTTCTCTGCCGCGCCCAGGGGGATGATGGCCCCGATGTAGATCTGATGAGAAAGCGTAGGTGGGTCTATGCAGTCTAGTAAAATCGGACAAATAGACTTTTTATGCTCTATTATGAAAAGTCCTATTTCTGAAAGCTAGTATCTTAGAAAGTGGCCATTCTCCACAACAAGACTTGTAAAGACCACAGCATGTAATCCCTGGGGATCCTCAGCACAGAGTACATACAGGATAGAAAATACAGTTGTCCTAGAACTTATAAAGCACCACTGCCATCTCCATCATTACCACAAAACAAAGACATTAACCTCAGACAAAGCAATTCTTTGGAGTAGGTACTAAAGTAAAAAAAAAAAAAAAGTCAGTGAATGCCTCTGAGGAAAATGGAATACTACGCAGCAGTGCTCACAGCAGCTGGGATGACCTCGCTGTGCTCCCACCACAGGCAGCCACCAGTACAGGTTCAGCACATACAACAGAGAAACATTTCTCATTTCCTCATCATCAAGCAGTAAGTATTTAAAGGGAGCAGAGGGGCCTGAGGATCACCTGCCTCTTGGGGAACAGAATGAGTTCATTCTGCTTATGAGCAATTAGAACCCTATCATCAGTTAACCCTGAATGTTTGGGCTAGCTTTAGAGCTGCTAAAACCTGACCTTAAGAAATAAAGTTTCCCCCAGGTTGATGAAGATGGATTCATAAAATGTCTAAGTGAACACTATGAGCATTAAAAACATAGGAGACAATTAAGCCAAAATACATCTACCACCAAAACCAATCTTTTTCTATTTGCCCTACATAGGGCACTTCCTCATAAATTTTGTCTCTGGTTATTGCTGTAGCCAGTATGACTATTTAGAACACATTTTATACAACGTGAATCAACTATTCTATATAGATAGAAAAGGCTGTCATTTCAAAGGATTATTGTTACCTAACTTCCAAGCAGGATAACAATGTAGTCTTTCTTACTGCTATACAGAAGAAAATTTAAATATGTTCTTAAATTCTAAAATGCACATTACTTCTTTGTCATTCAAACTAAGGGCAAAGCTTAAAAGTACTACATTTGTTCTCTAAATTAACTTTAAGTGAGAACTGTGCATAAATAAAATTCTAGATTTTAAATACTTTGCAAACATAACTCTTTTGCTTTCTGGACAGGAATGCTAATTATTCTACATTCTTCTAGTTTCTTAGTAACAGATGAAATGGCATGCAAAGTACTAGCAGGAAACATTCAGAAGCTAGTGATTAAACAGGACTGTAGATTATAGCTTTCATAGAGAAGGAAGATAGCTTAGAATCTGTTTAACAAAGGCAAAGGCAAATAAAAAATTAAAATAAGCTTTAGGCTCATACATAAGTAAATACATTAATCACTGTCCAATTTACAGCTGACATTCACTTTTTACCTATAACTTCAGCCTTAGCTACACTTAAGTGAAGGATTATGACACGAATAAAAAGGCAGTTTCTTCCTCACATTCGCGGAAACTGTTACAGCAAATTTTTTTTTTTTTAAGAGATTTATTTATACAAGCACTGGGTACAGTCAGAAGCGCGGGAGGGTGAGAGGATTCATCAGAGACAGAGCGGGGAGCAGAGCAGGCAGAAGGACCGAAGCACACTGCTGAGGGGAGCAGCGGGCGCGGAGGGAGAGGTCTGCGCCGCCATGTGGGAGACCACGTGGGCAGCTTCACAACCCAGCGCTCAACCACTGCGCCACTGGGGAGGCCCCAGAGTAAATCTTAAAAAGCTCAAACAGGAAACACAACACAGTCCACCAAACTGCTATCTGTTTGAACGGGAATAGTCAAATTCCAAGATAATTAAACTTACAGACTGGTCGGGTCCATCTCCTCCTAGTACCCTGAAGCCAAACCCAGATTCTTGCTTCCGAAGAAAAACATCCAAATCTTTGGTGTTTGGTGCTAAGGAAAACCAGAAAAAAAACCTTGACTTAATATATTTCATTATAGTTATTATTATATATTATTTACATACAGTTGAGATCAGAACCTGATAGGTGAAAATTTACACATGAGCATAACATTACAAAAAATTCACCACCCATCCTTGTTTTGAGTGCTGAAAAAAAAAAATCTCTACATTGATTGCTTAGGAATACTGAGCCTCACTTCCACTGTTAGTATTATCCTACCGTTAACGCCTAAAAATTTCAAATTGATATTAAATTCAGAATTATCTAATCCAAGTTTGATAGGTTTAACTATTTTGTTAGATGCAAATTATCTAAATACTGGGTAAGGTACATTAAATCCTAGGAAAAGGGGTGGGGGTCCATAAAATGCCTTATTTCTACTTCTAAGATGATCTCAGAAAAGGGTCCCATATGAACTGCTTAGCCTAATTTTGCAAAATGATAAAATTTTGAGAGAAAATTAAAACAGTCCCTATTATTGGCCCATTCTCTAGCTGGGGAACTGCTCAGTCACACAGAAGGAAATGGGCAGAACTGATACTAAATCCAGACTGATTTCCAGGGTCCAGGCTCTTAACCCACACTATCCTGCCCCCAAAGGGCATATAAAAAGAGAGATACAGTATGGGGTAAATGTTCTTGAGAAGCAATGTCCTTTGCTTCTTTTGCTTCCATAGAAGATGACTCTCACCGCTTGCACGATATAGACTCAACGTGGGGACCCACCTTCAGGACGGCTGCCAGAAACAGGCTACTGTGGTTTAACTGGACTCGGCTATTCTCAGGACTGAGGGACTGGTTCTATGAAATAAATGAACCACTCACCTTCTAAATTGTGTAACTTCTTGAGAAATCTAAAGGGTGGGACTTAGGGGAGTGAAAAATCTGCCATCACAAAATGTTTTGGCAAAAGGCTGGTTACAGGAGAGGGGTTCTGAAGGGCACAGGCTGCTTTTGAAAAGACATTTACTCATAACTTCTATAAGGGTGTGTGCCAGGAAGGCCTCATTTCCTTACCTCTGTTCAGTGGACAAGGCAGAATTTAATCAGCATATCTTTGACTGTGGAGCTTCCCTGGTAACCTCTCCAACTGCCCTGCCCTGCCCACATGCCTCCCATCTCCAAAGTCCTTCTGCCTTAGCTCAGCAGCATGTGAAGCCCTGGAGGTGTTACTCAATAATGGTGGGTCCTCATGTATCAGGTACACCTGCTATTCTTAAACTTTTTTGATTTTTTTCTCTTCAAAAAAGTCTTTTGATAAACACATTCTATGAGAATTATAGATCTGTAGAGATAAAAAGACTCATGGACTCAGCTGGATTCATGTCTGAATCACTTGGCACAAGAGATCTGAATAATTTATACCAATAAGTGAAAATGTACAGGCTGTGAATGAGAAATTTAAAAAAGAGATTCTCTGCAGTTGTACTAAAATGACTGCTTTGCTATGCTTATGCCTGACTGTCATCTTTCTAAATACTATCAAGATAAAGATCTGGTTAAGTACAAAGACAGACAGACATTATATACATACATACATACATATATATATATATATATATATATATAATTTCCATTGGTATTATCTTTTTCAAGGTAGATTTAGATGCATCTAAAAAACAAATGAAAAAAATCATTCCTACCTAAATCTGCAATTTTACTCTGGAAAAGACTTATCAGTAGTATATGTTTGTACCAAAGAGCATTTCTGCCTTGTGCAGAAATCTCTCTCGTCTTCTCTCAGCTGGACTCTCTGTGGAGTCCACTCTCTGGCTCCTCCTCAGAGTGCACACGCTTCCTCAAACCACCCTTTCTCTGATTCATCCTTCCTACTCCCGCCAGGGAAATCTTTCTAAGACACAGTCCCAAAATATTTTCCCTGTATTTAAAACCACCCTATGGCTCCCTATCATTTAGATGACACTCCAGCTCCCTCAGGATGGCCTCAGGACCCACTGCAATTTGCTGCCACTCTCCCTCTGGCTTCCAGGCCAGTGACACGAGCCAAATGGAACTACTTGCAGAACCCAGGTCGTACAAGGTCAACGTGTGTGTGGGGCGGCAGCGCTGGGAGCAGCTTGGGATGAGAGAAAGACACTCACAGTTCAAGTGAGAGAGGCCTGGAGGGGCTTACACAGTACAGCCCCATCTCTGGACAGTCTTGTGTTTATTTAGAACCAGGTTCCGAGAGGACGTGCACGTACGAGGAGGAATGTCATGCAGGGGGGTGTGTTATGGGGAATGGGTTATATATAGTCTGGTGCAAGCTAGGGTGGAGTGACGGCGGGCTATTGCTTAGGGAGCTCCCTAGTTCCCTCTAATCAAAGCATTCTATCTCTAATCCTCATTCTTACCTGACTTTCTGCTAATCTTTATAAGTAAGGTTTTCTAGCTGATCTTGCTAATCTGGCCATCGAGTCTGCCTGCTGTTTTCAGTAGATACTGGTTTCCCAGTATGTTCCTCATACCAGGACTTTTGCCCTGGGGAGAGGCCCCCTGCCTGACTCTCTGCATGCTAGCCTGACCAGCAGGAACCCTGAGCACCAAGACAATCGCCCCGAGAACAAAGAAGACCAGGCATCCCACAAACACGCAGGCACTGCTCCTTCTCTTTCCTTGGGCCTGTCTCACAGACAGCGCTTCATCTTTGAAGACTTGGTTTAGATTTAACTGTCCTATATGTTACTTGACACGCTTTGCCCTCCACACTGGGAAGCACTGACCAATTCCTTCCTCGGATCCCAATTTACCTAGTTCATCCTTCTATTCCCGCAGCTGTTAGGCTTATTTGTATTAGTTTGGAAAAAATGAATGGCGAATGGAAGCGACAGAAGCCTACAGTCACAATGCAGTGGGAATGAAAGAACAAGTTTCAAACATTGTAGTGAAGGATGGGAAGGTACCAGTTTTTTTTTTTTTTTTTAAAAAACTCCAATTTACTTTGGTCTATGTGTTCCTGAAATATTCCATGGCTACTTACGTTTATCTTCATACAAAGTCTTAGATTTCAGGTAGACCTCAGAAGGATCCAGTTTCGGGGATCCTGACCTAATAATGCTGGGTGGAAAAGGCATAGGCTGGGGAATGGGCTCATTGATGGCCTCCAAGCTTCCTGAATTTTCCTTTTTATCTGTTTTCTGAAATGAAAAAAAAACACCTTACTTAGTATTAACACACACACACACACACACACACGCGCGCGCGCGCACACACACGCATAGCTGAAAGTTTATAAATTTATTGTTGAACCAGGTACGTCAATGGTTAGAGCTGATGGGGGTAGGGGCAAATTCCCAGCATATTTGCAGTGACTTTTTGGTTAAAATGTATACAACTAAATTAGAAAATGTTCAGAATAATGTGAACTGAAGGGAAGCAATCGTCCTTTTCCCCATCATCAAGACACATGTTGACTTTAAAAAGACAAACAGATACAACACAAGGCAGCAGCATTTGAGTGAAGCGAAACGAGCCTCTGTCAGAATCCCCTCATACAGATCTTGGTAGGTCCTCCCCACCCCACTCAGTGAATTTAATTCCCAGGAAGATGTTTAAGATATTGTTCTTGCTAAGAAAATGGAACAGGACGTGTTAGCTCTAATTTAAGTTACAAAGATAACATTGAGAAAACCCTGCACGACTAATTCTAATACATTAATGAAAAAGGCAACAGGCTAGGCAGTCAGATAAGGGAAAACAGAGGAGCATATTTTAATATTTTTCCTATTTGGACAGAACTTTCCTCAAATAATAGTCATGCAAATGACTTCTTTAATGAAAATGTTAAAATGAAATCCAATAAATAGCCTACTAAAATAAATACCATTTGGAGGGCCACTTGTTATTCTGATTATCTTTAGGAACGGGAGGGAGTTACTACCAAGTACTGGGTCAGGGGGTCCTGTTCTGACCTGGACCAGTCAGAGGGCAGGGAGGATAAAAGCTGCCTTCTCCCTTCGCCCACTGCCCTCGGAGTCATCGGAAGTGGTAAGAGTTCATCAGAGACTTCATCGGTGACAAAGCGTCAGGGCCACCAGGTGACACTGGCATCCATTATGAAACAGACGTGGTAGCAGAGGCGCTGAACATGACTACCAGAGGCATGCAGGAAAGGGTGTAGTGTTAGCTGAAAGGTCAGGGGAACTTCTATTCACGTGCTCCTATGTGGCACAGTCTGTGAAAGTGCAAAATGTTTCTTTCCATTTGATGTGTAAAGTGGTACATTTGCAGAGGATCCTATTTGGTGGGTTAGAAAAAATTAATTCCTTTTATAGCTGATGGTTTTTCCTTTCATAGCCTCTGGTTTATGGTTCTGGAAAACCATCTTTCAATTGTGCGATGACAGACTCCAGATCAGGCAAATTAGAACTGAATTATGATTTGATACATAATTACTGTCTTTCATTCCAAACAAATGTGAATATTTTAAGTAGCTACCCATGTGCCCCTAGCACAGTTTCTTCCACAACAACTTATTGCTTTAGGTCTTGTTCTCTATAGAGGTCCTGAAATAGGCTACTCAGTTTTTCAGAAAAATGCCAGAGAGCAGTTTCAAGTCTGACAGCCGAGATGTTGATAATAAGCGAATTGAGCACTGGCCACAATATTCCTCTAGAAAGTCTTGTTTCACCCTAAATGCAAGAAGGTTATAGAGATGTGGGTATTTCCAGTCCCCAGGAAATGATGTGACGCTGCCTCATCCTCCATTTGGGGTCAGGGCGAAGTGGTAGTAGCAGTTCATCATCTGCCCTGACACAAGGCTGCTTCTTACCCTCGCTCCTCGGAGACACAAAGAAAGTACAAGGACCGCAAAGTGGGTATTTCCTGGGTCTACATTTTACTATTTAGAAGACAGGACTGGGGGGTCGTATGTGCTCTGACATTCCTCTAATAGGAAGGGGGAACCCAGAGAGCACAGCTATGCTGCGGGGCTCTTTCTGACTCACACGCTTCCCTAGAGTTACTGACACAGCCCCGGGCAGGGGGCACCCCACTTCTCCCAGCCCAGCGGAAGGCCCCTCTCTCTTGGTGCGCTGGGAAGCAGCATTTGAGGACCACAGTATACTCACCATCTTGGCAGTTTTAGTCGGTGACGGAGGACCTTAAAAAAAAAAAAAGAGAGCCAGATTTTAAAACCAGAAGAAGCATTGTCAGATCACAGATGATCACTGATGTTTATGATAAAACTAGCTTCAACTGTTAGTAGGCTGGGAAAGTCCAAGTACAACCTCTCCTGTGTACCAGGCATCAGCCAGATACTGTCACATTTCATTTTTATGGCGGCCTGAAGCAAGTATGTTCCATCTGACAGATAAGGTAAACAAAGGCTCACAGACTGACACGACTTCCCTATACAGTGACACCAACAGTAGCCAGGCAGCAAATTGGCATCAAATCTGTGTGACACCAAATTTTGTTCTATTTGCTGGAACGCTGGGTAAATCTCCAGCATTCACAGCAATTTTCACCTTAGTCTGAGCATATTCTACTCTGTTGCCAAGAGAAGAAACAAAAATAATTCAAGGAAATGACAACAAGGAAAAACACCTCAATGAAAATAAACTTCTCTTGGCCTCAAAAATCAAAACTCTAAGTCGGAGAAATAAGAGAGTGAAGGGCCCAACGTTATTCTTTTACAACACTGGCTTTCCATAGGTATGGATTTAAGAAAGCCTTATTATAATGTAACTTTGTGACTAGTCCTTGGAGCTGGATTTATAATGTCTGGGGAGCAGTTCACATCAGCTGATGACCTTGGAAAATAAAATATACTTCTCTCACATGAGCACTGTGGGGTTTAATTAACATTTACAGACAGATACTAAAGCTAAGAGAAGAGCTTTATGAGTTCAAGCTATCATGACCACTTTTACAGAACAGATTAACACACCATTCAACATTTTGCTTATTCTCTGAGATGCTGGCCCCTTTCAAAATATCTTTAGTACTTTACAGAGGTCTAGATGAAGTAGCACTGGTTAAAAGAGTCAAATTCTATTACTGTCATCAACAGGCAAAATGAAATTCAGAGGATATATTTTGTTTGAAGGAGCACAATCCTTGACTCTACCTAATCATTAAAGACATAAATCAGATTTTAAAGAGAATATAAAGGGAAAGAAATTCACAAGGAACATGAATGAGACCACTAATAACTACCCCAAAAATTGGATGCAAGACACTGCTTACTGGTATGGTCTGACTTAAGGAAAATGCACACTAATTACCAAGTAAGTCTGCTGGGGAAAAAGACATTCTGACCTGCAAGGAAGGAAAATTAACGAACATAAATGCATGAACAATGAAGGCTTTCCTGGTGCCTTTACTCACCTCCTCTTAAGATAAGTAATGGTACATCTGCACCTACTGGAAACTGCTTTAGCACCTCGACCACTTGGAGATGTGTTAAATTCTGCACATTTTGATGATAAATTTCCTTAATTATATCCCCTTTCTGTAGGCCTTGACACCACTGACTGTCCAAGATCATCTTCACCTTCTGTCCAGTCGGGCTGTCGGCAATCGCAAAGCCGAAGCCCTTAGGGCCCTTAATCAGAGGGATGGTCACGAGCTCGGGCTGGGAGCTGCCTGACGAGGCCATGGACGCTCTCTGCTCGCTCGGCTCTGCTGGTCCATTGAGACGATCACTGACCAAGGTGTGCCCAGATTTTCCATTCTGGTCTAGAGCCATTGCTCCTGACTTAAAATCCTGAGTATTCATGCAAGTCTCTCCCTTGGGTAATGACTGTCCATTGATGACGGGGGCAGCAGCAACAATGTCCACAACGGGGTCCTCATTGTCATCAGGAAGCGGGTAACCTCGACATAAAGTGAGGTTCACATACTGGCTGACAGGCACCAGCTGGAACATCTGGACAACATCTGCATGGGTGTGACCAAGGACACAGCTGCCATTGATGTCTACAATAACATCACCTGGTGAAACAGAGCCATGTTAGAAATATTAAGCTCACCCTATGAGCTAATTTTTTTGGGGTGAGGTGGGGGAGAAACCAAAAAAAAAAAAAAAAGCTAAATTAAGCATCGAAACTTGAATTCTGGGAAACGTACTATTTATAAACTGATAAAAGATAGTTTGAACACAAACATGTCATTCTTCTGTGACTCCTCTCTTAAAAGAGTACGGAAATGTATTAAGTCGTATTATCTTTGCAGCAGAGTTGTCATCTCAAACTCAAGTGAATTATTTTAAAAAAAGGGAAAATTCCTTTTTCAAAAATTTATTTTTAATTGATGTAATATTTGGATACTCCCGTTGGGTACGGCCACTGTCGTGCACCCACCACCAAATACCGCATAGTCCACCAGCACAGCCCACTGTGCTTCCTGCACTCTTTGTTATTGCCACCCCACCCCCCTCCTAAAGATTCCTATTATCATTGCACCTAGGGCCTCTGGGCCACATCTCAGTGGCCATACATCTCAGTACACAGAAGAGAAGCAATCACTCCGGTGGGTTATTTACAAAAGGCAATCTTTAAATATTGCCTTATTTCTTGATTTTAAGAAGTCAATGATTACAACATGCTCAAAAATTCATTCCAATGAATTATAACATACTCAAAAATTCATTCCTGTTTGAAAAATGTAGGACTGAAAATTAGAATAAGCTTAATTTATGACCAGATTTTCTTTCAGTATCTTTCTCTTTGTAGAGATTTTCAATTTACTGTTATTCAGATTGCAATGGGAGAAACCAGCAACAAAAAGTTGACACAAGCAAAGAACATACTTTTTAAAACACCGAAAAGTCAGCAAAATTAATCCCTGAAAGAGCTGGCTTTGCACTCATGATTTTACATTATTATGACCACTTTAGTTGCAGAATCATTGCTACCTGACATTCATCGGTGGTATAGATTTTAATGTAGCCTTAAATTTTAAAATTTGTCCTCTGATATCTGATACATTCACTGTTTTTATCTGAATAGATTATTTAAAAGGTTATTGCCAAATAAAGGTGTTTAATTTATTGTGATTGCATGCAGGCTTTTAAAAAATCAGAATGAATGGTATTAAAAACAAAAGTTAGTCTGTGGAAATGTATTTCATAATCTAAGAAGAAACAGAAATTAGAATAATAGGCAAAGTTTTGACTTCCTCCCCCTCCTTGCTTCAAGTTTCCAGAATTTTCATGGAATTATTGTGTTGCTGCGCAAATTAAATGACAACAGTTTGAGACAGAGCCACATCGTGTTAATGAATCCTGCCAGTATGTGCAACAGTTAAGAGACCTGCTTTATAGGCAAACGCTGCAAAGTCAAAATTGAAAACTAAGGAAACACCTTACTCTTCATTTCAATCGCTACTTTGCCAATTTTATAAAGTAATAAGGGAAAGTTACAAATACTTTTCTTTATAAATACAACTTAACTCTTCTTGCTTTAAGTTTCTATCACCTAAATGGGAAAGAGATCCCATATCCTAATTGAAATTAAGTTGCTATTTGCCATTAAAAGGACTGTGGGATGTGGAATAACAGGATTGGGAAGGTCTGGTGAGTGGTGCAAGAAACCACCTCTGTGGAATACCAAAGTCCTGCTGGAAAAAGTGCTCAACTCTCCCCATAGTAAGTAACTAGTCTTGAATTTCCTCTAACCTCCTCTGTCAAACATTGTCAGCCACATGAAATTTCTAAAAACTGCCAAATACTTTGGGAAAGATATAAAAATTTACACATCTCTGTAAAAATGGTAATATTCATGACCATAATTCTTAACATAGTACTTTAATTTTACTAATAACCAGCAAGATTAAAAAAGGAAAAAAAAACCCAAGAGAAATATATATATAGTACATACTAGTATAGCCAAAGAACTTGCAATTCTTTTTTTTTTTTTTTTGATTGGTAACAAGTATTTAAAAATCTGGAATTCAGATTTCGTTTAGAAAACTGGGAAATCTAGTATTGCTCAATCTGTTCAAAAAAATTATAAATGTAATGTTTTCTCTAAGTTTCCACTTATTCATAAAAATGACCCTCCCTAAAAACTAGTATGCGCTTCATTTGGAGGACAAACTATTTTAATACAAGAATCTCCCTCTTTGATTGTGTAATTTACTACTTCTCCCCCGTACTATACTCACATGCATATATGTGTGTGTATAAATATAAGGAATACCCTTTCCCTGTAATTTTTGTTACAGCATCACTACTATTCCAGTGATTCTGAGAAATCTGTTACCTGGTGCAATCTTCCCATCCTGAGCAGCGGGGCCGTCTTTCAGCACATTTTTCACTTGCAGGAACTCATCAGGCCTGTCTCCACCAATAATGGTGAAACCAAACCCCATTGTGCTTTTTTTCAATGATGCTCGGACAAGGACGCCTTTAAGCTGGGATGGATCCCGAGTAAAGTGTGATTTTTCTGTATCTGTGCGAAAATGAGAAGTAGCTTTGAGAACAAAATTACAAGGAGTGAAGCACCCAAAACTAATCATCAAGAGAATCTATAGAACTTAAATAGAGAAAATTAGTATTTCCTATTTATGGAACACTTAGAACTTAAACTCACAGACTAAAGCACTGAAAAAAAAAAAAAGGAATCAAAAATGTTTATCTTTTAAGGATTCGCACATGTCATGTAAAAGGTAAAGGCACCTACAATACCTCCTTCTCTCACCCGAGTCCATTAAATGTCAAGTGATGCGCTTTTAGGACAATCTTAATTACTAAATTCCTGCAAGCCTTAGAGACTCACTGGGTAGTACATTTCATTTGAATAAGCATCGACTGAGCCTGAAGCAGAAAACACTGTTCCAAAAATATGAAAGTGACTCTCACAAATTTATGAAAGAGAATATATCAAGACCTTTCTATGATTCATAGCTGGGGCCTTCTGCAGCCGTGAACTTCTATCTGGTGATAGAGTGAATTTCTGAACTATGAGTAAAGACCTTTGTTTCTTCCTTTTCACTCCTGTTTAGTGGCGACTTGATGAAGGGAAAAAAAAAAAAAAAAAACCCTTAGCTCCTTTGAAAAGCCAATTTTTAGAGGTTTTCTCCAGATAGCCCTAGTACTAACAGTGACCCATATTTGCAAATATGGATTTTCTTCCCCCAGACCTTCTCCCTTCCTAACCATGGCTGCCCTTAGAAAATCATGCGAGAATCAAATTGTACAGGTTGAAAACTTTTCAAATGCTGCTTCTTTTTTTTGAAAGATGGTTTAACGTTTTCTGCAACTATTTTTTTTTTAAGATTTATTTATACAAGAGCTGGGGTACAGGCCAGATGTGCGGGAGGTTGAGAGAATTCACCAGAGACAGAGCGGGGACAGAACAGGCAGACTGACTGAAACACACTGCTGAGGGAAGCAGCGGGTGAGACAGGAGAGGTCTGCTCGCCATGTGGGACCCTTGCCGGGCGGCCGGGATAGAACCGGCGCTGCAGAGGCTGCAGACAACTTCACAGCTCAACCGCCTACGCCACCAGGGGAGGCCCATCTGCAACTAATTTAAAACATCTTTATTGAGATACACTTCACATGAAAAAAATCCAGCCATTTAAATTTCCTAACTTCCTAACTTTAGAAATTTTTCTCCACCCCCTACAAGAAATCCTCATGCCCATTAGAAGTTACTCCCCACTTTGCCCTAACCCACGCTCACACCCTAGTCTAAGGCAACCACTAGTCTATTTCCTGTCTGTAGATTTGCCCAATCGGCACATTTCATGTAAATGGAACGATAACATAGAACATCTGGCCTTTCGATGGTTTCTTTCACTGGGCATAAATTTTTTGAGGTTCATCTGTGTTGTGGCAGGTTAGGATCTTCCTCCTTTCTATTGCCAAATGAGATCCTGCTGTGTGGATATATCATATTTCATTCACTTATCCCAGATGGACATTTTCACTTTTGAAAATGTTTGTTTCCACGTTTTGCTGCTATGAACAGCACATTGAACATTCTTGTTCAGGTTCTGTGTGGACTGACATTTTCAATCTTCCTAGTACACAGCCGCCGCGGGGCCACAGCAGTTACCAAAGTCCTGCAATTAGGCTTAACACTTTGAAGATTTGCCAAGTTCACCCAGAGGGCTGCACTATTTGCATCCACCAGCAACCTAGGAGGGTTCCAATCCTGTTGCTACATCTTGGCCAATATTTGTGATGACCTGACTTACTGCTGACATGCGCCCCCTGGAGGCAGAGTGGCCCCTCGCTGTGGTTTGATGGTCGTGTCCCTGAAGACTTACATTAACAAGTGGACTTATTTCCTATATATTGACCCGCCCTCAAGACTAGACCAAGCTCAGGTGTTTGTGTTGCTCTGTCGCTGCTCCTCTTTACAAAGTATACTGGAAGGTGCACCTTAAAGCTGACTGTCTACACCCCAGCTCTTGTATGCACAAATAAGGGGTTAAGACGCAGTCTATGAAGCTATCCGCCTCTGCAACATGAGTTCGATCCCCAGCCAGGGAGCTGCCCACATGGTGCAGCAGACTTCTCCTGACTCACCCGCTGCTCCCCTCAGCAGTGTATTTCAGTCAATATGCCTGTTCTGTTTGCCACTTTGTCTCTGGTGAATCCTCTCACCCCCCACACCCCTGGCCTGTACCCCAGTTCTTGTATGCATAAATAAATAAATCTTTTAAAAAAAAACAAGCCGATTGTCAGGAGGGAGCAGCTCCAGGGCCTGCCTGGTGTGGTGCTGCAGAGGGGTGTGCAAGGAGCTTGCCCAGAGACAGGCCTGCCCTGAGTGACTGACAAGGCAGGTCGGTGGAGCCAGTCTAGGGTGGGAGCAGGTCCACTTTATTTGATAGAGTCTTCCCAGATTTGCTGATCTCTTACGAATAAAACCACTTGACACGGAATAAAAAAGCTCAACTATTTGGGGCTTTCCAGTGTAGGGGACTCCACACAGCTGTTTGGTCACCACAGTGAGTGTTATTTTGCAAGACTGTCAGTCTGTTCCCGGAGACTCCTCGGTGCATTATTGGCACTTAATGAGCCTGACATTCAAACTGGCTACCTGTCTCTGAAGAAAATGTTACCTCTTAAAAACTACTTAATGGTAACGTTCAAAGTCCATTCACACGGGTTGACATGACTTCCCACTAGCACTGCAGATAAGGTCATCTGTTTAATGACCACATAACGGACAGCTACGTGAGGACACTGTATTTGATGAGATGTACTGTTCTCATTTTTATGTCCAATCTTAGCGATTTCTGGTTAGCTCGCTCATGCTCTAGTCCCCATGGATACTGGAATAAGACTGGCTTCTGAGAGCTGAAGTAGAAAATCAGCATATAATAGATGAGATCCCAAATGTGCAAACATTAACAAAGGAAGGAAAGTTCAGGTTAACACTTAAATTTGTAAAGTAAAACAGTCAAAGCCAATTACCTAGACATTGGTCAGAAAGAAGTCTTATCAGAACTAAACACTGAAATATGAGAAAGATACAAAAAAATAGTTTTTGAGCCTAACAATTCTGATGTTTGATCAACCTTTCTGATTAAGTTGAGTGATCTAGAATGTTATTTTTTTAAGATTTATTTATGCATACAAGAACTGGGGAACAGGCTGGAGGTGGGGGCGGGGGGTGAGAGGATTCACCACAGACAGAGTAGGGAGCAGAAGAGGCAGATCTACTGAAATATACTGCTGAGGGGAGCAGAGGGCGAGGCAGGAGAGGTCAGATATGCCATGTGCGTAGCTCCCTGGCCAGGGATCAAACTCATGCACAGTGGCTGGCGATATCTTGATAGCACTGTGCTTTTAACCCCTGCGCCACCAGGGGGGCCCCCTCTAGAAATGTTATTAAACCTTAAGTCTCAGTTGCTCCACCTAACTCATGAAATTGTTCAGAGAGTAAACTGGGGAATGCAGAGAAAGCACAGAAAATACTGTTGACAAATATTAAGTGCTCAATAAATACAGATGAACACAATCCCATACACACTATTTTCTAGCTCACAAATGCGAATGCTTCTGTCCCTGTGGCAAGTACTGCCCCTGGGAAGGATGTATTAGATAATTGTAAAATGCCACCGTAATGGCACCTGAATGGAGAAAGTAAAACTAACAACCTTGCAAAGATATTTTGAGACTATATGAGATAATGTATCTAAAGCATGCAATTCAGCACCTACTCGATATATCAGTAAATGGTAGCAATTATTCGTCAAGGCCTAGCATAACTTCCACCATTTCTATATAGTCTTGTTCGCCCCATCAGATTTAACCTCTTTCTCCTTTGCACTAACACTACTGCCACATCTGTCAGCACACTGTCGATACCCACTCTCTCTACTCTACAACTCCATTCCCTTGACAGGGCATTTTTTTTTTTTTTTTCCATTTTCAACTTGCTCTTGCTAGATTGACAAATGACCTCCCTATTGTCAAATTCAACGCATGCTCTTCAATTTTCATCTTTCTTGACTTTTCAGCAACATGTGACACAAATACTCAACTTCTTTTTGAACTCATTTTTTGTCATGGCTGCCTACTCTTGTAACCTCACCTCTTGTTATTACCCCCCCCAATGACCCTGTGCTCTAGCCATTCCTATCTGCTCTCCGGTCCCTGGACCATCATTTCACACGTCAGTGGCTTCAAACATTCTGTTTTTTCCACCTGAAGTGCCTTCTTCCACTAACATCTTTATCTGCCTGATTTACCTCTTCATAACTCTTCAAAACCCAGTTCAAATGCATCTGCCACTTTGAAAGTTCCCGTACGCCTTTTCTCCACCAAAGCAGAGTTGAGTTCTTTCCTTAATGCCAACACCATGTACATCTCTATTCATAACAATGAAAGCTTTCACTTACTGGTTTCGTGGTGCTAGATAACACTGTAAGTACTTTATGCATACTAATGTATATATTCGAACAGCCATAAGAGGTAGGTACTATCATTTTCTCCACTTTACAGATAAGGAAGCAGTGACACTAAGCTTATCCAAGGATACCCAGCTGGGATTCAAACCTGCTTCACCCTCTGCATATCAAGCTACTACTCTAGGATAGTACCCATCACCACATATTTTTGTCATTAGTTTTCTATACGCAACTGTGAATCTTTGAAGGCGAAAACTTTCTGTATTGTTTTTGAAAACCATGTGTCGGGGCCTCCCCGGTGGCGCAGCGGTTGAGCGCTGGGTTGCGAAGCTGCCCGCGGCCTCTGCGGCGCCGGTTCAATCCCCGGCTGCTCCCCGGCCACCGGAGGAGGGTCCCACATGGTGTGCAGACCTCTCCTGCCGCCCGCTGCTCCCCTCAGCAGTGTACTTCGGTCCTTCTGCCTGCTCTGCTCCCAGCTCTGGCTCTGGTGAATTCTCTCACCCTCCCGTGCTTCTGACTGTACCCAGTGCATGTATAAACAAAACAAACAAACAAACCAGCAAACAAATAAATAAAGCATGCCTCTATTAAAAAAAAAAAAAAAAAAAAAGAAAACCATGTGTCTAGTAAAGCACTGGGCATATAGTAGGTGCTCAGAAATAGTTGTTAAACTAAAAATTTTTGCTAAATCAAATGCGAAACTTAAGGGAGAAGACTCTGTCTTTGAAGAGAAGCTGTAAGAAAGAACTGTTTCTCTCATGGGTAACAGAAGTGGAGAGTATTACATTACTGTGTTACAGTACAACCATATAGACCCACCCAATTTTTTTTTTTTATTTTTATTTTTTGAGGCTTCAATAGGATTCAAACCCACAATTGCTGGCCATTAATAACAGATGCAGGAGCGGGATGAGAGTAGAATGTAAGAAATTCCTGGACAGCTTTTTCAAAATGCACATGGTTATGCTCATAAAAACCTCAGAACCTGTATTTTTAAAAAAAGTTTCTTAAATGATCCTGATATTATTAATACCTCACCACCTACAATAATGATACAGGCAAATAATATGGTGAATTTTTGTAGTGTTTGTTCATAGAAGTTATTAAGGTCAGAGCAGTTACTGACATTAGACCTAAGCAACTACCTTGGGAGAAGCTCATCATGAATCAGAGATGTTGAACTGATATTAAACGTTAGAAAATAACCTCCAAATCAAAGCCTCAAACACATAACAAAGCTATTCAATCCCTTCTTCCAACAATTCATATAAGCAGCCTAAGAAAGTAATCTCAGTATTTCCTATTTTCAAAATGGTCAGATATTTTATTATTTTATTCCTAGCTTTACAATGACAAAAATTAGACATTCTCTGTTGAGTTTCAAAGCCTCACAATAAAAAGTTCAAATATACTTTTATTAATTCAACATATAAATTTCACCAGTTACTCTTAGAAGAAAAGAATGAAGAAAGGCTCTACCTGGTTTTGGAGACCCAATATCCGCCTGTCCTAGCTGCTTTTTCCTCTTGGCTTCCTCCACTGGGTTTTCAAACTGGGTTTTCTGGTTAAGGTGGCTGTTAAATGTAGAAAAACAGGCATTTCAGTTGACGATGAATGAGTTCCAACTTTTAAAATAGATGATGATGCCATCCATCACCATGGTTTAAGGGACAGATATGTATGTCTAGGCCACGGAACACAAAGAAACTGAAAGATCATAGCAGAAGAGCTTTTGGGGAACTAAGGAAGGTCCACAAGAGATGCCTAGAAGTCAAAGCTGCCAAAGAATGTACTTAGAAGCTTCTTTGTAAATATACCAGATATAGCCATTATCAGTTTTCAAAACTCTAGCAGAAGCCCTCATAAATAGTGCACTCAGAACTGTTGGTAATTGGTGAGTTAATTTCTAAGATAGTTATGTTTTTAAAGTTCCTCTAAAATGAAGCAGCTATGAAGACATTTTTGAAGAAAACTGAGTACAGAAGCCTAGAATTTTACTGTTATTTTTCCAACTGACTCATCCCCATCAGTTTTCCAGCAAGTAAGAATGTGATTTGCCTTTATCTCATTGTATCACAGAACCACTCTTTCACACTTAAATCCCTTCATGATTATATAATAATTCAATGAATTATGTAATTACAACGTAAGTTTAATTGATATTTATGCTTTGGGAACATTCACAATTGGTTCTTGGAAAAGCATACAAGTCTGTGGGGACAGTCGGGAGTATGGGGGAGACTGGAGAGAACCATTACCCAGTACCAGTCAGTATTTTATGGGCCAAACTGTGTTTTACGGGGGGTGGGGGAGCTGAGCATTGGTTATTCCCGTTAGACAGTGCAGGACGCACCTGCTATACAAAGGATGTTTAAGACCACAAATAGATCTAATAGAGAGAAATGGGAAAAATTACGTCCTAGAGCTTCTACAGAACAAATGTCTTTCAGCCAAATGATCGGCATTAGCAAGCAGAATCCATTTTCTAAGACGTGACATTAATGATTACCAATAATTAAGCATGGGCTCATGAGACTTTTGGATTATGATTGTCATTTGCTTTTCCATTTGTGAACACTGTTGGTGGTGGTGGTGGAGGCAGTGGCAGCAGAGACAGACGCTCACAGCAAGTATGCAGGCTTCTCTGTCAAGGGTTTGGTGCATATTAGCTCTACAACAGATGTGGTTGTTAAGTTTCAGAGTTCTAAATGTGGTTAAGTTCTACTTGACATTATTTGGATTCTGACTTTACTAAATCTCAAGTATGTTTCTGCTTCTTACTATGAGGGGGTACCTATCACTGAGTTAACTGTTTCACCATCTGTGTAAATAGAGATCTTTAGTGCTCTGTTAGATACACCCCCTTTTCATTATTTATTAGGGAATGATATTTTACATATTCTTTAAAAAGTAAAGAACTAGAAACGGACACTTAGCAAAGAATAAACCCATTTTAACGTCATCAGCTAGAATGACTCACTTTACCACCCAGGCATTAGAACATAAAAAGTAGTAATTTGTATTTACACTCCTTGTAATGTGTGGGACAAGACAGGAGAAGTATGCAAATGAGTAATCCCTTTCCTGAAAATTGTTTGACAAAAGAATGTAAGATTTTCATAAAGGGAGTAATTGCATCTGTCACCTTAGACAATCTAGATCAAAATGCCAGCTAAAAACCAAAACAAAACAAAAAAGTAAGAACATTCTACTTTTCATGGAGTTATTTATACCCACAACATTAGTAAGATGTAAGAAAAAATTTTTCTATGTAACTATCTATAGTGATGAAGAGACAATATTACTGATTATTGGAAAAATTACACAAGGGTAGCAAAAACCATTATTAAATATACAACGGATAATTTGGAATCTCCTCTGTATTAAAATTTGGCATATCAAATGTGGATTTTTACAATTCATCTCAACAAACAAAATCATTCTTCTTTCATGAAGGGTGGAGATATTTTAAAGCAGATATATTTTGACTTTTCACCTAGGTGCATCAAGACTGTTAATGGAATACAGTAAGATGACATTTATACATACATACAGATTCTTAAGGGCATTGTCATTGAAGTTTCAGAACAGTTTTATTTAAAAAAATACATGAATCTGTTTCAGAATCTCATCCTCGAAAAATAAACACTTGCAAAGAAAAACTGCCACTGCGGTTGGTGACAAGGTTCCTGCCAACAGCGATCACTGTGCCATCTGGTTTGACAAACTCAGAGAGCCAAAGAGTAGCCATTCAAGTAACAGCTTTTTATCTCCATCAGTAAACTCGCTGCAGATTAGTGTGGTTGAGATTCAAAACCTAACTAATCTGGGAATCAAGCCACACGCCATAGCTCGGCTGACTCCATACTAATGTGCATCTTGAGTACAGCCTGCTCTTTCTTAATCTAATAAATTACCCTCCTGTAAAGTGAGCTCGCCTGGGAACAATCATACAAAATCCTGTCACTGCTGCGGCTGTTGCTATGTCACGCACCTCCATGACAATTGGAACAGGTCACTCAGGATTTGCCCTACAGTTGCTTCAATGTCACAGCCTTGCTTAACGGGAACCAGATCATTTAGCCTGAGATTTTATAACAGGCAAATGACTTTCACCTCTTGACCATGTATTCACATTCACTTGGAATGGATAATAAGAGAACGAGAATCATTATCTCAGTGTCAATGGCAAATAATATTTGATTGAAACTCCATTTAAATAAGCTGCTACGGGGAAAAAAATCCCACAAAACCTTTTGTTTGGCCTTCAAATATTCCTGTAACTTGAAAAATGGTTGTTTCTTTAACTAAATGTGCTTTAAGAAAATAGCAAAAGAGCTGCTGTATACTTTTTGCATCACAGAGTCAAATATCAGAGAGATATTAAATAACACAAGTGGAAATAAAATTAGCATGTCTTTCAAAGGAACCAAAACGTGGTGAGGTTATGTACCTGAGGGTCAAACTCACTGAGGTGTAAATTTTCTTAGGGTACAAATTAGAGTTTCAGAAATCATTCCAGAAATCTCTCTAACCACAGTGACTCAAGTAATAATCTACAACCTATACATTAGAATAAAGACTAGAGTAACAACAAGTCAAACTAACTTACTTGAGGGAAAAACACCAGGAAGTGATACTGGCTTATGCCAAGAAATAATGAAAAATTAATAAGTTATCATAAAACTAGAAGAATCCAAGCTTGCTATTTTTCCAGGTAATAATATCATTTGATTTCATAACCACAGCACAGGTTCAGAACTCATTTCCAGGTAAATGAATAGTAACATTTCGGATGCAATTATTTGACAGTTCAAATTAGATGCTGAACATTAAAATTTTCTCTCTAGCATCTGGAAAGAGAGCAATCTCAAAGATTATAATGTCACCATTTAATAAATGAGGACAAGGGAAAGAAAAATTAGAGGTTGAGGTTGTCCTACCTTCTCCAGCTAATACAGGCAAGCATGTCACGGAGACATCGCTTTATGTTTAAACTGAACCACAACAGATGTGTCAGATGCAACTCTCATGCCAAAAGAATAACAAGTTTTCCTTGATTAACTCCTGACTAGAGAGAATACATTTAATCACATAATTCGAAACTTTGGGTCATCACGGCACGCTGCCCTTAAATTCTCTTCACTTCCTTCAGAACCAGCTGGTTGGAGCGTTGGAGTGACCTTGATATTATTAACTCTTAAGTTCCCTCATTTCATAGTTTCCTATGAATGACTTCTCAGTGGCGGTGACGAGAACATCAACGATTAATTGCCTGGCAAACGTCCCTCTAGCTCTCCCTGTTTATCAATACTTCACCCAGGGCTGTGTTTGATATTTCCTAGACCTGTAATGGAAGAAAAAAGATGAACCGAGGGAGTAAACTTACTCAACATAGTAGGTTCCATACTGAGGGTCCTCTATTTTCTCCCAGCCATAAGGAAGTTCTGTAAGGAAAAGAAATAGTGATTTAGGGAAATGTAAGCTTCCAAACCAACAGAAAAGAACTCATCAGTGACGGAACTTAAGTATCTTTTATTTCATTATACTTCAGTATTTGAGAGGCTGACAGAAAGCTGAGGGGTCACTTACAAAGAAAAAACAGTTTCAGTGACAAGTTTCTTGAACGGTCAGCGAGTGTCTCAGCAAATACTTAGAAGCCAGAATAAAAGGTGACAGTAAACTCAAACATGTTTATCTGAATCACAGACCATAAAAATGCTAATCATTTAGGGCCTCCCCGGTGGCACAGCGGTTGAGCGCTGGGTTGTGAAGCTGCCCGCAGCCTCTGCAGCGCCGGTTCGATCCCCGGCTGCTCCCGGGCCACCGGAGGAGGGTCCCACAGGGTGTGCAGACCTCTCCTGCCGCCCGCTGCTCCCCTCAGCAGTGTACTTCGGTCCTTCTGCCTGCTCTGCTCCCCGCTCTAGCTCTGGTGAATTCTCTCACCCTCCCACGCTTCTGACTGTACCCAGTGCTTGTATAAAATAAATAAATCTTTAAAAAAAAAAAAGTTGTCATATTAAAAAAAAAATTGCTAATCATTTAAAGAAATTGTTGTTGGTTTGGGTCTTGGGGACACTGGCTTTAAAGTGCACTTCAAACAGTAAGAATTATCCTGCACAGAGTTCCAATAACCCCCCTGGCATGCTGTATTCTCATGAAAGCTTTAAATGCATATTTTGTAGCCACTGACCATTAAGCTAAACATCTTCCTGAGACTGGAACCTCAGAGAAGGAGCAAGAAGGACCAATGAATGTGAACCCCATGTTGTGATCTAACAACCTGTGAGCGCCACACATAGGACCTGTGAGAACTGTGGGGTGTGGCAGCTGAGCAGGGTGCTGAGGCCTTCGATTTTTATCAAACCCGTTAAACTGAGAGTCTGATCAAAAGGGAAATTGTTTGGGGAGAAAGAAAAATTAAAAAAACAAGGCCCCAAATGGAGTAGGTCATTGGTCCCCGTACAGATTTAATACCTGCTACTGCAGTTTCAAACTCCCCCACTTAATCATCCCTAAAGGAAGGTGGCTTTGCCAGAAATCTTTTTATTTTCTTTTCTAATAACCTGGCCCCACCCCCTTTCTGACTAGAAAAATCTTCCATCATGAGACCCTTGCAGGGCCTTTCTACTTGCCGTTGAATAGAAGGGGTGTTGGCTGATTCAGGAATCATGAATAAGTCCATTACAGGACCAAATTAAAGAAAAAAAGTCAGCTGGCACATTTCATTTAAAAAGCTTGATAAAGCTGATGTAAGACCCACTTAACTCTAGTTCAATACAAGCAGCAGCTACTTCTTGTAATTTTCACTATTATACAGGAGATTTGTCAGTTATTTCTGTTATTACATTTTGATCCACTTCTCCACAAAGGAAAGTGCAGCCTTGGATTTGTGCCATTTTGAGGGGGCAATCTAGAAATGTTTAAAACCTACGAATATATCTGCTTTTGCCTGCATTAACTTGATCTGAGTACCTGTAGGAAAATGTATTTACCTACCACAGTGCCTTGTATAGAATCCACATTTACGCATGGCAACACATATTTTATGTAGAATTATCATCTATTTAATCTAAGTAAATGACCAATAAAATAACTGGAAAATTGAAGGTAGTTGTATTTCTGACAGTTAAAAAAATCTGGTCTTTCTAATATAAACTGACCCTGTTGAGAAAGAATTCTCTCTTCCCTCCCACTCTGCCCATTTTCCAAGTGAAGGTTTCTAAAGAATCATTTTATTAGTCACACGAGGATTATGTTGGCAGGCATGCTCCTAGCAGGTGGTTCTTGTCTACTGATTATATGCAGGATCCCAGCAAGAAGGAATTTTGTTTAAAACCTACAATTGTACACTATGATGGCCACTTTCAATTTCTTTTAGTGTTTTTCTGCTATACTGAGACACAGACATGTGCGTATACACCCATACACATGACATGCTAGGGAGCACAGATTAGAATCCATCAAAAGACTTATTAGTCTCCTATCATTTAGTGGCAGTTGTGATGTACTGACTCGGCAAGTAAAATTTCCATTCTAATGAACCTGACAAGCCATACAAATTGTTATATTCTAATAAAAACTATTATTCTACATTCAGAATGAAACAGAGAATAGATAACTAGCCACCTGATAAAAATTACGGAATCGCCCCCCACCCCTTTTCTCCAGCATATTTTTCTGCCTGTACATGTACACTGACTGGCCGGCAGGTACAGACTGTGGAGACATTATGTATCAAAGCAGGAGCAGTGCAGTGACTACCTAGATACATGGTGGGAAGACAAGGTGGAGAAGGGAACCACAGCAGCATTCACATCACCTAGAAGATGGGTAACGTAAACAGTCAGGGGATGGTGTTGAAGAAGATAGAAGCATGGTCAATGCTAATGACCGCAGACTATCAGAACTGAGGAAAAGGGCTAAAAAAGTCTACTGACTTAAGCAATTGAGTTTTTTTTTTTTTTAAAGATTTATTGATTTATTTATATAAGCACCGGGTACAGTCAGAAGCGCGGGAGGGTGAGAGAATTCACCAGAGCCAGAGCGGGGAGCAGAGCAGGCAGACTGACGAAATACACTGCTGAGGGGAGCAGCAGGTGCGGCAGGAGAGGTCTGCGCGCCATGTGGGACCCTCGCTGGTGGCCGGGGATTGAACCGGCGCTGCAGAGGCTGCGGGCAGCTTCACAGCCCAGCGCTCAACCGCTGCGCCACTAGGGGAGGCCCAGCAATTGAGTTATTAATAACCTTAAAAAAAGCAGTAGTGGGGGAGTCAGATTCAGTCACCAAAGGGTAAAATCAGAGGTGGAGTCCTTCAGAAGAGAACTTTTCTTTTGTAACTTGGTGTGGAAAGACTGTTGCTCAGTTGGCATCCCAACCGCATGTTTCTTGTGTCTTATTTCTCTACTGACTCCAAACTGGTGAATAAAGATCAGACTATTGTTTATGGTCTCCTTTCAGAATCTAGAGACTAGAAATATACTTTCAACAAGTATGATCACATCATCTGGGGCATAGTTTCTTTGCTTTGTTTCCCTTCTTTCTCTCTCTCCCTCCTTGCAAACATTTAAGTACCTACTGGAGGAATCTATAGGTGAATAAGATAAAATCACAGCTCTTACATAGTTCTCTAGTTACAAGGCAATATAATTGCTAGAATAGCAGATGTCATATAGTCACATTGAGCACAGAAGAGAGAATAACGCTGACCTAAAAGAGTGTGATGAAAGAAATTATTCTTTAGATTTGAGCTTAGAAGGATTTAGCAGGTATGAGCCAGGATGGTTCCTGGCAGAAGAAATGGGCATGTGGGAAAGGCAGAAAAGACAAAAGCCATCCCATTTATAACATGAAAATTCTTTGAAAAAGTAATATTGAATATGGTTCAATTGTAAGAAAATCTTCAACACTCCATGAAGGAGTTGGAACTTTATTCTGCCTTTACAGGTATGTAAGCAAAGGAGAGAGATGAAGGCAGTTATCTTTTAGAAAGATTAACAGGCAACGGAGTCCATGATTTTTGATCATGTAGCCTTATGAGTAAAAAGTTTCAACATATACCTTTAAGATATTTATAGTTCTTCATTAATATAGATGCAACATTCTACTAATATGTATGTGATAAAGCACACACAAAATAGAAATTTAAAAAGGAGATGAAGACTAAACATTGATCACTTTTATTTTAATGTAGTTTCAAAAAGCTCATGAGGTATATGAAAGCACCAGCTTTACCTTTTTCTTATTCAGTTGGGCTTGCATATTTGTATTATCTTGCATATTTGTATTATCTGCATATTTGTATTATTATCTTTGTATTATCTTTGCATATTAGCATTATCTTGGCAGAGATCTTTGTAAGTCACATTTCAAATGTGTATAGATTGAAAACTAAGTAACATCGTCTATGTGCCTACTTAGCTGGGCACAAATATACTGCAAATTTTCAGTGCCCTTGACAGCTGCCCATTCTTCCCGCAAGACAGTCTGGGCAGAGCATGTAGACACCTGACATGTAGGCGAGCAAGAACACTGCTGCCACTGTGTATATAACATAGCAGAGAAACATAATTCCCCCCCAATGGGAGCATGATGAAAAGTAATTTCTAACATTTCCCTCCTGTACATAGTAGATTGTCTGATCACAGCCCCTCTGTAGACGATTGGCCTAAAGCGTGGATTAAAGAAGGAGTAACTAGAGGAAAAGGACCAAGAATAATCCAAGTGTGTGATGAGAGAAATGGAGAGGAAGATAAAATATAAAATAACAACATGGATAGATGGACAGAGAGCTATATGCATGAATATTTACAGGCAAGTCTTTCTATGGACTCATGTTTGCATTTCTCTTGGCTAGATCAGGAGTGGAACTGTTAGGTGAAATGGCAAATTAACATTTAACTTTTTAAGAAACTGCCAAGCTGCTCTTTAAAGCAGATGTATCATTTTACATTCTGTCCAGCAGTGTACAAGGATTATCATTTCTCCCTCTCTTCACCAAAATTTGTTATCTATCTTGTATTTTTTTTTTTTTGGTAAAATATCTATTTAAATATCTTTCCCATTTTTAAAAAAGATTTTATTTATGCATACAAGAGCTGAGGAGTAGGCCAGAGGTGCAGGGGGTGAGAGGATTCACCAGAGACAGAGTGGGGAGCTGAACAGGCGGAGCCACTGAAATACACTGCTGAGAGGGGTGAGACAGGAGAGGTCTGCTGCGCCATAAGGGTCAGCTCCCTGAGTGGGGATTGAACTTGTGCTGTAGTGGATGCAGATAGCTTCATGTGCTGCGACTTAACCCCTTGCACCACCAAGAAGGCCCACCTTGCCCATTTTAAAATTGTTATCCTGTTTATTGAACTGTAACAGTTCTTTATACGTTCTGGAAATAATTCCTTTTTCAAATATATACTGCAAAGTCTGTGACTTTGCCTATTCACTTTTTAGTGTTATCCTTTGATGAATACAAATTTAAACTTTTTATTAAGTTTAACTTACCAATTTTTTTCTTTCATGGTTCATGGTTTTTGTGGCCTGTATAATAAATTTTTGCTAATCTCAGTTATGATGCTTTTTGGGGGGATATGAACCCATCATAATACAAAGAAAATCTATGTATTTAGTATCAACTTGTCAATTTCCTATGGATAATGGACATATTAACAATATTCTTTCAATCCATGAACACACAGCAAGTTTCCATTTGTGTTTTCCATTTCTTTCATTGTCTTGTCATTTTCAGTGTAAGGTCTTTCACTTCCCTGGTTAGCTGTATTCCCAGACATTTTATTCTTTTTGATACATTGTAAATGAAATTGTTTTCTCAATTTCTCCTTCTGATAATTCATTAGTCATATAGAAATACAACTGATTTCTGTATATTGATTTTTGCATCCTACAGCTTTTCTCAATTCAATTACTAGTTCTAACAGGTTTTTTTTTGGTGGAGACTTTATGGTTTCTACAAGTAGTAGGTCATTCACAAATATAGACAGTTTTACTTCTTCCTTTTCAATTTGGGTACGTTTTAGTTCTTTTTCTTACCTGATTTCTCTTGCTAGGAGTTCTAATACAGTGTTGAATGAAAGTGGTAAAGTGGGCATCCTTGCTTGTTCCTGATCTTTGAGGAAAAGCTTTCAGTTTTTAACAACTGAGTATAATGTCTATAAGTTTGTTATATAAGGTCTTTATTATGTTGAGGCACATTCCTTCTATATGCACTTGGCTGTGAATTGTTAACATAAATGTTGAATTTTGGCAAATGTGTGGAGGTGATATGATTCTTATCCTTTATTTTGTGAATGTGATCTCATATTGACTAATGATGGTGAATCATTCTTGCATCCTTAGAATAAATCTCACTTGATCATAGTGTATGATCCTTATACTGTATTGTTGAATTTGCGTTCCCAAAATTCTGTTTACAATTTTTGTATCTATCTTCATTAGCGGTTAGTGATCTATGAATTTCTTTTCTTACAGTGTCCTTTTCTATCAGGGTAATGTCAGTCTTGGCAAAATAATTTGGAAGTATTCCCTTATCTTTCTATTTTTTGGGAAAAGTTTTGAAATATTTGGCAGAATTCACCACTGAAGCCACTTGTCCTGGACTTTCGTTTGTTGGGAGGTGGTTGAATACTAAGTCAATTTCCTTAGTAGTGATTCATCTGTTCAGATTTTCTAAGTACCACATTCTAAAAAACTGAACCCAAATTTTATTCATCTATTTTACATCCTTTATTCAAGAAAGCATAGCAGGGCCTCCCGTTGGCGCAGCGGTTGAGCGCTGGGTTGCGAAGCTGCCCGCAACCCCTGCAGCACCGGTTCAATCCCCGGCCGCCGGCTGAGGGTCCCACATGGTGTGCAGACCTCTCCTGCCGCCCGCTGCTCCCCTCAGCAGTGTACTTCGGTCCTTCTGCCTGCTCTGCTCCCCGCTCTAGCTCTGGTGAATTCTCTCACCCTCCCACGCTTCTGACTGTACCCAGTGCTTGTATAAATAAATAAATAAATCTTAAAAAAAAAAAAAAAAAAAAAAGCATAGCAAACAGCTTAGGTTCAATTCTACACTTACATGCAAAGACTGTATTGTTACACAGAACCTATAATATGTAAGAAAAACAAACACTATTATCTAATAATTTTTAAAGAAGTGCTTTTCCTACTAAAAGTGCAAATTCTGATGGGGTGGTGGGAGTTAGATGGGAGGCATACTAGAGACTGTGACTGAATTTCTACTGACGTTCTAAACGGCTAAGGATTAGCCTTAGATACTGGCATATCCATTCTAGCATGGACTAAATCACTCAAAATTAAATGCAACAGGGCCTCCCTAGTGGTGCAAGGGTTAAGTCTCAGCAATATGAAGCTATCTGCAGCCACTGTGGCACAAGTTTGATCCCCAGCCAGGGAGCTGATTCACATGCTACAGCAGACCTCTCCTGTCTGGCCCACTGCTCCTCTCAGCAGTATATTTCAGTGGATCTGCCTGTTCCCCACTCTGTCTCTGGTAAATCCTCTCACCACCCCCCACCTCTGGCTTATACCCCAGCTCTTGCATGCATAAATAAATCTTTTTAAAAAAGTTAGATGCAACGATGTGATTTCCATAGTCCCCTGATTATTGTATCTACCTATGGCACATGTGCCTGTGCACATTATGGCTTGTTTAGGATTTTGGAAAATTCATGGTCTAAGCAAGAAGAGCAAGAAGGGATTAAGGGAATAAATGTATAAAAGGTCTGTGAATCTCTACCTCCATCTTCACAGTCTTCTGGGGCTTTGGCTTTCTTACAAAGACGAGGATCCAACCAGGTGGTGGTCTTGGTATTGTGGCTGTAAAGAGTTCAATTAGAAGCCATCAAATAAAGGAGAAAGTATTTCGAAAGCAAACATTAAAAGTGACTAAAAGGTATATAATGTTTGAGCATTTATCTCCTATAGGCTCTGTTTGTAGAACACTGATTCATAATCCCATTGTTCTCAGTCTATTATTTAAAACCTCCTTAAAGGAAAGGTAAGGTGAGAGGCACTAATTTGAGAATGAAGACTCAAAAAGGGGATAAAATGCCTAACACAAAATAAGAGACATTTATTTAAGCAGTTAAAAATATTTCAAAAAGCGTGCATATAGACCCATGCTGTGCATAGCTAGTAAAAAAAATAAAAAAACAACTGCATTGAAAACTGTGTTTGCTTGCTGGCTGCAATGCCTTCTCCCTCCCTTCAAAAAAAAAAAAAAACCCACAAAAACCCAAATCAAAACATGTTGCATTTCATGAGTGCCTGTGCTGTGTGGCCACTTATCAGGGGCTAGGAATATAGATAGGAACAAACAATCAGACAGAACCCCTGCCCTCAGGAGGGTCCTGAGAAATGAGTTAAATAAGAGTGTAAAAGTGTCTGACACATGTGAATAAAATGATGCTTACACTTAAACTCAACTTAATTTTTGTCAGTGTAGCTCATACTATTAACAGGAGAAAAAAGGTAGAGTGAAAGACTCCCCCCTCCCCTAACATACCCGCCTCCGTGGTGACGTAGGCCAGGTACTTTCCAAGAGCACAGTCTGCTATATTTCATGATAGGTCACAATCAGTTTCAGATTGAGTGACCATGAGTAGATACTAAAGCTCAAACAAAACTATCCTGCAACTGAATAAACAGCACTACAGTTTAACAACCTGAAATGAGAATATTAAAGAAAGAAAAAATTGTGGAAGAAAATGTATTGGAAACGAACAAAACAAAGTTATTATCAAAGAAGTGTAGGAATAACAATGTGAACAATTCTCTCTCCTTGGTATCTTTAACATGAAATAAATTCACGAGTGTCTACACTGCCACTCTGAGGAAATGAAGCCAGTGGCGTCAGGGAATTAATTACATCTTCTATGCTTTACCAAACTCCTGAGTTACTTACAGAGCAAGGCGACCCTTCTAATACATTGCCAGGCTTGATACTAGTTGGCTGATGGTTTTGAGAAACTCTGTTACCTGTTTTGTCAGATAATTCACCCAAACTAAAGCCAGTTAAGTCGATTTTGCAAAATAGAAAGGATCAGAACTCTAAAGAGGCCTAGAACCATGCAGACTGTTAGGGGAAAAAAAAAAATCATGAAAATAAACCAAATTCAAAATGGCTACTTGAGCAAAGCTTAAGTTTGAGTGCTATGATCGAAAATTTTTATTAAAGGTAAATTAACAGATATGGGCAATCTGCTAGGATTTTACCCAGTATTTCCCAAGGCAAAGAAATGCCCACAGGGGTTATACCAAAAACATAATAGCCAAGACTACAGACCTATATTAATATTCTTTTCTTATGGATGCATAATTTAACAGCTGCAGCAGCACAGCTCAAATACACCAGCTACAGCCAACAAGAGAGCTTTAGCAGCAAATAATACTCAACTATATTCTGGATATTAACCCCTTATGACTTACACGGCTTACAAATATTTTCTCATATTCTGTAAATTGCTTTTTTAGTCTGATGATTGTTTCTCTTTCCTGCAAAGAAATTTTTAAGTTTGATGTAGTTCCATTTGTCTATTTTGGCTCTTGTTGCCTATGCGTTTGATGTAATATCCAAGAAGGCCTTGCCAAATTCATTGTCATGAAGCTTTTCTCCTGTTCCCCTCCCCAACCCTCCACCCTATTATTCCCTGACACCTCCCCGACCCCCCCCAGAACCAGGAGTTTTATAGTTTCAGGTTTTACACTTAGTTTGTATAATCCTCATCCTTCATATTTATATAAATGTGTAACTGAATCAATAATTTACTACATATGTTAAAAAGAACACCACACACATACAAATCTGTATCTTTTAAAGAATAATTCCCACTGGATCAGCAAGCTGCTTCTTTTATGTGAAGTGTGCGGATTTTGGGACCCACTGAAGAAAGACATATAAGGCCCCCAGCCCTAATTCTCTTACAGTCATATGCTCTTTGACTGTCATCCAGCCCTAAATATTTTGTTATTTGTTATATCCTATATAACTTTACTTATTCATAATCTACCTTTGAGTAAATTAAAGATGAAAATCACAGCTACCTAAGAATATAAAAATATATCAAAATGAAACTTGCAATAATTATTTATGTAATTTTATTCTCTGGTGCGAATCATGAAAGTTTTAGGTTGATTAAATACATGTGGTATTCCATCTCTCTATAGATATGTTACATTTGTACTAATAGTGATTTTCCATAAAATAGATTGGTTTCTTTTTGCAATTACATTGCACCAATTATTCTGAGGGTAAGTGTATTTTCTCTCTCTAGACATATACCACCTGACACAATAAACCCAAATTCTAGCATTGAAAAAACTTAGTGAATAAATATGCCCCCTCCCCAAGGGTTCTGGGGGGATCGGGGAGGAGGCAGGGAAAAATGGGGTGGAGTATTGGGGAGGGGAACAGGAGAAAAGCTTCATGACAATGAATTTGGCAAGGCCTTCTTGGATATTACACCCTAATTCCTGAGATGTTGATTAAGTTGAACCATCTCCCAAAAAGTGTTTTAAAAAAGCAAAGGAAAACAACCTTTCTTCCTTACACTTTTCATTATTTGTCATCAACCTGTTATTCTGTTGTTATAAAACCAGGTCAAATATACTCTTCCTTTATCTAGGGCAAATGAAAAATGAAACATCATTCAGGGAAGTGATCAGATTAAGCATCAACTGTAACTTGGATGAAAACTCCTTTTTAAAGAACGAAGAAAGGGCAGCCTGTGCATGACCGGGGGCGGGGGGGGGGGGGGGGGGCGGGTCCCGGTGCTGTGTTCAGATCCACTCTGTGAGGGGCACCTGACACAGACGTGCTTACTCAATGAAGTAGACCATGCCCGTGTCCGTGTAGGCCATCTCCCAGTTCTGGGGCAGTGGCTCCAGATTCTCGTCTCTCATCATGTAATTTCTAAAGTCCATGGCGCTGTTTGTTTGGTTGTAGCTCGGGACAGTCTTCATCCAGTCGGATGACTCAGAATGCCTTTCCCTGCTTTCTGCAGTTCAAAACAAAACAGCAGGAGAAATAGCTGAAGTTAGATTTCCTTTGAACAGCCCTTTCCATGTCTAACAAAATGCCAAATATTTATCACAAATTTCCTTGTCTATTATGTCCACATTCTGTTATCATGTTGAGATGACAAATAAACATGCTAGATTTTTTTCATTTGCTAGTTACAGTCATCCTGCACAACGCTCGTCTGGGAAGGAAGCAAAAATCGACCTGAGAATCAATTCAGGATATTATGTGCCGATCAATATAATACTGACAACAACAGCTGTAGCAGCACTTACAGAACTCTCATTAGCCAGGCTCTATGGCAAGTATTTTACTTATCTTTTTTATTTTTTAAGATTTATTTATTTATTTATACAAGCACTGGGTACAGTCAGAGCGTGGGAGGGTAAGAGAATACACCAGAGCCAGAGCGGGGAACAGAACAGGCAGACTTGACGAAATACACTGCTGAGGGGAGCAGCAGGTGCGGCAGGAGAGGTCTGCACGCCATGTGAGACACTCGCCGGTGGCCGGGGATCGAACAGGCGCTGCAGAGGCTGCGGGCAGCTTCGCACCCCAGCGCTCAACCATGGCGCCACCAGGGAGGCCCATATTTTACTTATCTTGACTCATTCCACCCTATGAGTCCAGATTATGACTATTCTCACTGCACAGATGCAGAATTACAGCACAGAGAGGCTTAGTTAACTTAGGGTGACACAGCTAAGAAACAGGAAAGCCAGGATTTGAATAAAGATGGTCCATGTTCTTAACTGCTGTACCAAGCTACCTCATCCATGTTCAGGTTTTTACAGTAATAGTGATTTTTTAAAAAATTACACTCAGTAGATTTCTGTTAATGTAACAGAAGTTGTTGTTATTAAAATCCTTTTATAGTCCCGAAGTCCACAATGTAGTTAAGAACACCAAAGTTTCATTACTGTGTAGGGAGTTCATAATTCATACACTTAAAAATTTACTTCTAGAACTTAAAAGATAATATAACAAACAATTCCAAACTGTAGGCAATGCTTTGGGATCTCAAAGAGGCTTCAGATATCATTACATATCATTCTTTATAGTATTTCCACTCTAACTATCCTTTGTCCAACCAAGTTCTGGAATCCATTGCCCTAAAACCTGCTACTTACTGCATTCACTGCATCTCACCCTCACCCACCCCTTAGCCATCTCCTTATTTCCCCATGTACCCCAAACTTAAGTTCCACAATCAATCACTATCATCACTCCCTTGTAAAGAAATGCTCCTGATTCCTTTGCCCCAAACTTAAACATACTTGCCTGGCTAAACCACAAACCTGTTTAAATCTTACCCTCGCAGGCAATATCAACTAGTTCACTTTTAATCCATCATCACAAACTTCGAGAGGGTATGCAAATGATGTGTAACAATCTTACAACTCCCTTCACTAGTCACACTGACATCCTCCTAGACAATGCATCTTTCTTCTTCTTAAATCTGCTGCTAATTCTTCCTTATTGCTAATCTCATTTCATGACCTTGTCTGCTATGGTACTGAGAAAAGAGAAGCAAGCAGAAGAGACGCTCCACAAATTCCGACCTTCGTATCTGCACAGCAACTGTGCCCTTTTATTCTACCTTCTGTTGCTATGGAAGAACTGTCTGTGCTCCTACTTGAGGTTAACTCTCCATTTATAAATTATAGCCAATCTCTCTTGCCAACAGGAATTCTCTCTCTTGTATCACCAATCTTCCCTATGTAGTACATCACAGCTATGCCCATTTTTTAAAAAGAAAAAACAATTCTCTTCCTCCTATAACAATCACCCAATCGCTCTCCTCTTTATAACAAACCTCCTTGAAAGAGTTTATACCTGCAACCTGCACTTCAGCTCTTTTGTTCAACTCTAGAACTCACTCCAACAAAGCTTTCGATCCCTCAATAAAACTGTTCTTATGAAGGTCACCAGTCACCTCCATGTGCAGTACAGTCAGTGATCAACTCTCAGAGCCCCTCTTACTAGGTTATCAGGAGCATGTGACACTGTTGATCACTCTTATCCTTGATACTCTTTCCCTGGCCTCAGGCATCAAAGATCTCACTGACTAGCTCAATGTCCCTGACCTCTACCCAGCTGTCAGTGTACCTCCTCAGAGCTCAGTCCTCAGACCTATTCTCTTCTTTCTACACCCTTGATGATCTCATTCGGTGTCACTGTCATGCAAGCTGCAGGCTATGATGTGCAAACAGGATATGCCTGCAGACCAGAATATACTTTCAAATCCAACTTCAAACGTGGTAGGTTCCACGTGGACCTCTAAGGAAACCTCAAAATTAAACATGCCAACTTGAGCTCCTAAGACCCTTTCCCAGTCTTCCTCATCTCAAAAACGGGATTCTATTGTTCCAAACAAATCAAAATCCTCAGGTGATCTTTGACTCTGCTCTCTGATATTGCTTATCTGATCCATCAGAAAATGTTATTGGCTTCAGGCCACTTCTTACCACTTATGGTTCAAACCACTGTCTCGTTTAAATGACTGCAAAACCCCCTTAAAAGTTAAACCTGTTTTTATCATGTTATCTTGTACTTAAATCCCTATCAAGGTTTCTGTCTTACAATAAAAAGCAGAACTCTACCAGTGGCCTATATTTTAGTATGTGCATTTCTGCACCTCTTTCCCCAATCATCTTCTGACTGGCTTCACTGGTTCTGATGCTGTTCTATTCCCTGACGTCATTCTGCTCCCACCACAGAAAAAGTATTGTCCACTTTGCATCCAACACACTCGGGACATTTGTATTTGTAATTCCCTCTGGCTGGCATATTCTTCCTGCAGATATTTTTAGCTTATTCCTTTCACTTTGGTCAAAGTGCTCTCCATGGTTTCAGGAATTCACTGGGGGTCTTGGAACCTATGTCCCAGGGACAAGGGGATCTATGCATATGATCTACACTCTGAATACAACCTCAATATAGTTTTACAGTATCTGCATAAAGGAGCTTGCATAATATAATAGTCAATACTTGAAAATGCTGTTTACATAATACCACTTCTTGGAAAAATTTGAGCATTATTACATAATATATATTATCCATGTGGGCAAATTAGTGTTCTTTTAGGTTAATTCTTCAGCAAGATATAACATAATAAACTTAATGGGTGAGAACAAATAAACCTCTACCTATTTTCTTCTGACTTCCATCCTCAACAATTTTCTGAGTTTTCAGGGCAGACTGTATTCCCCAAAAGCAATACACACAAAGCACATTTTCCAAACTTGAATACGTTAATAGCTATGGTGATTATTTATCAGAAAAAAATCAAGGTTTAATATTTTTAATTAAAATATTCTGAATATTTTCTCTTCTAAAGAAATCTGTAACCCAATGGAATTGTCCTATTCTATAGCTTCAGTACACAAGAGATTGTGTACAAACTGCTCACCCCCACACTGCTAGAAAAGCTGGCTTTAAACATTAACATCAGAGGGTAAGTAACATGTGGTATAACAACTGACTTACATGACAAGCATAAACTAACTATGGAGATTACGGGTTGATTTACTTCTAATGGAACAGCAGTGACTCCTGAAAGGCTCTATATTAGGAAGCAAAAAAAAAAAAAAAGAACAAATTCTTTTCCTTTAAATGAAGACCATATAAATTCCCACATTGTGACAGACTCATGGTCTCTAATCATAGTCTTAAATATTTAAAAATGTTAACAGACTTAATTTGGTGAGACAGTAAAGCTGATATCAACATCAAAAGGCTCTATGATATAATGATTTTCTTTAACACCCCAATAGAATGATATGTGACTTCATCTAAACCTTCAAAGGATCTCTCTAGGGGCGCAGCAGGTTGAGCACAGCACTGTAAAGCTGTCCACAGCCTCTGCCAGGGAGATACCCACATGGCGCAGCAGACCTCTCCTATCGCATCTACTGCTCCCCTCAGCAGTGCTTTTTGGTCCATCTGCCTGTTCTGCTCCCCACTCTGTCTCTGGTGAATCCTCTCACCTCCTGCACCTCTGGTGTGTACCCCAGCTCTTGTATAAATAAATAAATCTTTAAAAAAATAAACCTTTAGACCTGCTTTCAGTCATTACACCCAAATTTATTGGGGTGATTCATTTAACATCAAACATACTGTGTGGCCTAACTATGGACTACAAAACCAGACTGACTGTCCAGAGAGGGACATAACCAATGAACGTTTTGCAATAATAAATGCAATATGTATAGCAAAATTTAATAACTGACGAAGAAGAACATGATGGTACTCTGGGAAAAGGATATGGTAATAGGGTCTACAAATTTGAGAATATGATCGATTCATTAACTTATTGGGTATCAATGATTGTTTCACACAATGTACCAGGCACTAGTTATATTGCAAGAGACACAAGGAGTGTAACAACCAAAAATTCCAGCCCATATGAATCTAATATTCTGGTGTTTTGGATAGAATTACACAAGTACCACCAAAGTTAGTTCTACTGTGATTCTGTGGTTTCCTACTTGTACTCTTTTTAGAAGTGTTAGGAATCACTGAAGCAATCAGCACATCATTTAGGGGTACTCAAAAGGAGAAGACTCTGCACTGCTAAAATTCTGTTGGTTGGTTTTGCAATTAATGAAAAATATGAGAGGTAAGTTTGGAGATTTTGAGTGATTCAGAGATTTGAAGCTCAAAATATTGCTAACCAAACTTTCAGGTAATTTTTTACTGGCATACTTTTAAACCTCTGGACTTTTGTTTGGTTAAAGGCTACATCATAAAACATCTGTTTTTTGCTATGCTGTAAAGTAGGACTTGGACCAACAGGATTCCCATATTTCAGCATCAGAAAGGAATCTCAACTCTTTTAAACCACAGGGTAAAGGCATATTGTATTATTACTAATAATAGCTTATTGGTGATTTATCAAAATTGCCACTTGGGACAACTCACTTCATCTTACAAAATGGTCAACAGAGATAGACTGCTCTACACATAACCGCTCATTTGAATTCCATTCCTTGTGCTGTGTATGATTTGTGAAAAATTTAACTTTAATTCAGTGCCATGTTGAAGTCAATTGGAAGATCAGCTAGAAGATGTCTATTTACAAACCTGCATTACCACTGCCATTAATAGCCTCCTTGTCCTCATCTTCTTCCTCTTCAGGAAGAGAGCTGTCCATTCTTTCCATCTTGCTGACAGATGTGGTTCGCTTTCTTTGGGATTCTGTGTCAAACTCATTATCAAAGAGGACCTGATCAACCGGATCTGGCTGGAAGGACTGGGTTCTGCTGGAGGCTTGGGAGTTCCATAGAAGTTTCCTGAAGTGAAGAAAATAGTAGATGAAAGGATTAATGTTGAGTTGAGACCAGTATCACCTAGTGTATGTCTCTGCCCTGCTATATATTATATGGAAGTTTTTGAATACCTACCCTTGGCCAAAAGGAGGTCAACACTAGTTGGGAAACGAGCAGATAGAAAATGTAGAAAGAACTAATCTCTCCCGTGCTCTCCACCATATGTAACATTTTAATACTATTTGTACTAAAGCCAGGAAGTTATATTCTCCCACCTCTCCCTTCTCTGTGCTTGCTTTGTATGGGTTCTAACTAGGACCTAATTTATGAATTTAAATGCATCAATGCTCTCATGTTAAGAGTAATTGGTAGCAAAAAGTAGGAGTAAAGGAGGATAAAATAAACTCAAATAATTTTGTTCTGATGTGTAAAATAAAGCACTATTTTGGTAAATGAAGAAATATGGGGCAAAGGATAAAGCATGCACTAACCAGTCTGTGTGGAAATGTAGGCTGTTTTTGCAAAAGTAATTTCTAAGATTTTCTGAGCACTGTAATTACATTATTTTATCAGACAACTTATTGAATAGACATTATAAGCATAATTCAGGAAACACTTTAATATGTTAAATCTCAAGAATCAGTAATTTTTGCAGTGAAAAGAAATGTTCTAGAATAAAATGAATACAATGGACTATCTTCTCAATTTGTCATGAAGTTTCCATTAGGCAGCCAAATACAAAGGGAAAGTGCCCAAAAGGTTGAGTTATATTAATAATTTATTTTATATCTATCACTATGCTAATAGAGCTAATGGTAAAGAAAGATACGAATAGATAGGGAATAAAATAATGATCTTTTATTTATTTTTAAAATTACATCTTTTAATCAAATTTCTTAGTTCCTAAGGAGGTAATTAAGATGTTCATTCACATAAAGTAAACTAATGGAGTATATAATGGCTTATTTGTCCTAGATGAAGAAAAGCATCAGTTTTCATACTAACACTGAGGCAAATCTACAAATACTATAGCCAACCTTAAGTCATGTGTCCTTTAAGGGGGGGAAGCATGAAGAGAAATTACTTGGAAATCTGACTGGCTGCTAAGTGCCATTAAAACAGTCAAGACAAAATAACTGAAACCAAACTGAAAGTCTTCTCAACTACATTTCCCTCTACCCTCTCCTTTGCTACCAAAAACACTTTTGAAATGGAGTTACCCTGTGTTGCTGGTGGATGCAAAGCTTCGTATTAAGACAGATGAAGGACACTGTCACTGGCTGAGGTAAAGCAAGGAATTACTGAAAAGGCCAGTTCACACTTGTCTGGGGCAGAGGACATGGAAATGCTCCAGACAGAGGTTTGTTCAGAGAACAAGGGGCTCGAGGTCTCGATTTCCCCTGTGTTACCTCCAACAGCTTCGTCAGCAAGGAATCTGGATATCCCACCACAGACGTAAAGTCTATTTTTTCTAAGGATGGCAGTTTTACTAGAAACACATTTTACTGTGTATTTTTAGTAACTATTATCTAACTCTAGGAGTTAGTAACTTTTTCCAACTTCAGTTAGAAAACCCATATTTTTCCTAGGGTGAAAATTAGAAAACTTGAGGGCTTCGTGACTGCTAGTAACAATCATTAGTAAGATTTAAGGGCTTCATAATCAATTTTGAATTTCCACATTTAAAGGAATTATGGGGTTCAGATGAAAACAGAAAGCTAGCATTGCTTATGAGTAGATGTATTCTTCTGAGTTGGTGGTGAAAATTTAAGACTTTCGGGGGCAACGAGGTAAAAAATTACAAGGTTTGTGAATCTTGATTATAGTTAGCAACAAGAAAGGTTTCTCAGCTTTTTATCCTGTTTTTGGAGGTTTTGTGTTTCCTCTTTTCTGAGAGCTTTTTCACTTTTACGATAGAACTATCAACTATTAAATGTTTTAAACATATAAAATTACAGGCAATGGTATTAGAAACATCCTACTCATGGGCTTACTTACTCATTCACTTACACACCCTCCAGATAATAACTTTTGCCAGTTCCTTTTAGGTTTCCCTGTTGTACCTCTTTAAGGACACACATACAGACATACCTCGTTCTATTGCACTTTTCAGATACAGTATTTTTTGCAAGACCCTGTACTAGCAAAAAAAAAAAAAAAAAAAAAAAAAATTTACCACTCACTGAAGAGAATCTAGCAATTCTCTAGCAATTATGTATTTTTTAAAAATAAAGTATGCATTTTTTAAAACATAATGCTATGGTACAGTTAACAGGCTACAGTATAGTGTAAATGTAACTTTTATTTCCACTGAGAAACCAAAAGAAAATTGTGCCCCACTTTATTGTGAAATTTGCTTCACTGCTGGGATCTGAACCAAACCCACTATATCTCTGAGGCACATATATAGAAGGTCACATATACTCAAGTCCCAAACTTCCTTTCTCTGTCTTTCCCACTCTTTCCAGTTAACCTGAATTTGTCAGAATAATGAATGGAATGAAATGAAGTGTCATTGCCCTGCACACTGTGTATAAACACTATTGTTTGCATAAAATCTTCATAAAGTATTTTTATAACCTTTCAAATCTTTTTTTTTTTTTTAAATATTTATTTTTATACAAGAGCTGGGGTATAGGCCAGAGGCGCGGGAGGGTGAGAGGATTCACCAGAGACAGAGCAGGGAGCAGAACAGGCAGATGACCAAAATACACAGCTGAGGGGAGCAGCAGGCGCGACAGGAGAGGTCTGCCATGCCATGTGGGAATCTCCCTAGCCGGCTGGGAATTGAATCCCAGCCGCAGAGGCTGTGGACAGCTTCTCAGCCCGCTGTGCCACCAGAGAGGCCCTCAAATCTTTTTTCTAAACAGTTCTCTGTTCATATCCCCTCACAGCTTTCTTTTCATACAATTACATTTCTGACTTACTCCTGTTGATATAGGTAGGTTCCAGTTCATTTAATTATTGTATAATAGTGCATTTTAAGAGTATTGCACCATTTCATACCTTTGGAAGGCAGCTTTGCTCACCATTATACCACCAAAGCCTCTTCATTTTATACTTTTGCCAGCTGCATACAGGGTCTCCATTTTCCACAATTACCAGACTTAAAATTTTTTGTCAGCCTGATGGTATCAGTGAAATAGTGTATGATTGTTATTTCAATTAGCATTTCCTCTGAATGGAGCACACATTAGTTAGTAACATGGAGAATGCCATTTTGCCACCTACCATGTTTTTATACTTAACAGGAAAAAAAGTAGGAGACTATCTTTGTGATCTAAGAGTAGAGAGAACTTCTTAAGCAAAATCATAAGAAAAATAGTGATGAATCTGCTAGACAAAACTTAAGGATTTCTGTTTAATGAAGAAACACAGGACAAAGGTATTAGGTGATAAAATGAGCAAAAAACATCTATCCAGTTAAGGCCTAATGTCTAAATACACATCTAAATATCTAAGGAATGTCTACAAACTGGAATGTGGTTGGGATTCCACTTTTTAAAAATGGATACATCAAATGAATTCACAGATGTTCAAAAAACTACCAGGCATATGAAAAGATGATCAAACTCTCTGACTACTAGAGAAGTTAAAGTAGATGGCACATCAACAATCATCACCCTGGAAAAATTAAAAATCTGGGTAATGCCAACTATTGATGAAGATGTGGAGTCATGGACTACATAGGTGGTCTACAGGTAACAAACTCTCATCCACTACTGGTGGGGACACAGGCCTCAGAGCTATCAAAACTACTTCATCTAAGCATATGTACAATGCAACACTTTTGCTTTTGGACATATAGTCCATAGACATTCTCACACAAGTCTGTAAGAAGGCATGTGAAAATGTTTGCTACAGTTTTATTTGCGGGGGTGGGAAACTGGAGACAATCTGGAAGCCCATCAGTAGGATTCAGTAAGATTCATAATGTGGAGTACTTGGGGCATTTAAAAAGCCATGAATTACATGTAAATACAGTATAGCAACATTATTCTAAAAGTAGTGATAAATGAAAATAAAATCTGAATGAGACAGAGAACATAATCTCCATGTGAGTAATAAATACATGCACACAAGATACAATACACATTTGCAAGACCACATCCAAACAAAAACATACATATCAAACACACTGGAATGGATGCCTGGAAGAGGGAGGTGAATAAGAGTGGGCTACTGCACAAAGTAAGTGGCTCTGAGACGTCTTCTCTGGACATCTCTCATCTCATTTCTATTATTTTCTTTAAGTCCCTTGTTTTTCATTTCCTTCATAACGTCTCAGTTTACATTTACGCTGTGTGTTGACTGCTTCCTCACTAAAATACAGATCTAATAAGGGAAGATCATTTCAATATTGTTCATTACAGTCTCTCCAGGTACTTTTATAGAGCTTGGCACCCAGAGTTTGGTAGATACTTATAAGAGGGTTGTTGAATGAATGATCACATAAACTAAGAAGTGAGTGAATGAATGAATGGGAGTTAAGCCCAGGAAGGGTAGTTGGGTCAAACTAAGGAATCAAAAGGAAATCACTGAAGATTCTGAAAAGGGCAGAGACAGGACGAGAGCTGCCCTGGAGGTTGAGCACGGTAGCCACAAGCAGGGTGAATTGGAGAGAGGGAAGATATGGGAACAAACAAGATGAGCTGCAATAGCCCAGACATGAGCTCCCCCAAAAGGGTGCACAATGAAGGGGTGGGAGGGAAAAGAAAGACATTGTGAAAGCTGCTACAAAGGAAGAAATGATAGATTTGGTCACAGACTGGATGGGAACTGTGGAAAAAAAGGAAATGGTGACTACACTGTGTCGAGCTCAAGGTGTAGTTAAAGAAGTAAGTTATTAAGAATTATTCTTTTGGATAGAATACAAATGTGTATTTGGGCGTGCTGAAGTCAAGGGTAGGTATCTATTCTAGGAGATTTCTTGAGTGAAAAAGACAGGATGAAAAAGACAGGATGTCTGCCTTCACGGAGCTTGTGAAAAGGGCAGTGTGATGCACTGTGATGACACGAAAATGCAAAGTATAGGGTGCAATGGGAGTGGACAAGCTTGCCAGAAAAGAATGTTAGATAAGGGGGAAGAATCTAATCTAATCATTTAAAAACTGAAACTGATCTTAAATATGTACTTTCTGGAATCAAGTAGGTAGAGGAAAGAGGCATGAAAAGGAAATCAATTATTCTGTTTTCATAGCACCCCACACTCCACCCTGCCATCTCTTTTTTCCAAGACAGTCAAGACTTTTAAAGATAGATTTTTAAAAAGCGTACTGTATTTGAATACCTGAGCACAGATACAAAGTAATTAACAAATACTTATTGCGTTCATGTGATGAATGTGAATTATTATAAAACATACAACTGACCAGTGAATGGTTTCCGTATATTGCCCACAATCAACTCTGTGACATGATGGGATTGCTCTGTTTATTGTTTAATCCCATCTTAATTAGTAAATCACAAATATTCTAATCAAAAGAAAATCTTCCCAAAGGCTGACAAAAAAAAAAAGCTTTTCTAAAATATGGAATTTTAGTGATCACATTTCCTCTGAAAGAATCCCAGTGGTTCAGAGTTTTCTGGGTTGCTGTCAGTATCAGGGGACATACCATCATACGTTCCACTTTCTAATAACGCTCCACTCTCTTCCAGTGCTTTGAATTGTTCAACAGAAATGAAATTATAGTCCACCCCTGGTACTTCCCCATCCCTGGGGGCCCTTGTAGTGCCTAAGGGGAAAAAAAAAGAAAAAAAAAATAGGTTGTAAAGTGCTTTTAAATTTACAAAATATTGAGAATACAGAAAACTCAGTCTATAGAGAACACATGGGAGAAACAAACGATTGAATTTAATATTGCAACTTTAGAGTGCGGATCAGAAAATCTTAGGCAAGTTAACATTACTAGGTGAAAGTAGAATAATATAGGATGAATAAATATACTTTAATAAAAGCTACAGATAGCTACAAATTCAAAACTACAAAGTTAAAAAAAAATTAGTATCAAAGAAAAGCCATATCTTTCCAAGACACAATAGTTAATTTTTCCATTAAACTTCAATTACCATTACTTAACATTTGAAGGAGAGATTATCCACCAAGGAGAGACTTCACTTTTATAGCTACCTTTTGCATTTTTCTCTTCCCTAGCATATATGCAAATGAAAATTCTATTTAGTAGAGTTGGAAAGGATAATTTAAAAAGAAACTATTGTTAAAAACTTAATGAACTATATAAACAACTTGGACAAACATTAAATTTGAAATTAATGAACATTAAATTTGAAATTAATAAAAAAGCTTCAGACACATTCATTCACAGATTGCTTCTTAGTCATTCTTTTCAAGTCATTACAAATTAAATAGTAAACTATTTTATAAAATTTTCTACAACAGGTCACTCAACTTCTATTATGGAATTCACACGAAAGTAAAATCTTTCAGGTGCAAGGTACATATTTTGGCAATGGCAACACAGCTATGTTTGATTAGTTCTTACTGAACAAGAACCAATACTTTTATGAAATGATTAACTAGAAACGTCGTTTGAAAATACTACAGAATATAAAAAAGAACCCCAAGTGTTTGGCATGGGAGTAGAGCTGGGACACTGTCGGAAGTCCTGGGAGGACACCTCCCAACGCTGTTCCCCACTTACGCTCCCTGTTCATCCAGGACACTCCAAGCCAGAAACTGGAGAGTTAGTTGCTTGGGTTCCTACCACAAATCCACATCCAGTCACCAAGTCTAGTTGATTCCACCTCCTCACTCTCTCTGGGATTTGTATTCTTCCCTTCACTCTCACACTCACCTAATTCACATCATTATTCGTGGCCCTATATTGTTAGTTTTCATGGGGTCAGCTCTTTCCACGATCTGGCTAACCCCTTTACCCTAACTGCAGCTAGTGAATTTTCTAAAATAATGATCGAACAAAATATCTCTAAACCCATCAATGACTTCCCATGATCCTTAGCATAAAATCTAGACTCTACTCTCCAGTTTCTTTGTCTCATTTTTTCCACCATAATAGCTGTTTTTCAGTTTTCTAAATGTTCCTGTACACACCTCCAAGACGTCCTACTCCCGTCTCACTGTTAACTCAGCAAATTCCTACTCATCCTGCAGGTCCTGGCTTAGAAGGTTTCTGCAGAGAAACTTTCCTGACTCCCACCAGGATATGGCAGCATGCAGGACCAAGTGTACTTGGCACAGTGCAAGAATCATAGCTGATACTCAATATAGATGGGTGTCAAATAAGTGAAAATTTACCCAAATGGAATTAGCATAATGCCTGATGATATACTATTATTAAAATTAATTCAAGGAAAATGAGGACTGCTCTTACTTTTCAGTTGTATTACATTACATTATATTCCAGAACATGGGGAAAAACCCATTCACAGATGGATTAAAGATGATTATAAGACATTAATGGCAATATCACAAAATAATGATTAAATCAAAATTCTAAGCACGAAGACTATATCCAATGATTTTCCCATTTATTTTTCAACAAATTTTTTTCTGATGAACATTTGTTTATATTGTCACAAAATCAAACCTACCTTCCTTTTATTCTCTTCACGTTTTTTATAGTCAATTTCTCTCTCATAGAGTCACTAAAACTACATTGTAAGATTTCCCAAATCAATAGGCGTTAGCTCCATATTAAATAAAAGTTAACATTAGAAAACAAATTCAATGATTAAATTTAAAATTAGCTGTGATGGATGGAAAAACACAGCCACAGTGTTTTGCACTTTCTCCCATCAGGAGACAGGGCCTGTTGACTTACCTTTTGAATCTGGGTGGGATTGATGGCTGGCTTGAATAATTTAAAGTGAAGGCTGCCATGTGCAAGTTCAAGGCCCCATCTGCCCTCATTGGAATACTCCCACCACCATGTCTGGGGATCCTGGCTAGATTATTGTACCGTGACAGAGCTCAGACAAAAATGACACCAAAAAACTGTGGGTGAGGCAGTCTCATCCCTGTCAAATCCAGTCGACCTGCCAATGACTGCAGCCACAGGACCCATCCCACTGGAGTCCAGGTGATCCTGTAATCATTAAGCCATTAAACTCTGGGGTGGCCTGTTACACAGCAAAGGCAAATTGAAATATTAACCACATAAACTCTACTATAAAATACAATGACTACATAAAACCTAATTTAAGAGCCAATCAAATTATAGATACTACTATTACAAATTATAGATACTACACTGACCCAAGCAAGAGAGACAACTTGATTTTGGTGTGGGATTACTACTAATGGTATAAGTTTAAGGTCTCACTTAATCCCTCTGGACTTCATTCTCTTTCTGCAGAGTGGTGTTGAGCAACATGGGGGCTCATGATTCTTTCCATCAACTGGTATGAAATGTTATGTGTGATTCCAACATAGATATTCCCAACAGTTACAGAGTAGCTTGAATATTAATTCTCCTTAAAAATATAAGTATCATAAATGTTTATTTCCTACCTCTCCAAAACTCGTAACTCCAAGTACATAAAAAGGTTATACATTCTCTTCCATGTATTTACTAGGCGTAGACTCCTGGTATGAAGTGATGTTCTCTCTCCTGGCATTTCTCTGCTGGGTTTTCTGGTCTTTTGAAAATTGATTTGCAGTTCTTTACATTCTGGTACTTTATCAAATCTAAGTAATTAACAGCTTTTAAAATGCAATGTTATTTTATTCTAAAAAAGAAAAAACTTGGCAGTCATAACTAAGATTCTATTTACTGTAAGATCTATTTCAACTGCAGAGAAGTTAAAATGTGAAGTAACTGTTTTCGTATTGGAGCACTTTGGTCCTATGTCAGATATGTGTGTTATAAGTGGGATGTTTCTGCTAAAATGTGAAATGCACTTTCTTTAAACAGTACTTCCTACAAAATAGTGCAACTAAAACAATAAAAATTAGGGGGGAAAATAGGGATTGGGGTTGATCTTGTAAACCTATTGCAACTTTGTAACCAGGCACTAACAAAATCACTAACAATCATAATTTAAAATATTATTGTAGTATAATAGGTCAGTTAAATTCCCAATTAAGAAAATACTAGAATAGGGCCTCCCCTGGGGGCACAGCGGTTGAGTGCTGGGCTGCGAAGCTGTCCACAGCCTCTGTAGCACCGGTTCAATCCCCGGCAGCTGGCAAGGGTCCCACACGGCACGCAGACCTCTCCTGCCCTGCCCACTGCTCCCCTCAGCAGTGTATTTCGTCAGTCTGCCTGTTCTGTACCCCGCTCTGGTGAATTCTCTCACCCTCCACCCTCCTGCACTTCTGACTGTACCCAGTCTTGTATAAATAAATAAATAAATCTTTAAAAAAAAATACTAGAATAAAATTACTTTGTCATTAAAAAACAAAAGAAAACAAGGAAATGACAAGGTAGTCTGAGAGAAAAGGGTAGAAAGAAGGTTGAGTCAACTGAAAGACAAGTCAAAAGAGTACAAGGAACAATTTTAAGACAAATAACATTAAGACAAATAATTTTAAGACAACATGAAGTGAAGAAGCAGCATATATAGTACCTGCAATATTCTGGTATGTCACATACTTTGAATTTACTTGCTGCTTCCTAGTGATATAAAATAGTAGCTTGCTGGGGGAAATGCAGTAAGAACCAATATTCCCTCAATTACGCTGACATCGACATCATTCTCCTATTTAACAATCACCCATGAACTTATTTACAATATAGGAAGAAATACTATAGAACAGATGTGTCTCTTCCCATCCTGTACTTTTCTTTTCATCTTATTTTTAACGATCTTTAGATAGAAGTTTTTCATGTTAATATAGTCAAATTGATCAATTCTTTGCTTTGTAGCTAATGCCTTTCATGTCTTATTGAGGAAATCCTTCTCAAGGCCATGGAGATATCTGGTCTTTTTTAAAAAAAAAAATAGTATTTTTTTTTTTTTTTTTAAGATTTATTCCAATAGAAGAGCTGGGGTGCCGGTCAGTCGCGGAAGGGTGAGAGGATTCACCACAGAGCGGGGAACAGAATAGGTGGATTGACTGAAGTACACTGCTGAGGGGAGCAGCAGGCGTGACAGGAGAGGTCTGCTGCGCCATGTGGGAATCTCCCTGGCTGGCTGGGAATCAAACCAGCGCTGCAGAGGCTGAAGATAGCTTCACAGCACTGTGCTCAACTCAATGCGCCACCTGGGAGGCCCAATTGTATGGGTTTTCTTTTCAATGCACTAAAATAGTTTTGGGGACTTGATGAGAAATAGTCCAATTTCCTTTTTTTCCAAGGGGCAACTCAATAAGAGGGATTGAAAAGTCATTTATTTTCCCCTCTGGTCAGCCATGGCACTTCTGTCATAGAATCTTATATAGAAAGGTCTATGCAACTGGCTGATGGACTATCGCAGCCCATTCACCTACTGACCAGGCCTACACCATGATCACAGTGTTGTAATTACTATATTTTTATGATAAACCTTGTGCTATAGTAGAACAAATCTACCTGTTTTGGTTGTTCTTTCCCTATTGATAGCCTTCTAAGTAATTTCTGGAACTAAGCCAAAAACAAGCTAGAAATTTTTATGGGCTTAGATTGAATCCATTAATCTGCTGTTCAATTTAAGAACTGATCTCGTCACCATAATGAATCTTTAATCCATGAACAAGAAATCTCTGTCAATATATTAAAATGTTTCTTAATGTCTTTTAATTTTTCCTTATAGAGGTCTTTATAGTATATTCCTT